TAGTATTTAAACACAAAAACATGAAACCCGCCTCCCCAAAACTCCAGCTAAACAACAAACCAATCCAATTCCTAAAACAAACCAAATTCTTAGGACTAATTTTCGATGAACATCTCTCCTGGGACGCTCACATAAATAATAAAATAACTAAATGTAGCAAAGATCTAAATACGCTAAGGTGCCTTACAGGCTCAAACTGGGGGGCCTCCAAAGACACCCTCCTCTCACTCTATATATCACTAATTAGATCTAAAATAGACTACGGATGTGCCATATACGACACCCTAAACCAATCCCTCAGCAAAAAAATAGACTCAATCCAATATCAGGCTCTAAAACTAATAACACGCACTCAACATGGCACCTGCTACACTTCACTCCAGGCCTTAACAGGAGAAATGCCACTAAATCTACGTAGGGAACAATTAACTCTGAATTTCTGGGCCGCGTCTCAATCCAACCCCCTAATTCAAAACCTAATAAACAAAAATATCAGCCCAAAAAAACAAGCCCCAGCTCGAAAACACCCTCTACTTACTCCAATATACCAAAGAATAACCAATTACTTAAATGAACACCAAATAAACAATCTTAAACAAAACTAAAAAATCAAATATCTTCACCCCAAAACTTAAAACAGCCAAAATAGACATAACACTAGCTAGCACAATAAATAAACAAACCTACCCAAACATAGCCAAAACCACCACACTAGCATACATACATGAAAATTGGCCAAATTGGTGTCACATTTACACAGACGGATCCTCAGATCTGATCTCCAAACACACAGGTTTCGGAGTCCACATCACACAACCGACTGACGCCAAACAATCCTACCGACTCCCAAACAATCAATCAATATTCACGGCCGAACTAATGGGCATGGCCTCAGCCCTTCATAATCAACAATCTAAAAAACAACAAAAAATCCTAATACTTACCGACTCGCTCAGTGGACTACAAGCCCTCCAAAATAAAAACACCAAAAACCGCCCTGAACTAATAAATCTAATACTAAAAAGCTCAAACGATTTAACTAAGGCAGGCAAACAAATAGTATTCCACGTAGGAATATACGGCAATGAAAACGCTGATAAAGCCGCTAAACTATCCCTTAAAATCCCAGAAATAAGCTTAAACCTACCCATCTCCAAATCAGAAATTAAAAGTGTCAACAAACAAAAGATCACCAAAAAATGGCATAATCTATATCAAAACTCAAATAGCCAAATCAAAAAGGTTCTAAGAAAAACCCTTACCAAACCAAAAATTCTACATCCGTCCAAAGAAATCGACAGAGTAATTACTAAACTCCAAACAGGACATAGCAACCTAAATAACAACCTCAAAATAATAAGAAAACACGCAACAGGAACCTGCCCACATTGCAAACAACAAGAAACCCCAGAACACGCACTCATACACTGCACCCACTACCTAACACTTCGAACTACACTACAAACCACCCTAAATCTATATAAGGCTCTTACTCTATAAGCAATCCTAAACCCACAAAATCAAATAGAAAAATTCAAAGCCTTAGGCGTATACTTAATCAAAACAGGACTAATAAATCGCATTTAAAACCCAATTAAAAACTACCAAAACCAGACCACATAATCAAACTAACAAACTTCCATACTCAGGTCCCTTAGTTCACCCCTCAAACCCTCTTGGCATTTTTTCCAAATCTCAAAATTTCCAAAATTCTATATAAGCAACCACTGAAACACCCCTACTGGATTGCCAAACAACTTTTTCCCCTTTTTCGGAAACACATTAAATGGCTTGGCCGGGCCCGTGTGCGAAATACGCTGCAGTCGGAAAGCGCACGTAAAATCTCCAATATAAGTAAGTAAGTAAGTAACCCTCATTCACCGTGTGCGACGTACGCTTGTAGTCGGAAAGCGCACGTTAAATCTCCAATATAAGTAAGTAACCCTCATTCAGTCCTGCTTGACAACGGTATAAGGATCTATACCGAAACGTCGCTTTTTACAGTATTAAAAAGTTGTTATCCATAAAATTGTGTCATCCTCGTCAGGGTTTTGTGGTTTGCAGCTTCATGGAAGATTGACTTATTTCTGTACTGGTAGGACTGTCTGTCCAGCAATGTATCATTTCAAGTTCATCACCAATACCAATACCAGTACGGAACATTTCATCTGACACAACCACGTGATTATGATGTTGAAAAACCTCCTTGCTGTACCCATAGCAAACAACAAAGAGATTACGTGTAACTGGGGTTTGATTCCAGTAAGCACTTTTTATTCCATCCAAGCTTATTACAGGAGTAATTTTCAGCAAAGTCCTTATGGACAATAAGATGATGGACAGGTAGGTTTCTTTCAGTTTCCTTATCTCACTGTATTGTGTTCTGATTCGTTGGGGGCGGTCGGGTAGCCTAGTGGTTAAAGCGTTCGCTCGTCACGCCGAAGACCCGGGTTCGATTCCCGACATGGATACAATGTGTGAAGCCCATTCCTGGTGTCCCCCAGCGGAAATCAAAACCCGGCAAGGCATTTGAGCAAATAAATATTTTCTCTGTGAATAAATAAACCTTTAATCAAATGTGTGTTTTGTTTCTAACCCTCCTTTATTTAATCCCTGTGATCTTGCCTCATTTTGTGACTGCATCTTTTCCTTTGAAAACTCTGCACTGATAAACCTTTAATTTGGCTCCTACATCAGGTGAATGAATGCTATGAGGCAGAGAGAATATATATGTACATGTAAGGACAACTAAAGTAATAAGATAAAAAAGGTGGAAACTAACGAGGGAGGCCAACAGATAAATGGCGCTGATAGGTGATTAGCAAAAGACAACTGGAAGCCCACACTTTATAGTAATTAGCGCCGAAGGTCATGGACAACTGGAGGCCAGACCTCAAATTATCATTGATTAGTAAAGGGCAATGGACAATAGGCAAACGGGAGGCTGGGGGTAATTAGCTGGTAGGTAAAAGAATGGAAACAGCAATAAGGGCAAAGGAAGCCAGCTACATAATTAACACCGACAAAGATCAAAGCAATAAGTCCCAAGCACTAGGCAGATAGGTACCCTGGTCAGGTTCATGGCCGGCTGGTGTCTCCTGATGTCAATGGCTTCTGGTAGTTTTCTTTGTCGCCAGTTGTTGTTGTTGTTGGTAGAAAGGACTTTGGTGGCTTCCCACATGATGTCATGGTCTTGGTTCTTCATGATGTGTTGGGAAATGGCGGATTTGAGGTCGAGTTTGTTGACTGAGGTTTGATGTTCTTCGAGTCTGGTGTTGAGGGGTGTGAGGGTTTCTCCAATGTACTGCTGGTCACAGTTGCAGGGAATCTGGTATATACCTAATCGGGGGTTTGGGCGTACGCTGCTTGTACCTCTGCATTGGTTTTTAAAAGGTGACATCTATGTTGGCTTTGTTCTTGGTGAGGCGGGAAATGAGTGACAGGGCCTTCGTAGGGTATGGTGATTCTGATGGGCGAGGGTGCTGGTTTGGGTCTGGGAACAAAGTTCTTGAGGGTCTTGCTGATGGTTTTGGAGACGAGGTGGGCAGGGTAACTGTTGAGGGGCGTGAAGGTTTTCTTGTGAGGTCCAGTTCACTGCTGAGGCACGTCGTGTGAGGGTGGCGATGATGGCTTGTTTAATCTGGGGAATGTTGCAGGAGTGGTAGTGGATGTAAAGGTCTGAGTGTGTAGGCGTGCGGCACACTGCTGTTCTTAGCCCATCATCTGTGGTTTGGAGGGACACGTCTAGGAATGGAAGGTGTTGATTGGTTTCGGTTTCCATGGTGAACTGGATTCTCTAGTGCTGGGCGTTGAGATGTTTAAGGAGATCTGTGGGGTCGTTGTGGTAGGCTATGGTGGTGAATGTGTCGTCTACTTTCCGGTACCAGCAGACGGGTTAGAATGTTGCTGTAAAGAGGGCTGTTTTCTTCGAAGGATGTCATGAAGATTTCAGTGACGAGTGGAGATAGAGGGGATCCCACAGGTAGTCCGTGGATTTGTTTGTAGATCTTGTCGTTGAAAGTATAGAAACTCACCATAGACAGCATCATCAACCTAGCCCCCCCCCCCCCCCCCCCCCCCCCCCCCCCCAGCTATTTTGACACATCCTATTTTACTTTCAACGACAAGATTTTGGTCCAATAAAGAGCACACATTCTTCATTGGGAAACGTTTAGTCATCCTTCTCTAAAATCCCTTTTTATGTCTTCACAAATTAGCTTCTAGAAAGATTCTCACGATCACTAGTTTCCATTAGCATGTCATGACAGGAACATTTGTCTGCAACATGAATAGCAATATGTAAGATGATGTGAAATCACAATTCCACTTTAGTGAAGCAGAATGGCGGAGCACACACTAATAATGGCGGAGCGTCGAATACAACAACCACAAACAAGTTATTTGCCTAAAACCATTCTTCTCTCTAGTGAAGATGTATGATCATGTATTATGAGTGAATGAGTGAGTTAGGTTTAACGTCGCTTAACATTATTAACATCATATCACGGCGTGTCAGCTTAATGTGGGAGGAAAGCCCGAAGTGATTGAGGTCTCAGACGTTTACCATTTCGGGGAAACCCACGAGCGCGGGTATGGTGCTGACAAACCTAGAAACAAAAAATCGGGGTGAACCGGGATTCGAACAATCATAGGTTTCTGGCGTGCCCAAGGGACGCAACTTTGCACAGAAAATCGCGGCGCCTTAGACGACTGGGCTACCCGTGCCCCCTCATGTATTATGCATGTTTGTGACATTAGTGTTGAACCGGCTTCATGTACGGATATTCACTGCATGATCTTTCCAAAATGATCGACATTTAAAATAACTGTTACATCTGTCCATGCTCCACTATAATAACACGTGTGTAGCAGTGTTAACCATGACTAACTGTCCTTATTAGCATAACATGGCAACTATGAAACACATTTCCTGTCTCATTTTAATGACAGCTATTAGACAATGATTTCCTGAAGCGATAACTCAGAACTGTTCGCAGGCCTTCGTTTATCGGCAATGGAGACTGTTCGTGTTTTCATCTTGCTTGCCTGGATTATTCTGTGTAACTTCGCTGACAGTGGAAAAATCGGAGGTAGATCCATTGTACTTTATGACATGCCTATTTCCTATTTGATATCAATTTGAGCTGTTTATATGATTATTGGTGCCAATGATAATCATGTCATTTGTGAGAACATCCCAAAGTTTTTGTTGTCAATAAATGAATTGATTATTTTTTTTATCAAATCTTCCAATAGCATAAATGACAATTCTTATTATAATCTTTTAAATTCTTCAAGTGCATAAATGATATTTTGAAACACAAAATATTATTCCGTAGTTTAAAGAAATGTGCAGTTAAATTAAATTGGTATTTTCAAGCCATCATATGCTATGGGAAACTATTTGGTAGTTACAATTGCATATTTAGCAGTACTTGACAATGCTGTTGAACAGAAGGTCAAATTGTCTTTCATCAGAGTGCCCGGAAAGCTGGACGCAAGTTAGCAGAAAGTGCTTCAAGTTTGTGGAACTAGAACAAAGTAGATATGTGGCACATGAGGCATGTAGCAATGGCTCATCTTCTTTGGCAAAGTTAAGCAATGATGAAGAGAACAAAGCTGTTCAAGGTAGGTTGAAATCTGGATTCAATTAGACGTGAGATGAAAACGTTATGATTTGATTCTCGTCGTACTTGAGTCAACATTATTTGCATTTAAACGATCAGAATGCAACAGATAAGGTGGTCGAGATGTCAGTATCCATGGCCGCTAGTCTTTCAGTAGCCATCTATTCCTTAAACATGTCTCGCATATCAATCATGAACACACTCCCAGTTCTATATAAACATAAATCATGGGCATATTCTCCATTTCTTTTTCCGGCATGCACATCTCACAGATTGTTCTACACGTTTCTCGTGAACACAGCTTCAGTTGTATATATATCTCCGTCATGCACATCTCACAGATTGTTCTACACGTTTCTCGTGAACACAGCTTCAGTTGTATATACATGTGCAGCATGTACATCTCACAGATTGTACTACACGTCTCTCGTGAACACAGCTTCAGTTGTATATACATGTGCGGCATGTACATCTCACAGATTGTACTACACGTCTCTCGTGAACACAGCTTCAGTTGTATATACATGCGCGGCATGCACATCTCACAGATTGTTCTACACGTTTCTCGTGAACACAGCTTCAGTTGTATATACATGCGCGGCATGCACATCTCACAGATTGTTCTACACGTCTCTCGTGAACACAGCTTCAGTTGTATATACATGCGCGGCATGCACATCTCACAGATTGTTCTACACGTTTCTCGTGAACACAGCTTCAGTTGTATATACATGCGCGGCATGCACATCTCACAGATTGTTCTACACGTTTCTCGTGAACACAGCTTCAGTTGTATATACATGCGCGGCATGCACATCTCACAGATTGTTCTACACGTTTCTCGTGAACACAGCTTCAGTTGTATATACATGCGCGGCATGCACATCTCACAGATTGTTCTACACGTTTCTCGTGAACACAGCTTCAGTTGTATATATATATCTCCGTCATGCGTATCTCACAGATTGTACCCATACGTCTCTCAATGAATAGACTGTTTCTTTGCACCTTGAAGTGTCCCTCACAATCTCTCGAGCTGAACCTACATGTCTCTCTCACTGAACACTCTCTGTGTTTGTACCTACACGTATCTCAATGAACATATTCTCTGGTTGTACATTCATGTCCCTCATGAACATATATCCTCTCTCGTTTAACCTACATGTCTCTCAGTCGACATAATCTGTAGTTGTACGTGCATGTCCCTCGCGAACACTCTCTTAAAGGGATACTGGCAGTCCTTGTCAATTTAATTTTGTTTGTGGAAAACCACTTTGTCTGTAAACTCAAATGTTAATATGGCACAGAGAGTGTCCTTTTCGGGAAAGTTATCATCATTATGACTGTTTCTAGATCTTATCAGCGGCCACGGTTATGCCTGGATCGGAAGCTATTATAAGAACACACATATTGATCAGGTAAGGATGAAACACCATTAAAACCGTAATGTTAGCGAAATTGTGTGTTTGTTGGTGTGTTAGATTTTGATATTTTTCAATCATAAGCAGTCTCTGTTTAAAGCAGTTCGGACAATGTTATAGGTAGTATGACTATGGGTTTATAAAGCACCAGCAGTGGCAAGACGATGATACGCAGATCACAGTTTTTCAACAAATGCATCAGTCCAGATAACGTAAAACTGGCTAAAAAACATGAGCTCCTGGCCTTTAATAAGAGGAAGCTTTGCGATCTCAGGGAAATTATTTTAATGGATGCGTAACAGAGGAAATACGCTACATCACCCATTCAGACAGTATATCTAAAAAAAGGTTAAGTCAAACATTCAGGTCTTCCTGAGTGCGTGAGTTTGGTTTGACGCCGCTTTTAGTAATATTCCAGCAATATCACGGCGGGGGACACCAGTAATGGGCTTCACACATTGTACCCATGTCGGAAATCGAACCCGGGTCCTCGGCGTGACGAGCTAACGCTTTAACCACTAGGCTACCCTACCGCCCCTTTTTCATGAAAAGGGAAAGCATGACCTACCCGTCCGGTAGCACATTCACACAATTTATATGGAAAAGTGTGTGTTTGTTGCCTGACGCTGCACAGCAGTACTCCTTGCCTTGTGATGGCGGGATAAAATTTGGTTGCTTTGTTGGTTTGTTGTTTAACGCCGCACTCAGCAATATTCCAGCCATATTACGGCGATCTGTAAATAATCGAGTCTCGACCAGACAATCCAGTGATTAATATTATGAACATCGATCCACGCAATTGGGATCGATTACATGCATCAACCAAGTCAGCGAGCCTGACCACCCGATCCCGTTAGTCGCCTTTCACGACTAGCATAGTCACCTTTTACGGCAAGCATGGGTCGCTGAAGACCTATTCTACCCCGGAATCTTGACGGGTCGGCGGGATATAGACAAACCAGACAAGGAAGTGATGACCCAGTAAATTGTTTTTAAACTACAAAATTATTTTTTATCTTTGTTGAAGTGCAGGAATTCTTTTGTAAGTACTGAAAACATAATAATATTATATTTAACGCAAGTTTGAGGTAGACCGTTCTGACGCCTCACACGGACACTTTAAAACATATTTAACATGTGCGAGATGGACCTCCCCGGCGTCTCACACCGACATTGTAAAACATATTTAACATGTGCGAGATGGACCTCCCCGGCGTCTCACACCGACATTGTAAAACATATTTAACACGCGCGAGATGGACCTCCCCGGCGTCTCACACCGACATTGTAAAACATATTTAACACGTGCGAGATGGACCTCCCCGGCGTCTCACACCGACATTGTAAAACATATTTAACACGCGCGAGATGGACCTCCCCGGCGTCTCACACCGACATTGTAAAACATATTTAACATGTGCGAGATGGACCTCCCCGGCGTCTCACACCGACATTGTAGAACATATTTAACACGCGCGAGATGGACCTCCCCGGCGTCTCACACCGACATTGTAAAACATATTTAACACGCGCGAGATGGACCTCCCCGGCGTCTCACACCGACATTGTAAAACATATTTAACACGTGCGAGATGGACCTCCCCGGCGTCTCACCCTGACATTGTAAAACATATTTAACACGCGCGAGATGGACCTCCCCGGCGTCTCACACCGACATTGTCAAACATATTTAACACGTGCGAGATGGACCTCCCCGGCGTCTCACACCGACATTGTAAAACATATTTAACATGTGTGAGATGGACCTCCCCGGCGTCTCACACCGACATTGTCAAACATATTTAATACGCGCGAGATGGACCTCCCCGGCGTCTCACACCGACATTGTAAAACATATTTAACACGCGCGAGATGGACCTCCCCGGCGTCTCACACCGACATTGTAAAACATATTTAACATGTGTGAGATGGACCTCCCCGGCGTCTCACACCGATATTGTAAAACATATTTAACACGCGCGAGATGGACCTCCCCGGCGTCTCACACCGACATTGTAAAACATATTTAACACGCGCGAGATGGACCTCCCCGGCGTCTCACACCGACATTGTAAAACATATTTAACATGTGTGAGATGGACCTCCCCGGCGTCTCACACCGATATTGTAAAACATATTTAACACGCGCGAGATGGACCTCCCCGGCGTCTCACACCGACATTGTAAAACATATTTAACACGCGCGAGATGGACCTCCCCGGCGTCTCACACCGACATTGTAAAACATATTTAACACGCGCGAGATGGACCTCCCCGGCGTCTCACACCGACATTGTAAAACATATTTAACACGCGCGAGATGGACCTCCCCGGCGTCTCACACCGACATTGTAAAACATATTTAACACGCGCGAGATGGACCTCCCCGGCGTCTCACACCGACATTGTAAAACATATTTAACACGTGTGAGATGGACCTCCCCGGCGTCTCACACCGACATTGTCAAACATATTTAACATGTGCGAGATGGACCTTCCCGGCGTCTCACACCGACATTGTCAAACATATTTAACACGCGCGAGATGGACCTCCCCGGCGTCTCACACCGACATTGTAAAACATATGCAACGCTGTGCGTACAGTTATAACTATGCACGTGTTAACTTCTCCATGGATGGCAACGTTCTAGATGTATGGTAGATTGTGAATACTTACAAGAGAACTGATTCATTGTTGCCATTCTTGAAACATACATAATGTTAATATTGAGCCGCTGTGACGTCACCCATCGACATTGTGAAACAGTTAACGAATTTGTGAGATGGACCGTTCCGACGTTATAGTCTGACGTTGTAAAACATATAGTTAATGCATGTTGAAGGGGACCTTTACGGCGTCATACTCTGACATTGTAAAACATGTTTAACAAATATATGAGGAGGACTGAGCCGACAGCTCACCCTGACATTGTAAAACATAGTTAACCAATGTGTAAGGTATACCATTCCGACGATTATTTATTTTGTATCCAGACTAGAAAATGATGGTCAAATAGTTTGGTGGCAGATACTGTTTTAGGTAAAAATGCACATTTCTGTTGTAAAAAATAGAGAAAATAAAGTAAAGTCCTCTCAAAAAGTAGTTTGTGCGTTGTTTCCTCTTTCTTTCATTTATTTGACTGTTGAGACATAGTTGACTTGAATTTACATATTTTTTAACTTTAGCCGAGCTCAGTAAAAATAAGCCAAAAAATGGTAAATTCGTCATTTGAAATAAATATCAACCAAGCCATTTGCCATTTGATATATCAATGTGCCGACACGTCTTATGATGAGATGGCAATGTTCATATTCCACATAACCTTTATGATTTTTGAAAAGAACAAATGCTTATATGTTGGTATGTGTAATGACATTGATTATGCATCAGAGAAAGCCGCTTAAACCACTAAACGAGCACAGTCCGGTATGCCAGACGGTAGAGTATTCAAAGGTAACAATGAATGAAATTGCTTTGAGGACATCGAGATATAACCGAGAAATATAATTATTTATGGCATAAAAACAGTGTTGTGGCTATGTGACTATGTTTCGTTCCAGACACACTTCTGCACTTGAACAATGCAGACGTAATTCAAAATTGAGATGTCGGGTTTTTTAGTTTCGACCGAAACAGTAAATGAGCTATCATGTCACTGATTGTCTGGTTTGTTTTAATATCACTGTCGCTTGGCATGAGTGCTGCAGTGCCTCGTCAGGCAAGAAATAAACTTCATTTACCTTTTATGCAAATTACGTGAGCGGCGTGTGCTACCGGTAAGGCAGGGCATCCTTACCCTTTTACTGATTTTCAGTGATCCGTTCATATAATTTTCAGCGGAGGTACTACTAATTTAAAGACAATGATATGACATTAGATAAGTTATTATTATCAGAGATAATGATAAGGCTAAGATCTTATTCAAATTACAGTTTTGTGTCATTAAACGATACGCTACTTGGGCCCCACGTGCCATTGTCAAATGGATAATACGATCAACACTTGCACAGAGCCTAGAAAATCGCGACTGGTTATTCTCTGTCATGTATTTAAAGGGAATCGAGAAAGGCATCTACATGCTGGTAATTGTGATCTAGAAGAGCATATCGAAACAACACTTGTTATATTCTTATGGCGAGGTTTTATATTCAAAGAAGACCGGGGATGGGGATGGGATCAGATTTACTACATTTTCGGAAATTATATTATATGTACATTTCTTGTGGATTTTAAAAAGGTCCGAAATCACCCAGGCAGATTTCAAGCTATGAAACAATATAATTGCAAATATAGACGGTACATAATCTTCAGTTTGTTATAATTTGAAAATAGGGATTTGGTTCACGACTCGATTTAAGCAATTTTGCTTATTGTTCATGTATTTAGTTTAGATTTCCCATTGGTTTTGAGATAAAATGAGCATCCCAACATACAAACTGACTTGTTAAAAGACACTTATTTGATTTCCTCAATTTTGACACAAAAACATGTTTGCCAGCAAAGAAAACACCACAACCATCATTTTCTAATTCGTAAATTACATCCGTAAAAACATGTGGTTGGTCTTTGTTCTACTGTGTGGAGTTTTACTACCTGAATAAGCCGCCTTTAAGGGTTTTACTATGTGGAGTTATACTACTTGAATAAGCCCCCTTTAAGGGTTCTACTGTGTGGAGTTTTACTACTTGAATAAGCCGCCTTTAGGTGTTCTACTGTGTGGAGTTTTACTACTTAAATAAGCCGCCTTCAAGAGTTGGTCGCTACTATAATAGTGATATTGAAGCGATAAACCAGTTCGATTAACTTGGTATCCTATAAATATGCAAATGAGGTTACCTCTTATTATTACTTATTATTACTTGAAATACGGTCCATAAACAGTCTACATGCTGGACAATACTATTGTCTAATGTTCCCATTAGGTTCAGACAAGGCTTTCCAAAAATTTCTGTAAACAACATGGCTGTACAACACTTGGCACTATATGATAGGAAAAGGAGAGTTTTACTGACGCAATCATTGTATTCATTCACAGTTTCTAAAGTTACTTCAGTGGCAACCAGTCTGTCTTAAACTTCGGGGGGCACGGGTGACCCAGTCGTCTAAGGTGCCGCGATTCGCTGTGCAGAGGTGCGTCCCTTAGGCACGCCAGAAACCTATGATTGTGGGTTCGAATCCCGGTTCGCCCCGATTATGTTTCTAGGTTTGTCAGCACCATACCCGTGCTCGTGGGTTTCACCGAAGTGGTAAACGTCTGAGACCTCAATCACTTCGGGCTTTCCTCCCACATTAAGCTGACACGCCGTGATATGACTGGAATACTGTTAAAAGCGGCGTTAAACCCAACTCACTCACTCACTCACTCACTCACACTTAAACTTCGATATTCTAAGAATGCCATAATATTGTAAACATATATTGTTAGATTATACTTTAAGTCACCTCTATATGATATTTACGATATAGATTAATCTATATAAATTCATAGAGTACGTTAATGGTTCTTTTTTTCAGAGTGCTGTTTATAACTGAAACAAACTGTCCCATTCGTCATTCTTACGAGATAGATAAATTATTATCCTTATGTTTCTTTTCAGCCGGACTACTTTAACATGCCTGAAATATATCGTTCAATGGAAGACCGATGCACAATAATGTTGGCAAGAACTGGCAGATGGCAACATCTCGCTTGTTATAGAAAAGGCCCTTATGTATGTGGAAAACAGGCTCGTAAGGAACACACGCATCTATTCTACGACCCATAGATGTACCCATATATGATAGTGGATATTGGTACAAATTAGACTAGCAGAGGAGAGCTACTTGTAGAATTAATGGCTAATTACATGTGTTAATATACTTATCAGAGATTAAAACTCAAGTATCTAAGTTCCTTCTTTGCCTATGACAAAGACGTCAACACGTAGAGAACATACATATACAGTAAAGTACGGTTATAACGAACTCAAAGGGACTACTAATTTTAGTTCGTTATAACCGTAGTTCGTTATAAGCATATATACAGCATAATACAGCTAATTATCGGGACCAAAAAAGTAGTTCGTTATATCCGTCAGTTCGTTATAAGCGTGTTCGTTATAACCGTAGTTTACTGTATGTCGGTACAAACGTCATCTGATTGAGTTGTTGACATTTTCAATTGGTGTTTGATAGACGTACTTTGGCTTCTCATTTTGGTTGGTTCTTTACGTTTTATGAGGTATGATTACTTAGCACAACATGCCAAAAACCTTTTGTCACTTGTAGAGACGATAATGGATCCATTTAAGCACTCCTCAAATTCGTATTGAGTTTACTTTTGAAGACCCATTTATATATATATATGACCCGTGAAGATCCGGGGTGGAATAGGTCTTCAGCAACCCATGCTTGACTATGCTTATCGTAAGAGGCGACTTACGGGATCGGGTGGTCGGGCTCGCTGACTTTGTTGATGCATGTCATCGTATCCCAATTGCGTGGATCGATGATCATGATATTAATCACTGGATTGTCTGGTCCAGACTCGAATATTTACAGACCGCCGTCACATAGCTGGAATATTGCTGAGTGCGGCGTTAAAAACCAAACCAAAACCATTTATATATATTTATACTTTAAATGGCACCGAGTCCTCTCAAAACTCTTTTGATTAGTTCCAATTTTTCCCCAAATTCTCTTATTTGACCATTTAAGGAAATGTTTCGTCATAGGTCCAGCTTTTTAAAGGAAATGTCACTGGTTTGGCTCACCTTGGAAGGCTTCACTTTCAAGTAGCAGTTGGTTAACTGACTTAGCTTACTGAAGAAGGCGTCACTTAAAAGATAGATATTTGGAACCAAGCGCTTTAGCATCGCTATCTTAAAGGGGTCACAGGTAGTTATAAACTATGGCTTCATTCTGAAATGTCACTTCGACAGTCTTGTTCAGCTAATTAAGGAGACCTTCAGTTGCAATGTTCTACAGCTCACTGCTCTACATAACTAAGAAAATCTTCCCTTTCGATGTCACATGTACAGATCCCACTGGTTGAATGCTCTTGGGAGGCCATCACTTTGAGATCACGATTATGTTACAAACAAGGCCTCAGGTTAACAGTGCTCACTCTTGAAATGGCCTTAGGAGAAATTGAGAAAGGTTTCACTTTGAAATGTCCAAAGGCTCTAATTAAACACGTTACGGTAGGATGATTTGGGGTTGAACTCTTGGGATATCTTGAGCTGACTTGACCTTCACCCTGTCAGGAGTAAGATTTAAATGTCTTAGGAATGCACATTTAAAGGTGATTTGTGAATTGAAGATTCACTTTAGCAAATTAAAAACTATTTTGATAAAGATTATAGGGCTTAGGTTAGTACTGATAACAATGGTATACTTTCGTTTTGGATTTTCTGTTTGAGTAAAAACTAATATTATCACATAAGGAAGAGAATATATGGATGTGAACTTCTTGTTTAAAGAGGTTGACATCCATATGTTCCCTTCCTTATGTGTATCACTTCTAAATGCCTTTCAAAGACCTAATCTTATTACGTTGATCCCAAACAGCATGTAAGTCAGTAGAGTAAACATGCTGTCTGTGGTGTTTAAGCTTGTGAACCTGGATGGGCTGGAGATAAATGTGAACGCCGGACTCACTGTCACCTTGGACATTTCGGTAATGAAACAACCAATATGTGTCCGTACGGATGCGAACCAGGATGGATTGGAAATTTGTGCTATAAACGTGAGTAAGATGTAAATATATAGTTGCTTGCCCTATAACTGCATTCTCTTTTTCTTGACCTTTTCGTCTGTACAATACTGAATGAAGGATGAGTGAGTCATATTGGGTTTAGCACACTTATAGCAACAGCCAAGTCATGTCACAACGTTAGTTTTGAAGTGGAAAACCTCAAGTGCCCCAGGTCATAAAAGTTTGCAAGTTTGGTCAACCACTGACTTATTAAAGAGAGTTTAAGTTGAAATAGCACCCAAATGATCTTTAATAAAACATCAATGATTATAAACATTATAATTTGATTTTGGTCGAACATAAAATTTATGTTCCAGATCACGAGAGACCTACAGGTAAGAAAACGTTTTCTCTCAAGACTAGTCTATAAATGAGTGTATATATTTGTTTGTGTTAGTCTAAATAAGTTAGTTAGTGAGTAATATTTAACGTCACATTGGCAATATTTCAGCCATATCATGACAAGTATCTCTATATATTAGTCGGTCCTAGTGACAATAAGTGTCGGTTTACAATTGTAGTTCTGCGTTGCCAAGAACAATGAGAGAAACAAAGAACATCAGCAATGTTTGAACAATCAAATGGAATAAAGCATATTTCTAGCAATACAAAAAGGTCAGTTGACGACATATGACGTCACACAGCTGCAACAATATGAACTTGACGTCATCGTAAACATGGAATGAAATGACGTTAGTCCAGAACAAAAGGTCCTCGGCAGTTACGTTTCTTTACAGTGTTAACATTTCTGACAGACAATAGTAATATAAGGAAAGGACTACTTAAAACTTGTAGTCGTGTCCCTCGTCTTGTATAATGTTAAATAATAGGCCAGAAGATTTAGAGCCAAAAATGGGGAAACCAAAAACAAATTGCAACAGAAACAAATTGTTTTGTTTCTAAATCAGAAGTTCCTGAGTATTCACACTCTAAATGTCTTCAGAAATCTCAGGTGGGAAACATTATAAAAATTAAGGTTTATAATGAGCATACCAATATTAAAAAGCAAAACAAAGATGGACTCACTTATTTTTATAGCACTCTGATATCTGCATATCCTACACTTTTTTTTGTACCCTGTAGATTTTTGTTGTTGTATACTTTGTATTGTTTACATACTCGATTCTATTGCTAAAAGCGGCGTAAAACCAAACTCACTCCTCACTCACTACATACTCGATTCCAGTGGCGTCGTTTTACTGTATGAAACTGAGGGAAGGCTACTCCATGATGGTTTTTTTGGACTGGAAAGGTGTCTCCTACTCGAATGTTGGAGCTGTGAACGCCGAAGGGGCGATAAGTTCAAACTGTACCAAGAGCAGATTTGCGAGGAATGAGGATGGACAAATGTATCTAAATGTTCACATTCAAAACGTGTCGGGGGTTTTGGAACAGGATTGCCCGGCGGACACAGTAAGTTTGAATATGTCCAATATATACACTGCCAAAAAAAGAAACTCAAAATTGATTTTAGATGTATATTTTATATATCATATAGATCATCAACAGATGGTAATCGATGGTTCAAAGTTGACACACATCATTTTCAATGACCCATATTCCATATAACACACATGGAACTGTAGATTTTCAAGGTGAAGGTCATCTGTCCTCAATATCTGGTATGGCTACCATTAGAGTTCAAAACTGACTGGCATTCTAGTCGCATGGAAACATCCAGATCCCTCATGGTGGCCTCGGGAATGTTCACCCACTCTTCCTGCAGTGATTGTGCCAATTGTCGGAGGTTCTGTGGTTCTTGCTGATGTGCTCGCAGTCGTTGATCCAGTGCATCCCATACAAGTTAGATTGGGTTTAAATCTGGACACCTGCAGGCCCATGGCAGGGCGGATGTTCTGATTCCTGAAAAAGGCTGTTGTCAGTCTTGCCGCGTGAGGTGTTGTCATGTATAATGGGAAGGACGTGTGACCGAGGTATCTCATCCGTGTAACGCTGTGCCGTTACATTCTCTTGAACTTGCACCAAGTCTGTTCTACCAGTGTAGGAGATGGCTGCGCGCATCTTCACAATCTGTCTGCTTCCTGTATGCAGATTCGTGGACAACATTCCCCTTGACTCCTGTTAACATGACGTCTACCATTTCATATGGATGTCGGCAACACTCGTCAGATATTTACGATTTTAATACTTTTGCATTTCTTACGTGCATATAAAAAAAATTGTTTTGTTTAATTCAGGAGGATTAAATATTATCAAAATTACTAAAATGTGGATAAATATACATTATCATATATATTTCGTCATTTTAGTAATTTGATTATGTTCTGAATATAAAAACTACAGTTACTAAAATGATGATTCATCTGAAAGAAATTGCATGGGAACATCGCTTTTGTCACATTTGGAAATGTCTTCCACATATCTACGAATTTTTTTTTGAAAGCTTTACTGAAACTTTGATGTTGTAACCTGGATCAAACTACTTGTGAGCACGAGTTCTATGACGCCCTTTGAAATCTTCGTAGAAATGGCATGCTCGACAGTACCTTTAAAGGTTGTGAAATGTTGACACCCAACGCTGGAACTCCTTGAATATTGCTCGACAGCAAAGTGAGTGAGTGAGTATTGTTTTACGCCACTTTTAGCAATATTCCAGCAATATTACGGCGGGGGACACTTGTAATAGGCTTCACACATTGTACCCATGTAGGGAATGGAACCCGGGTCTTCAGCGTGACGAGCGAACGCTTTAACCACTAGGCTACCCGACCGCCCTCGACAGAAAAGAGAAGGTGACAATTGGATAAAGTCATCCATCTTGTGCTACAGACTGGTGGAGAGTGTTTTGTCATATATGCATATGTCTAAATATGAAACAGATGAGTCGGTCTCACTCCTCTCCTTTATTTTGAATGGGTAAAACAGTGGAAGGGAATTGGTTGTTTGATGGTTATTGAACGACTTCAGATCATTGATATACCTGAAGTTTAAGTCAACTTCTTGGTCAAATATTCTTTTGATTTTGCTGATCCAACAGAAACAGAAATCCAGATTCATATGCATGAGGAAACACATCAGTAGGAATGGGAGCACAACTACATGTATGTGCCCATGGGATGCCCACTTCTAGCTTAAATGTATTTTGTTAAGCATTTAATTGTGTGACTGAAGGAATAAATATGTTTTCCTGCCACTGTAAAAACTCACCGGCAGCCTGTAAACAATAGTGTCTCTATCACGCAATCGACGCACTCGATCCACATAAGTCGACAAGCATGTGATATTGTCGACATGTGGACAATATACATATGTGTTGATGTTCATATCTAATAACTGGAAATTAAAAACAACGACCTCATAATAGTTCAAGCAATACGAAACAAAATATTTAAAACCACTGCACAGGGAACAATAAAACTATACTAATTGTGGACATGTTTCTTCACATGAACAGATCGCTGATGGGATCCTGCAATGGACGTTCAGATTTCAGATGACAAAGGGCATGGTGTCGTTTGAAGATGAGGAACTTCAAGTCCAGTGTGATCTGTCTGAAGCTGATGCTGCATATAACTCTGAGGAAGTCGAGATAGAGAAGTACAATTCTTCAGCACACTCAAATCAAAGCAATCTTTTCTTACCTGGCTAATATTTTTATAAAGGAAATGGTTATCAGAAATACTTTGTAAGTAGAAATAATCAATTGGTTTACTTTTCTAAATGTCCGTGTCAGCCTGCGTCGAACAAAACCCTTACCATCACTGTTCATGAATGGCGATGACACTAGGTGTTCCCGAAACGGTGACTATATCCTGCCCTTTTGACAGCGACCGTCACAAAGACATTTCAAAACAAGTTCCCTAGAATCTACAGCGTTTTATTGTAAGGTCAACTGGCAAGTTTATGGCCTTTCTAGTCTGGGATGCTGAAAGTGTTATCAAGGTGGAGTGTCTTCCAAAAGGCCATTTAGTGTATTATGTTGTACATTTGAGGCAATTACGGGATGAAATTAAGACTAAATGACGCTGAAAGCTGAGAGCTGAGAAAAGGTGCGCTCCTCCATCATGCCAGTGCACAAATCAGTCATTGACATGGCTACACTCCACGAATGAGGCTTTGAACTCCTTCATCTTATTCTCCTGATCTGGCCCCGTCATCTGTTCCCAAACACGAAGAATGATGAAACTGGAACACATTTTGGTGGCTGTGGATAACATTGGACAGCCATGAGAAGGACTTCAACGAAACTGAGATGAAATGCCTCCAACATTATTGGCAAAAGTGTATCAATGTAGAAGGGGGATTATGTGGAAAATTAAGTCATTTTATTGTCTCTAGATCAAGTCTTTCAACGTTAGGCTCAGAACATATCAATCTCCCCTTGTAAATTACGTAAGTTAAACCTCTGGGCCAGATTCCCTTGTTTTATTATTTTCAGTCAGGGCAGAAATTCTGATTTGTTTCTAAAAACCAACACATTAGCAAGGAGGGGAGCACAGTTGGTGCCCATGGGAAAGCCCACTTCTCCCACCCACATGTTGCACATAGATGTTTTCTATATCTGCAATTAGTCCAGAATTTCACATGTTGTTTTCTCAGTAATTTTGAAATGACATTTGCTTGGGTGACCAATGCTCCATGGATCAACGGGTGATATTTACCCTTACGTTTGTCGCGTAGGATATTGGTGTAAAAAGTTGAAAACAAATCAATGTTTGACAGAATAGAATTCTTTTATGAGATTGCAAATATTCAAGCAAGTCCCTCCAGGGTTTTGAGAATCAACATTAGTTCCACTGAGCTCAAATCTTTTCTTTGAATGAAAAAAGCCCTTCCTCGATTGTGTAAAGGATTATGGTTCATTTTTGAAATTTTGGGGGTACATTTGCTGGAATATATCTCTTTGTGCGGATTATAATAAAGCTGTGGAATCTATAAAAAACGAGGGATGGACATGTCTTCAAATTTAAGAGCCAAAGTTAATGCCCAGTTCACGCGGATTGAAACAAACAATAAATTCTGTTCTACTTGCTTCAGGGTCCGAGGGAGGTCCTTAACTGCTGCTGCACAAATTAGTGTTAATATACGGACGTACATAGCAAATCCTGAAACACTGGAACCGGCCACAAACCTCAGCCTTGGTGTTCCCGTCATACTGGTGGCCACACGTCCTGAAGGTTTGTTCAAATCAACCAAATATGAGTCACTATTGGATTAAAAACGTTTAAGAACCATTCAGTGTACTGTTGGCACTTGCCTGATAACGGTTTTGGTATTTTCACCGAAACGTCGCATTTGTTGTAAGAAAGAGTGAGTGAGTGGTTTTACGCCGCTTTTAGCAATATTCCAGCAATATCACGGCGGGAAACACCAGAAATGGGCTTCACACATTGTACCCATGTCGGGAATCGAACCCAGGTCTTCGTCGTGACGAGCGAACGCGTTAACAACTACGTTACCCGACCGCCCCTGTTGTAATATAGAAGTTGCATATTCAAGTATATCCATAAAACTATCTCCCGTGTTCGTCATACCAACTTCTCAATGTCACTCAAAGAAGATATAAACTTACCTTTTGGGGAGATGTAAGAGATATCAGAGCCGCCAGCAGACCTGGTCTCGCAAAACAAACACAGTGTGCATTTAAAGCATATCGTCTCTTTGTTACCACCATTGAATGAACAACAACATTGAAGGCAATGCTTGATATTAGGAATGTATCTCGGGACATGCACATATGTCGTCTATCTCCATGTATTATTCTTGATCTGAAAGCCCGGGTCAGAATATGTCTTCAGCAACTCATGCTTGCCGTAAAAGGCGACTTTGTTTGTCGTAAGGGGCGACTAACGGGGTCGGGTGGTCAGGCAAGCTGAATTGGTTGATGCATGTCATCGTATCCCAATTTAGTGGATCGATGCTCATGATGTTAATCACCGGATTGTCTGGTTCAGACTCGATTACTTACAGACCGCTGTCATATAGCTGGAATATTGCTGAGTGCGGCATTACAAACAAACAAACAAATAAATCGTAATCTGAATTGTCAATCGTCTTGTTTCAGTTGATAATGTCGTCAATCCGTTTTTTTCCCCTCGAAACTGCCAAGCTGCATCTCCCGATGGGAAGCTTTTTATACCACTACAAAACTCGAGAGGGTCAGTATAAGGACGAACTAAAGTAACATGTCATGTATTTAGGCTTTCTATCAGCCATATACTATTTGGTACCAAGGGAAAGCTGTACTTAGCAATGTTCATGTTGTGCACTTTGCCTTTTACTTTGCCCTAAAATTTAATTTACTATCGAACTTGTCCCTAGAACGCCTTGGTGGAAAACTATTTCTGACAGTGTGGGGCATCGAAATTGCCTACAGAAATGTTGTTATTTGAGGTTTGTATTTAATTAAAAAATAATTCATATATTATTGAAACGGATGGCATACACCATTTGGGATGTCCGACCGTGACCAGTTTGTTGTGTAACGAGGTGATTTCAACAGTGAGATGCATAACTCTGATATTGGTATGAACAGAACTAGTTTTTGTTTGTTTGTGTGTTGTTTACGCCGCATTCAGCAATATTCAAGCTATATTACGGCGGACTGTACATAATCGAATAGAATAGATCTTCAGCAACCCATGCTTGCCGTAATAAGTGACTATGCTTGTCGTAAGAGGCGACTAACGGGATCGGGTGGTCAGGCTCGCTGACTTGGTTGATGCATGTCATCGTATCCCAATTGCGTGGATCGATGCTCATGATGCCAATCACTGGATTGTCTGGTCCAGACTCGATTATTTACAGACCGCCGCCATATAGCTGGAATATTGCCGAGTGTGGCGTTAAACAACCAACAAACAAACAACATGGCACTTATCCCTTCGATTTAAATGTTAAATTGAATAGGTCGCTATGAATGAATGAAAATATTGCTTCACGCCGCATCCGGGACATCGCTTCTCTTTGCGGCAAAAGGCCGCCATGATGGTCAGTGTTTCCATTACTCGCTCTCAGAATGTCAGTCTTGCTTTTACTGGAATGTCAATATATACTTTGAAAAAGTGACAGTTGATATTTATTATGATTGTTTTGACGCTGGGTGTCAACACGCATCAATGCTTCATGGATGAATATTACAGTTTATGCTTGAAATGGCGACCTATTTTGTTTGTTTGAATCAGTAGATGAACATTGTGGGCATTGAAACACTTATAAAAAGCCTTCAAAAACGTGTGTATTTAAACATTGGTTTTGTATACTTCACTCTCATTAATGAAATGCATTGAAAATGTTAGCAAAAGGTGTTTAACATAAATGAAAATGAAGCAAGCCTTGCAAGGTTTAATTCTTAATTGCACACAGCTGTGATGACGCCACGCTATATATTGTGACACAAAGTTATGATATCACAGTCGAAGAACGTAAAATACAAAGCTCTCTCTTTATCACATAATTATGAAATACGGACTCTTGGTTGATTTCGGTCCTGATTCTGCATAAAATGTGTTTTCACGCGTACTTTGAATACTTAGAGATTATATACATTTTGGATTTTGTAACATACACTTGTATATGTAATTATTTCAGTATATCTACCGACAATACGTTTCAATAAGAATTTACTACCTTGGCAATGCGGACGCCAGAGCAGTAATTCGATAAGGAGTAGACTGAAATCTCTGAGTCACAGATCGGAATTAAGTGTTTTTTCAAAGTCCCAATAAAATGTCAATATGACAATCATATTTTAGAATCCTGCTTTCTGATTGGTTCGCACACAATTATCGATTCTACGCCAGAAAGTTATTTTGTTGATGGCATCACTTTGTATCAATAACACTTCATTCACAAATCCGACCTGTTGGCAATTATTTCAAATGATGATTCTACTTAATAAACGTATCGAACGTGTTGTAGATATCCTGGTATATTATAATCAAGTGTGGCAATACATTGTAGACAGAAAACGTCACGAATAACGACCTCAAGCGGACTCGGTCAGTTTCGTATGAAATTTACAGGTATCGAATCTACACTCTAAACTTCCAAATTAAAAAAAACAGAAGGCGTATCTACATAATGTGTGGCTGAAAAGAAATGCCTATTAGAGAACACAAAGTATATGACCTGTTCGTTGTAAACATGAACTTTTGTTAGGTGAACTACAGTATTTTTGAATAAAGACGTAACATTGCTGTCGTGTTTACCTAAGTAATCTGAGCTTCTCTTTCAGTTGTCCTGTGAATTGGAGAATTCGAAAGACGGAATCTGATCACGGTCTTCTTGTTTCGGAGATGTTTCGCATGTTTCACTTACCAGGATACACTGAAGTGGTCTTCAGTTGCACATTTGCGCCCTGTTTCACCGTTTTCCAGTATTGCTTTGAGGTAGTTTGTTGTCCTACACGATCGTGTAAAATATTATATGGATTTACTTGATTTAAATATTAAGTTAAACAACACAGAAGAATACCATTGAATGTTTTTTTATTGAGAAAATCGAGATTCTAATGATTGTTTGAACAAAGTGATGATCTCAATCCATTGTTTGTGTCTGCAAAATACACAACATTCAGTTCCAAACGAAATTCATCAAGATATAAACAAACTATCGTAGCTATATTGCCTACATTTATCACTTTCCTTTATACAACGTAAACTCACGAGGACCTCGTTAGAATTGGTTTGGTTTGTTGTTTTACGCCGCACTCAGCAATATTCCAGCTATATGAAGACGGTCTGTAAATAATCGAGTCTGGACCAGACAATCCAGTGATTGATATCATGAACATCGATCTACGCAATTAGGATCGATGCATCAACTAAGTCACCCGATCCCGTCAGTCGCCTTTTACGACAAGCATGCCATTGTGTTGCTGAAGACCAATTCTACCCGGATCTACACGGGTCACCTCGTTAGACAAATTCAAGACAACACCATAGAACATTCAGTCTCGATTTTCTGCTGTTGAACAGAATACATTGGGGGAAAGGGCAAACAATGATGACAAATACACGGCCGTAGTTAACTTTATTTGACAGGAGGGGGGAGATATTTGTACAAGTATCACTTGTCCCCAACTTGATTAAAATCTTGTCCCCAACTTGATTCAAATAAAACTGTTTTCTATATATATAAAAATATAGGGGGGGGGGGGGGGGCTGGCTACGGCACTGAAATAAATGAATGGATCACAGAAACTCAGCGATGACACCAGGTGTTCGCGAAAAGGGCAAGCATTTCCTGCTTTATCTTAATCCACTTTGTTGAAGCTATTGTCATCAACATCATATCAACTGACAAGCTTTTAGACATACAGTACAAGCGATGTCCTGGTCTGTGAATTTGTTTCAGCTGATTTAGCAAGACACTGGTTTCAACTTGTCTCCATGTACTTCCATAATTCACGCTACACACTTTCTTAATAAAATATTTTAACGTGATTAATTGCTTTCCACAGCGATGCTATGAATACTATGGATAAACGGACCTATGGAACGAGGAACGGTGAGAATACGATTGCTTATCATCATAAATTCAATCAATTTCCATTGTAATTTTTACATTTGCCTTGCAAATTATCTGTCACGGTGTGCATATTTTTCAGATGTAAACAGCATGTAACCACTCAGTTGATACAACAGCCAATCAACATTTCCAGTGTCACCACTCAGTTCATACAACAGCCAATCAGGCTTTAACCAGATACTGGGTTTTGTCGCTTCTCACTTTAATACAGGCTATAACCAAATGCATGTTTTTGTCGCTTCTCACTTTAATAAAGGCTATAACCAAATGCATGTTTTTGCCGCTTCTCACTTTAATAAAGGCTATAACCAAATGCATGTTTTTGTCGCTTCTCACTTTAATAAAGGCTATAACCAAATGCATGTTTTTGTCGCTTCTCACTTTAATAAAGGCTATAACCAAATGCATGTTTTTGTCGCTTCTCACTTTAATAAAGGCTATAACCAAATGCATGTTTTTGTCGCTTCTCACTTTAATAAAGGCTATAACCAAATGCATGTTTTTGTCGCTTCTCACTTTAATAAAGGCTATAACCAAATGCATGTTTTTGTCGCTTCTCACTTTAATAAAGGCTATGTCACTTCTCACTCAATAAAGGCTATAACCAAATACAGGGTTTTGTCGCTTCTCACTTTAATAAGGGCTATAACCAAATACAGGGTTTTGTCGCTTTTTAACCCACGATAACTCCAGACGTTATCTTGTAACACGATGTGACACTGGGCCAATGAAGCGGAAACTTGGCATGCACATTGCCACAGATGTAGATTGGGCCTCGATGTTCCGGTCCAGTTTTGAAATGTTTGCCACTGGACAGCTAAATGAGAATTTAACGTTGACCAACGTACAAAATCGCGGTAAATAATGGACGTAGAGATATTGGACGTAGGGCTGATTTACATGTGTGAATGAATTAAATGTAGTACCGTTGTAAGTACTCAGCCACATTACATAGTATATCATCCAGCTAATGACATTACTAGAAAGAAATTATAGAAATGATAATTAACCCCCATCTCTTTACTATTTGTCTAATAATTAGCATTGTTGCACCTCATGACTACATTTTAAGAGAACGTAGTGGTTAAAACGTCCACTCGAGTTGATTCCCCTCATGGGTACAACTTGTGTGTGTTTGCTTTGTTTGTTGTTCTGCGCCACAATCAGCAATATTCCATCTATATGACGGCGGTCTGTAAATAATCGAGTCTCGACCAGATAATCCAGTGATTGACATCACGGACATCGATCCCCGAAATTGGGATACGATGACATGCATCCACCAAGTCAGCGAGCCTGATAACCCGATCTCGTAAGTCGCCTCTTACGACAAACATAGTCACCTTTTACGGCAAGCATAGGTTGCTGAAGACTTATTGTACCCCGGATCTTCACGGGTCGGGTAAAGTGGGTGAGGCCCATTGTGACACCTCGTGCATACTTTAACAACACATGGCTGGTGGCAAAGAATGGGTATTTTATTCTCAACAGAACCGTATGTAGAACCCGGCGATCAGTCTTACAGAGTCTGACAGAGGAAGGCGGCGACGTCCTGTTGACACTTTGGCAGCTGATGGGCGGAGCTGGCTGGTCATAGTTCGCCCCTCCTTGTCCCTGTCTTGCCTCTCGTGCAGAGTTGCGTCCCTTTAGCATGTCAGAATCCTATGATTGTGGGTTCGAATCCCGGTTCGCCCCGATTATCTTTCTAGGTTGTCAGCACCATACCCGTGCTCGTGGGTTTCACTGAAGTGGTAAACATCTAAGACGTGCATCACTTCGGGCTATCCTCCCACATTAAGCTGACAAGACGCGATATAACTGTAATGTTAAAATCGGCGTTAAACCCAACTCTCTCTCTCTCTCAGACCGCCTCCGTGGTCTTGTGGTAGAGCGTCCGCCCGGAGAGCGGAAGGTCCAGGGTTCGATCCCGGGCCGCGTCATACAAAAAGACGTTAAAAGATTGTACTTGTTGTTACCCTGTCTGGCGCTCGGTATTAAGGGGCTAAAACAAGGACTGGTCGGCTCGGAGTCAGTATACTGAGTCTGAGTGGGGTATTCATGTTAAACTGCGGCATGGTATCTCAGTGAGCTAGCACTATAAATCGGCATCAGTCCGGACTAGTACAAGCAGCCACACACACATACACGTGCATGCACGTCGCTATATAAGTGCAATAATCTTGGACGCGACGTTAAACCCAATTTCACCTCACCTCACCTCTCTCTCTCTCTCTCTCTCTCTCTCTCTCTGTCTCTCTCCCTCTCTCTAGTTTAATTCTAAGTTTATTAGAAATTACCGAATGACACAATACACATTACGTGAAATATACGTCTTTACTCAGAATCCTACAATTTGACAGTTGTCACACAATATAAATCATAATAATGAATTCATTATTCAACTGATGCCCTTTTTCGCGTGAGTATGAAATAAAGCAGGCAATACACAGATACTTATGTCTTTTTTAAATGATATTTTTTCATTTGACAACCAGGTCAGGGCCTAAAATAAAGCATGGACAAGAGGCAAGTATGTGCCCGTTTAACTTCCGGGAGCATTAAACCCGTCATTGTAATATCTGCTCAGCATCACAGCGTGTAACAATGGTGATGGTACTTCCCTGTGCTCTTGAGCCTCTGTATTTTGAATTTTGATATTATTTTTATAGAATGTTTTCATCTATCAGTTATCTCGTGGTAGGAATGGCACCTGTTTCCATATCAGACCAGCTGTAGTTATTTTGTAGAGCCAACACGTTTGCCTAAAATATACTCGCAAACAAAAGACGGGGATAATAAAATATATACGTTATGATCGGTCGTCATTAGGAGGTAGATTCGGGCCATGCCACATCGTATAAACGAATATTTGCCCAATCGTGGGACCATGACCTATAATCCATCTCAAACATTCATTTTTTTTATCTGTTTTTTTTTAATGCTGATGAATCTGGAATTTCTCCTCGTATTAGCAGTCAAAACTAGGTGATTTATCCAAGAAGTTTAACTTAAGCTCAGGGGGACCATTGGTGGCCCAGTTGTCTACGGCGCCGCAATTCGTTCTGCAAAGCAGCGCCCCTATGGCACGCCAGAAACCTTTGACCGTGGTTTTGAATGCGGGTTCGCCACGATTATGTTTCTATGTTTGCCGCGTTAAATTCAATCACTCACTTAGGTTTTAAGCTTAGGTTTTAAGCTTCAGGTACGTCGAAGATCCGATATCGTTCAATAACCATGAAATAGCCAATTCCCTTCCACCGATTTACGGGTGGTGGGTAGGGGTGACTATTGGTCTGGAAATCACTATTGCGATAACTATTGATATTGTAGGAAACTATTGCGATGAATATCGATAGTTTTCAGTTTATCATTTTAGATGGATTTTAGAGTTGATTTAAACCTTGGAACTGTCGTTTCTTTTGAATGTGATAACCATAACAACAAATAAAAAGTAAAGTTTGAGATATGACTGATTTGTTTTTTCTTTAACCTAATAATTTAAGAAAAAGAAACTTCCACATTACCATGTGTAAATTACTACCACTCGTGATCAAAAGAAAAACAAATTTGAACATCATCGCATGTATTTTATTGATATGGTAAACACAATCGAAACTATCGATATTCCAAACTGAAATCGATACTATTGATCGAAAACTGATTTAACAACCGATTTATTGCCTTTAAGTGCCTACCAATAGCAATTTATCGATATTTCGATTATCGTGACACCCCCAGTGGTGGGGTATCCTAGTGGTTAAAGCGATCGCACATCACGCCGAAGACCCGGGTTCGATACCCCACATGGATACAAACTATATAGCTAATTTCCGATGTCCTCCGCCGTGATATTGCTGGAATATTGCTAAATGAGACGTAAAACCATACTCACTCACTCACTCCGCTGAGTTACCCATCTGAACTAGATATATAGGAGACCAGTGAGATCGCCTCACCTGTTTCATATTTTGGTCAGTGCACGAAGATTCAGAGTGACAAAACACTCTCCACATGACAAGAGGGATGATTTCAAATAGTCGACTTTCCCTTCATGTCGAGCAATATTCCAGCAGCTCCAGCCTTTGTTGTTTACATTTCACAACTTTTGAGAAACAGTCGAGCATGCTCTTTCTACCAAGATTTCAAAGAGGCCATACGACTCCTGCTCACAAGTTGTTTGATCAAGGTTACAACATTCAAGGCCTCAGTAAAGATTTCTAAGAGGCCACACGACTCCTGCTCACAAGTTGTTTGATCAAGGTTACAACATTCATGGCCTCAGTAAAGATTTCTAAGAGGCCACACGACTCCTGCTCACAAGTTGTTTGATCAAGGTTACAACATTCATGGCCTCAGTAAAGATTTCTAAGAGGCCACACGACTCCTGCTCACAAGTTGTTTGATCAAGGTTACAACATTCATGGCCTCAGTAAAGATTTCTAAGAGGCCACACGACTCCTGCTCACAAGTTGTTTGATCAAGGTTACAACATTCAAGGCCTCAGTAAAGATTTCTAAGAGGCCACACGACTCCTGCTCACAAGTTGTTTGATCAAGGTTACAACATTCATGGCCTCAGTAAAGATTTCTAAGAGGCCACACGACTCCTGCTCACAAGTTGTTTGATCAAGGTTACAACATTCAAGGCCTCAGTAAAGATTTCTAAGAGGCCACACGACTCCTGCTCACAAGTTGTTTGATCAAGGTTACAACATTCATGGCCTCAGTAAAGATTTCAAAATGTTTTATGGTAGACATGCGGAGGACATTTCCAATTTTGATGTATCAGTGACAAAAATAATGTCCGATGCAATTCCCTATTTTGACTTGTACCATATGTTCCCATATTTTTCAGGTGCATACTTGACTTGTCTTTGCATGTGTTTGTGATGGGTGCCACCGGTGGGACAGGATATGCTTACCTTTTCGCGAACACCTAGTATCATTACTATTTGATAGTGATTCCTAAACACATGTTCATGATATAGTCAGAATCGTTCAATCGACTCTGCTTTAAGAAGGTTTCTATTGGATATGGAAAGTGTTTTGTCGCTTTATTTGATTAATTATACTGTGTAATAGAAAATGAACCCCCCACTTCTCTGTCTTACCCACCAGAACGAGGAATAAAGGGACCAATCGAGCATGCTAATTCTACGAAGATTCCAAAGAGCACCATTAAGCGCATGCTCAGGGTTACAACATTTAAGACACGAGAAGATCCGGGGTAGAATAGGTCTTCAGCAAACCATGCTTGCTGTAAAATGCGACTATGCTTGTTATAAGAGGCGACTAACGGGATTGGGTGGTCAGGCTCGCTGACTTGGTTGATGCATGTCATCGATCCCAATTGCCTGGATCGATGCTCATGATGTCAATCACTGGATTGTCTGTTCCAGACTCGCTTATTTACAGAGCGCCGTCATATAGCTGGAATACTGCTGGGCGCGGCGTTAAACAACAAACAAACAAACAAATACAACATTTACGGTCACATGTCCAACATTAAACGGCCTTGAGTGTAGTAACACTCATCTGTCATGTATGGATGGCCATTATATACCAACTGATACAGATGGCATTTTAGATCATGTTACATCATGTCTCTCAATATCTACTAAAAGTTAGTTTTTGGAATTAATCTGAATAAGGATTTAGGGTAATATATAAATTGTGGATTAATATTACTAAAACGAAATATGTTACATCATCCAACACTTATTTTTACCAAGAGTCGAATTAAGTCCTTGAAAGCTTCGTAGAAAAGAGCATGCTTGATTGTACGTCAAAGGTTATAAAATTGTGAAGTCATACAGTGTTATGGAGAGGTTTTTGTCACTCTGAATCACTCAGATCTAAATATGAAACAGATGAGGCGGTTTCACGGGTACCAACATCGTATCTTAATGGCGTTAGTGTTGCCCATTTTGGACATTCCTCGTCAGCCTGTCCATTCTTTAGGTAGCAATTCTGAACCTGAATGCGTCAAAACATCACACTGACTCAATCTATGGCACTATGACAATGTAAAAGACAACAATCACTCAATATATATGGCTTACGGAAATATGTCCCGCCAAAAAGGCAATGGCGGTTTATATATTGTCGAACACATATGCAGCCACGTAAAAGTGGGTTCACATTTTCTTCGAAAAAGGAAATGTCACAATCCGCTATAATAGCAGTGATTAACCACGATCCACTGTCTGTATTACACTATATATATCGGTGACATCCGTTTCCTGCCGTCGGTTAATGACAGCTACATGTATTAGTTTATGTATGGCGATAGTTCAGCACTTTGTTCGTAGATGTCGATAGAAATGGAGGTTGTTTTTCTGGCTATGCTTCTTCCCTTGCTAACCAACGCCGCTAAAACTGGACGATTCCAAGGTATGATTTAAAAAATATATTTGCCTGCCAAAAAACACTTGATGCTTAAACAGTAATCTTTTTATTGCACACACAATCTCAATTAGAAGTCTCCTGTCCACGCCAGAATATTATTCCAAACATTTATGCAGAACATGTTTTTCGCTTAACTGTATATTCACTCATTTATATATAACAGTATTAGAAGTGCTTTATGTTGGGGTTTAAAACTTAAATTTGTCATTGGGATGCATGATATATTTGAGCTATGATGACGTCAGTGGACATTCAGCCAAGTTCCTTTTATCAGAATGTCCCGAGGGATGGACATGGGTGAATAGAAGCTGCTACAGATATGTGGAAGAAGAAGTTGAGAGGTACACTGCTCCAGACAGGTGTCGAGAACTGTATAATGCTTCCCTAGCAACGATTGGGAATATCAAAGAGAATGAAGCCGTCAAAGGTATGTTGAAATGTGCATTCCATTATACATGATATGGCATGATGATGTCACTATAATCGTCAACACATGATGATACAGGACCCGTGAAGATGCGGGCAAGAATACATCTTCAGCAACCCATGCTTGCCGGAAGAGGCGACTAACGGGATCGGGTGGTCAGGCTCGCTGACTTGGTTGGTGCATGTCGTCGTATCCCAATTGCGTGAATCGATGCTCATGATGTCAGTCACTGGATTGTCTTGTCCAGACTCGATTATTTACAGAACGCCGTCATATAGCTGGAATATGTCCGGCGATATACAACAAACAAACAAACAAAAATAATGATACAGATGTACTTGTGCAACACGTTGTATATTTGATGGTGCTCAATTGAACTGGAGTAAAACGACAAAACCCGTTCTATAATCATAAGAAATCTCGGCTAAAAGCACAGTCCTTTGTAAGATTCCGACCATATCACAAGCATGTGTTTATGAATCACTATCACACAGTAATAGAAACAGGTGCTCGGGAAAAGTGAGCGTATCATGCCCCACCGGTGACACTTATCACAAACACATGCAAAGGCAAGACAAATACAAACACGGGTACAAATCGAGAAAGGTAATTGCATCCGACAAATTTTGACAAGAGTCATGTGACGCCAAACCTTCGTAGAAACCTAAGTGCAGCATGATGTTAAAGTTAGCGCCGTCAAATCTAGAGATAACACAACTCTAAATTGAAAACAAATTATCTTTGTATCCATTTTATTCTGAAAACAATTAATACATAATCTCTTTGCTGTTACTCGAAAGTGAAGCGGCACGAAGTAAAAAACGATACTGGAGGTAAAACTTTATTCCTGACAACAAATCTTTTTGTGATCGATATTCATTGCCATCTCCGTCAACCACCAATGGTAGGATTTGGCAGGAGAGGATTTTCAAGTCCACTAGAAAACACTCCTACCTTCCAAAAACCACGAAACAACAAATGTTCCGACATCGCTGCAAAGTCACAACATAGGCACGAACCACGGTGGCGGGGCACAGCTGTCACATGTCTTTCACATGCTGGTGTCGAATGTGGTGAAATTAGGTAACTGACAGTCCTCAAAATCGAAGAATCCCTCGTATACAATGCCTGCTCGTCTGTCAGCCTGGGGCGGTCTGGTAGCCTAGTGGTTAAATCGTTCGCTCATCACGCCGAAGACCCGAGTTAGATTCCCGACATGGGTGCAATGTGTGAAGACCTTTCTGGTGTGATATTGCTGGAATATTGCTAAAAGCGGCTTAAAACCAAACTCACTCACTCACTCGTCTGCAGCATAAACATTGGCAGTCATACTCAATTTCCATTGGCAATCACGCTGTACCAGCAGGTTCATTCCCATTAAATCTGCAGCCTAATGTTCATGAACTAAAACATAGATCAGGGTTGTCATCTGGCTTCATGTAACTTGTCAAAAGCACGACTCGTCATGGCATGGCTGAAATACTGCCGATGTGACCCTAAATCTTAACTCACTCACTCACTCATTCAGAAGCACGGACGGTCAACAACAACATTGGCAGCCATTGACAGTGGTGACGAGTAACCGCGATGTAGGTCAAGTTCTGCCACATCCCAGTTAGAGGTGGAGAGGCATTTATTTTGAATTTTCATTATTTACTGGTGATAATTGCGAACTAACTAATACGAATTACACATTTAAATTAAATAACTGAATATGTAAAATTTGTTCAGCATATTTTTTTCACCATTTCTACAACCTGTCACTCCTGCAATGGGAGTTGATGCGTCGCGCTGATTTCCAAGAATAACCTTTCGCCTCTTTTCCCAAGAAATGTCCAGGAGAGTCAAAACAGTGCAAATATTCAATAGGCTGCGATGAAACTAAAACATATATCTTTGGACTCAGTTTTGAGGGTTATTTGTCAACCCCTTTTGCAAACTAAGTTTTGAACATGATTACTGCAACTAGTCGGTGCTATGAATATTTTTATGTTTAAGTTAAGTGATGTTTGTTACATTTATAACTACCTGTGACCCCTTTTCGGAATGTTCTAATAAAGCGGACATTTGTACCTAATTCTAATTTGGCGCCCCGTATCGAAAGCGCTCTTGCCGTCATGGAAGAGTGAGGATAAACCTACTGTGGTTTTACATTTGAAACCTGTCGCCAAATTAAAATAATTGCGACTACATCAATTTTCAATACAGAGGTTTATCTCGTAAATATGGTATTTCTCCATTTTATAACAGTTGATGTAACCTTCAAATGTACATAACAATTCTAATTTGTGATGTGAAACCTCTGATTGATGCCATGGTAGGATTGACTTCAGAGTATCGACTCTACCTTCGCTAATCAAACCGAAGTTCGTTATAAGCATATATAAGCATATATACAAGCGAATGGGCGAGGCCCAAAAATAGTTCGTTATTTCCTCCAGTTCGTTATAAGGGTGTTCGTTATCAACGTAGTTTACTGTATACAGCAAATGGCCGGGACCAAAGATTAGTGTGTTATATCCGTCAGTTCGTTATAAGCGTGTTCGTTTTACACGTAGTTTACTGTATTTAAAGACAGTACTTGTTGTTACCCTGCCCCGCGTTCGGCATCAAGGGGATATAACAAGGACTGGTCGGCTCGGAGTCAATTTACTGTGTCTGAGTAGGGGTATCCGTGTTAAACCGCGGCTGTATATCGACTAGCACCATGCAACCGGCATATGTCTATGTCGGCATATGTCGGACTAATACAAGCAGCCACACTCACGTGCATGCACGTTGGTTGCTACCTGAGTGAAATATTCTTGAAAGCGACGTTAAACCCCTTTTCACCTCATTGGACATACATGCACGTACTCACATATACACCGACTTTGAAACAAGTTCACAGACTGCCACTTCAGGCGATAATAGAGTACACACATTCGTGACCAACTCGTGTTATTCCGGGAAAAACCGAATAGCGACTCGTGCCCCAGTCGTGGCCATTTATGCGACCGGGTTCCGTCTTAGCGCAAACGGGCATACCTAAAACAATTGGCAACTCGCTGCTAATGGTTCACACATTTTCCCCATATATTATATACATTTCAGATACAATTTAAAGCACATCGGGACGTGTGGAATTATACAGTATGATTGAACACATTTAACTGTGTCTTTGGTATATTTTTAGATGCAAGACATATGTAAAATGAAAAATTATTTCTGAGGGATTCTTTGACGAAGAACTTGAAATCATACGAGCATTCTGATTGGTTGGTCATATTTTCGCACATAACATTCATCTATAGGGGGACGAGTCTTCTTGCAGGCTACGGAAAGGGGCGAGTGGTGACGAATGAGAGTACACAATCATCATTACAGTGTTATACGGATACAGCACCTGAATATCTCTCTGAGCTCTTGGACAAACAAACACCTATCAGATATCTCCGCTCTGACAAAAAAGTTCTTAAAATCCCCGCAACCAGATTGAAGTCATTTGGTCAGAGAACCTTCAAGTTCTTGGCCGCTTCACTATGGAACCAGCTGCCACTAGAACTGAGACTGTCATCCTTCCACCTTTCAAGAGTGGACAAAAAACACACCTGTTCCATAAATAGTACGGCCTCACATGAACTGTGTTCATTATATCATGCCTGGTTTATGAACTCTGTTTCGCTGTGAGCTTCCACTTGTGAATGGAGGTGAGGTGAAATGGGGTTTAACGTCGCGTCCAAGATTATTGCGCTTATATAGCGACGTGCATGCACGTGTATGTGTGTGTGTGGCTGCTTGTACTAGTCCGGACTGATGCCGATTTATAGTGCTAGCTCACTGAGATACCATGCCGCAGTTTAACATGAATACCCCACTCAGACACAGTATACTGACTGTTTTAGCCCCTTAATGCCGAGCGCCAGACAGGGTAACAACAAGTACAATCTTTTAACGTCTTTTTGTATGACGCGGCCCGGGATCGAACCCTGGACCTTCCGCTCTCCGGGCGGACGCTCTACCACAAGACCACGGAGGCGGTCACTTGTGAATGGAAGTCATACAAATGTACATACACATCCCCCATGAACGTACTCTCTAGTTATACATGCATGTCCCTTTCAACAAACAACTTGTGTCATTATGATTATTTCTAGATCTTATTCATGGTCACAAGGAGGCGTGGATCGATTTTAAAGGATATCGACGGAACAGCAAATATCGGGTGAGAAAAAAACCATCCTCAATCTGAGAATAGAGGCGCTTTTAGTTTGATATAGATTTAGCAACTATCTTACAATTGCAAGATAGAGTGAGTGAGTGAGTTGGGTTTAACGCCGCTTTTAACATTATTACAGTTATATCACGGCGTGTCAGCTTAATGTGATAGGAAAGCCCGAATTGATGAAGGTCTAAGACGTTCATCACTTCGGTGAAACCCACGAGCATAGGTATGGTGCCGACAAACCTAGAAACATAATCGGGGCGAACCGGGATTCGAACCCACAATCATAGGTTTCTGGCGTGCCCAAGGGACGCAACTCTGCACAGCGAATCACGGCGCCTTAGACGACTGGGCCACCCGTGCCCCCAGCAAAACAGAGGACACTCAAACTTTTCTGGCGTGGCGAGTGAATGCTTACTCACATTTTTACCTACCCCTATCTGTGTTTGAGATAGCCTTATAAATTTATAGCGCTTTAGAATAATTAGTATCACTTATTGCCGAAACAGATTCAATTGGCCAAAAGCAAAATAGTCGTGGAAATTATAGGAAATCATCAATGAAAATCAGCGATGCCATCAGGTATTAGCAAAAAGGGTTCTCCATTAATAAGTCTTTGAATGGCAGTGTGATAGTGATGCACATATGGAAAAGAATTTACTGATGTCAACTTCATTATTATAAGGAGCACAACTGAGTATTTATACTTACCCCTTTATCAGGTGAAGAAGTAAGTTTATACTCCGAAATGTTTTGTTCCTCATAATGAAAAAGTTGGCATCCATAAATTCTCTTCCTTACTCCATGTTTATGATATTATACTTTTACACCAAATGCACCTGATTTAGAAAAAAATAATAATCCAAACAAAAGGTGACACCATATAAGCTATTAGTGTAGATCAAAATGTCAGTTTGTTGAACTATGTGTACGACGTTATTGAAGTTATAAAAAATTATGTTTCTCGAATTGTCATAATTTCTACATATTAATGTCATCTTGATAAAACACTTGGATACGTCAGTCCAGCATAATGTGCGTCTTACTTTTAAGAAGAGACATGTCTTACAAGAGAAAATACGCTGCATCTCTCATTTAACAAGTACAACTGTCAGGTCTGACGATGCAGCATGATAATGATTTTAGATGCAGAAAAATGAAAGGAAAAGTCGCAGGAAATTAATAAATAAAGTATCAAAATTTACCCCATTTGATGAGTATATAAAAGCAACAAAACCCTTTTCATATTCATCACTGTGCCAAAAGCAGGGTCGATTGTACGACCCCGACAATATCATGTTCATGTGTCTATGAATCAGCCTAAAATAGTCACGTTACTAGCTCTTCCTCGACCCCGTCACAAACTCATGCAAAGGCTAGTCAATTCTTCTCCTGAAAAAAACACGGGTCTACGATAAACCGTTTTGAAAGCTTTACTGAGGCCTTGAATGTTATAACAATGATCAAACAGCCTCTGAGAGAGAGTCGTATGGCGTTTGAAATCTTGGTAGAACGAGCATGCTCGACTGTACCTCAAAAGGTAGACAACAAAGGCTTGAAATGCAGGCATATTGCTCGACATTACGGTGAGGTGAGGTGAAATGGGGTTTAACGTCGCGTCCAAGATTATTATATTATATAGCGACGTGCATGTACGTGTGTGTGGCTGCTTGTACTAGTCAGGACTGATGCCGATTTATAGTCCTAGCACACTGAGATACCATGCCGCAGTTTAACATGAATACCCCACTCAGACACAGTATACTGACCCCGAGCCAACCAGTCCTTGTTTTAGCCCTTTAATGCCGAGCGCCAGACAGGGTAACAACAAGTACAATCTTTTAACGTCTTTTGGAAGGACGCGGCCGGGGATCGAACCCTGGACATTCCGCTCTCCGGGCGGACGCTCTACCACTGGATCACGGAGGCGGTTCGACATTACGGAAAAGTTGACAAAGTTGTATGTCCAACATTATGTAACCTGAACCATCGCTATTCTGCATTTATTGCGTCGCACGCAACTATTGTCAACTGGATCACACCATACCGAACCCGTGAACATCCGGGTCAGAATATGTCTTCAGCAACCATGCTTGCCGTAAAAGGCGACCATGCTTGTCGTAAAAGGCGACTAACGGGACGGGTGGTCAGGGTCGCTGACTTGGTTGATGCATGTCATCGATCCCAACTACGTGGATCGATGTTCATGATATCAATCACTGGATTGTCTGGTCCAGACTCGATAATTTACAGACCGCCGTCAAATAGCTGGAATATTGCTGAGTGCGGCGTCAAACAACAAGCAAACAAACAAACACTACATATCGCAAATCACAGATAGAAGATTGTGAAGACTAACAAGGACTGGTGCACACTTACGAACTCCAAGTATAAACATAAACAATGTTAATATTGGATCGCTGAGATGTCACACATGCTGGCAAACACAAATATATGGATGGATCACTAAATATCAGTGATGACACCAGGTGTTCGCGAAAGGGGAAAGGATGCCCTGCTCTACCGGTAGCACCCGCCACTCGCACAGTTTGCATGAGTGAGTGAGTGAGCTGGGTCTTAACGCCGCTTTTAACACTATTCCAGTTATATCACGGCGTGTCAGCTTAATGTGGGAGGAGAGCCCGAAGTGATGCAGGTCTCAGACGTTTACCACTTCGGTGAAACCCACGAGCACGGGTATGGTGCTGACAAACCTAGAAACATAATCGGGGCGAACCGGGATTCGAACCCACAATCATAGGTTTCTGGCGTGCCCAAGGGACGCGACTCTGCACAGCGAATCGCGGCGCCTTAGACGACTGGGCCACCCGTGCCCCCCAGTTTGTTGCCTGACGCCGCAGCAGTACACTTGCCATGCGACGGCAGTTTTGTAAAAGAAAACCCAGACACTCAAGTGATTTCAGAGGTGAACATGATCTCACTCTCCGATACATAGTCAAATGATTTCAATCAACGAAACAATGTCTTTCATTGTTTTTTTTCATCCATGTCATGGCTACTGGTTTAAGATAAAATTGTCTTAAGTTCCAAGTAAGTTTAGACCCGTGAAGATGCCGGGAAGAAAAGGTCTTCAGTAACCCATGCTTGCCGGAAGAGGCTACTAACGGGATCGGGCGGTCAGGCTCGCTGACTTGTTTGATGCATGTCATTGATCCCAATTGCATGGATCGATGATCATGATGTCAATCACTGGACTGACTCGATTATTTACAGACCGCCGTCATAAAGCTGGAATATTGCTGAGTGCTGTGTTAAACAACAAACGAACAAACAAATAAAACATACGCAATCATTATATCCTAAGCGGAGTTCCGACCCTGACTTTTATCTTTAAACGTAAATAAAAATAACCAACTAATTCTCGTTTATTTTATTTTCAGTCTAGGTTTCATCACTTCGAAGGTTTTCCAGGACGCCGAGAAAACTGTGTAAAGATATTACAAAGTGGCTATTGGCGAAATTTCTATTGTGGTGATGAAAGCCCTTTTGTGTGTATGCGAAAAGCTGGTAAGAATCTGACGTCAGTACACTACGATCCATCATGTGCACTAGTGTATTTATATGTGCAAACTAGAGCAACAGGTGTTCTTTCCTGGGAACTGCATGGAAGATGAAAACATTGTTGACAGCATATCAACATCAACAGGTATTAAAACTTCAAAATAGATAACGACCTATACTCTTTTTTTAATGAGCAAAACATCATCAAGAGGAATAAATCAAACGTGTTTTCGAAATAGCTTTTTGGTTGTTTGAAGTTATTGAAAACCCTCTTTCTTCTTTCAATTAAATGTATGATAAGAGACGATGGTGGGCGTGTTGCGTGAAAAAGAAAATGTGTTGGAATCATCGAAGGCTTCACTCATTTTGGATTGTAGATTACCAAATCGAATGACTATCTGCCATCTGTACTGCACGTGGCCGCCGAGTAGTAGGATAGCAGGGTATACAGCGAGTCTGTACTACACGTGGCCACCGAGCAGTCGGGTATACAGCCAGTCTGTACTCCACGTGACCACCAAGCAGTCGGGTATACAGCGAGTCTGTACTCCACGTGGCCACCAAGCAGTAGGGTATACAGCGAGTCTGTACCACGTGTGACCACAAAGCAGCAGGGTATACAGCGATTCTGTACCACGTGTGACCACAAAGCAGTAGGGTATACAGCTTGTCTATAGCACGTGTTACCACCAATCAGTAGGGTATACAGCGAGTCTGTATACCACGTGTGACCACCAAGCAGTAGGGTATACAGCGAGTCTGTACTCCACTTGGCCACCAAGCAGTCGGGTATACAGTGAGTCTGTACTGCACGTGGCCACCGAGCAGTCGGGTATACAGCGAGTCTGTACTGCACGTGGCCACCCAGCAGTAGGGTATACAGCGAGTCTGTACTCCACTTGGCCACCCAGCAGTAGGGTATACAGCGAGTCTGTACTCCACTTGGCCACCCAGCAGTAGGGTATACAGCGAGTCTGTACTCCACTTGGCCACCCAGCAGTAGGGTATACAGCGAGTCTGTACTCCACTTGGCCACCCAGCAGTAGGGTATACAGCGAGTCTGTACTCCACTTGGCCACCCAGCAGTAGGGTATACAGCGAGTCTGTACTCCACTTGGCCACCCAGCAGTAGGGTATACAGCGAGTCTGTACTCCACTTGGCCACCCAGCAGTAGGGTATACAGCGAGTCTGTACTCCACTTGGCCACCCAGCAGTAGGGTATACAGCGAGTCTGTACTCCACTTGGCCACCCAGCAGTAGGGTATACAGCGAGTCTGTACTCCACTTGGCCACCCAGCAGTAGGGTATACAGCGAGTCTGTACTGCACGTGGTCACCAAGCAGTCGGGTATACAGCGAGTCTGTACTGCACGTGGCCACCGAGCAGTCGTGTATACAGCGAGTCTGTACCACGTGTGACCACCAAGCAGTAGGGTATACAGTAAGTCTGTACTGCACGTGGTCACCAACCAGCAGGGTATACAGCGAGTCTGTACTCACGTGGCCACCGAGTAGTCGGGTATACAGCGAGTCTGTACTCCACTTGGTCACCAAGCAGTCGGGTATACAGCGAGTCTGTACTCCACTTGGTCACCAAGCAGTCGGGTATACAGCGATTCTGTACCACGTGTGACCACCAAGCAGTAGGGTATACAGCTTGTCTATAGCACGTGTTACCACCAATCAGTAGGGTATACAGCGAGTCTGTATACCACGTGTGACCACCAAGCAGTAGGGTATACAGCGAGTCTGTACTCCACTTGGCCACCAAGCAGTCGGGTATACAGTGAGTCTGTACTGCACGTGGCCACCGAGCAGTCGGGTATACAGCGAGTCTGTACTGCACGTGGCCACCCAGCAGTAGGGTATACAGCGAGTCTGTACTCCACTTGGCCACCCAGCAGTAGGGTATACAGCGAGTCTGTACTCCACTTGGCCACCCAGCAGTAGGGTATACAGCGAGTCTGTACTCCACTTGGCCACCCAGCAGTAGGGTATACAGCGAGTCTGTACTCCACTTGGCCACCCAGCAGTAGGGTATACAGCGAGTCTGTACTCCACTTGGCCACCCAGCAGTAGGGTATACAGCGAGTCTGTACTCCACTTGGCCACCCAGCAGTAGGGTATACAGCGAGTCTGTACTCCACTTGGCCACCCAGCAGTAGGGTATACAGCGAGTCTGTACTCCACTTGGCCACCCAGCAGTAGGGTATACAGCGAGTCTGTACTGCACGTGGTCACCAAGCAGTCGGGTATACAGCGAGTCTGTACTGCACGTGGCCACCGAGCAGTCGTGTATACAGCGAGTCTGTACCACGTGTGACCACCAAGCAGTAGGGTATACAGTAAGTCTGTACTGCACGTGGTCACCAACCAGCAGGGTATACAGCGAGTCTGTACTCACGTGGCCACCGAGTAGTCGGGTATACAGCGAGTCTGTACTCCACTTGGTCACCAAGCAGTCGGGTATACAGCGAGTCTGTACTCCACTTGGTCACCAAGCAGTCGGGTATACAGCGAGTCTGTACTGCACGTGGCCACCGAGCAGTCGTGTATACAGCGATTCTGTACCACGTGTGACCACAAAGCAGTAGGGTATACAGTAAGTCTATAGCACGTGTTACCACCAATCAGTAGGGTATACAGCGAGTCTGTACTGCACGTGGTCACCAAGCAGTCGGGTATACAGCGAGTCTGTACTCCACTTGGTCACCAAGCAGTCGGGTATACAGCGAGTCTGTACTGCACGTGGCCACCGAGCAGTCGTGTATACAGCGATTCTGTACCACGTGTGACCACAAAGCAGTAGGGTATACAGTAAGTCTATAGCACGTGTTACCACCAATCAGTAGGGTATACAGCGAGTCTGTATACCACGTGTGACCACCAAGCAGTAGGGTATACAGCGAGTCTGTACTGCACGTGGCCACCGAGCAGTCGTGTATACAGCGAGTCTGTACCACGTGTGACCACCAAGCAGTCGTGTATACAGCGAGTCTGTACTGCACGTGGTCACCAAGCAGTCGGGTATACAGCGAGTCTGTACCACGTGTGGCCACCAAGCAGTAGGGTATACAGCGAGTCTGTACTCCACTTGGCCACCGAGCAGTCGGGTATACAGCGAGTCTGTACCACGTGTGACCACCAAGCAGTAGGGTATACGGCGAGTCTGTACTGCACGTGGCCACCAAGCAGTCGGGTATACAGCGAGTCTGTACTGCACTTGGCCACCAAGCAGTCGTGTATACAGCGAGTCTGTACTGCACGTGGTCACCAAGCAGTAGGGTATACAGCGAGTCTGTACCACGTGTGACCACCAAGCAGTAGGGTATACAGCGAGTCTGTACTGCACGTGGCCACCGAGCAGTCGGGTATACAGCGAATCTGTACTGCACGTGGCAACCGAGCAGTCGGATATACAGCGAGTCTGTACTCCACTTGGTCACCAAGCAGTAGGGTATACAGCGAGTCTGTACTGCACGTGGCCACCAAGCAGTCGGGTATACAGCGAGTCTGTATATCACGTGGCCACCAAGCAGTCGGGTATACAGCGAGTCTGTACTGCACGTGGCCACCGAGCAGTAGAGTATACAGCGCGTCTGTACTGCACGTGGCCACCGAGCAGTCGGGTATACAGCGAGTCTGTACTGCACGTGGCCACCCAGCAGCAGGGTATACAGCGAGTCTGTACTGCACGTGGCCACCGAGCAGTCGGATAGACAGCGAGTCTGTACTCCACTTGGTCACCAAGCAGCAGGGTATACAGCGAGTCTGTACTGCACGTGGCCATCGAGCAGTCGGGTATACAGCGAGTCTGTACCTCGTGTGACCACCAAGCAGTAGGGTATACAGCGAGGCTGTACAGCACGTGGCCACCAAGCAGTAGGGTATACAGCGAGGCTGTACAGCACGTGGCCACCAAGCAGTCGTGTATACAGCGAGTCTGTACCACGTGTGACCACCAAGCAGTAGGGTATACAGCGATGCTGTACAGCACGTGACCACCAAGCAGCAGGGTATACAGCGAGTCTGTACTGCAACTGACCACTGGAATGCCTTAAACTGAACTGATCGTGACTTATTAAAGGGCTGTTATTGTAAAGGATTGGACCTATAACATGATTCCTAATTTACATGCTCCCATTGAGTTGAGTTCATGTTCTGTTTTGCCCATACAATTTTGGTATTGGTGTTAGTCCTAAAAACATATTATAGTTTTACATGTCAGATTATTTAAGTAGGCTCATCTTTAGATACCTTAGCCGCGGTGGCTAATTTTTGTATTGCTCCTACACCTTTCCAATATCCTCGAGGGCTATAGTAAATTTTATCCGTGATTAATTAATATTGATGATTCTTTTAATACGAATGATCGTTGAATCGCATCATCATTTTTGCATAAAAAATCCCCCCCCCCCCCCCCCCCCCCCCCCCCAGAACCCCCATTACCACATATACGTTTGTAAAGTAAAGCCACGCTGTGTGTATTTTCAGATTGTGACCCTGGCTGGGGTGGGGATTCTTGTGATCGCCCGTGTCACTGTTACCTGAACTATAGCTGTTCGGGAACAACTTGTCCGTATGGGTGCCAACCTGGGTGGACCGGATCTTTATGTGTCACTCGTGAGTAAGAAGAAAATACTATTTGTTTGGCCAAGTTAAACTTACTACTCAACATATCCTTCGCTTTTTCATGACTACAATCTTGAATGGTTTACAAAAAAGTATTGAGTGTAAGTATTTAGTGATTGGGTTTAAGCACCAGAAATCGTATCTGTACACAAATACATATATGAGTGAGTGAGTGAGTTGGGTTTAACGCCTCTTTTGACAGTATTCCAGTGAGCTTGATGTGGGAGGAAAGCCCGAAGTGATACAGGTCTCAGACGTTTACCACTTCGGTGAAACACACGAGCACGGGTATGATGCTGACAAACCTAGAAACATAATCGGGGCGAACCGGGATTCGAACCCACAATCATAGGTTTCTGGCGTGCCCAAGGGACGCATCTCTGCACAGCGAATCGCGGCGCCTTAGACGACTGGGCCACCCGTGCCCCCGACACATATGGTAATGTACGAGGCCGACGGCACAATCTAACTGCCTTACTTCCGTACTTTGTGGGCGGCCGGGTAGCCTAGTGGTTAAAGCGTCCGCTCGTCACGCCGAAGACCCGAGTTCGATTCCCGACATGGGTACAATGTGTGAAGCCCATATTGCTGGAATATTGCTAAAAGCGGCGTAAAACCATACTCACTCACACACTTGCTCCATACTTTGTATGTCTATTGTAAATGAGGGGCGGTCGGGTAGCCTAGTGGTTAAATGATTCAGAGCTGTGTGCGTCCACTTTCTGGTTACGTATCAGACTCCCAGGGCGTATACTATTTTATGACTTGGACCATTTCATTTCATGAACTTACTTAATCATTTATCACAAAAATCAAAACTGTAAAAATCAAAGGTAAATCAAGTCGCTTTGTTTAACTTCCGGTTTTGCAGATGTTATTGTGTGTTGGACGTTGATTACATACCAAGGGGACGTAACTCCAACCTTTCTCGTCGATCAGAGCCCGGATGGCTTCACCTGGTCCTGTACAATCCTGCGTAACAAAAATCACTGCAATGCAATCATGTCAGAACTATTCAATTTACTTTGGGAAAGATCGTATGTTTACAATTTTGATGAGGCACCTGTCCATGTATTGGGCATGGCCAACCCAAGTAGCTTAGTCGAGTTTAAGTGACGCCCAAATTAATTTTCGAACATATATGTGTTAACATATTAATATAACTAGAGTTTGAAACTGGTGGACATTTGGAAATTGTACTTGAATTGGGGTTCATAGTACAACATACTTACGCTTACATTTATCTTTCAGCCCGAGAAAAAACTAAAGGTAAGAATAGATTTTCTATCCACCAGTCTCTTTCATTTTACAAATGCTTATTTTTGCGTTTCAATGTTATTTCTTCACGATTCCCCTCTGACTACAGTTATTGTTCATGGTACAAATTTTCATAGATGACATAAAAGTTTTATTGATAACAACTTCTGGTTCATTGCATTTAGCGACGTTTTGTTGTTGATTCTAACACCGTAATCAAACTGGAGTTACCAGTTGCATACACTGATCAAGTGGCATACCTTTGGATACTAGCGATTACTAGGGTAATATAAGGAATTGTCTACTCGAACCTCGCAGTCGTATCCCTCATATATGTCAACAAATGCTCACACTTTGATTTGGGGCGGTCGGGTAGCCTAGTGGTTAAAACGTTCGCTCTTCACGCAAAAGTCCCGGGTTCGATTCTCGACATGGGTACAATGTGTGAAGCCCATTTCTGGTGTCCCCCGCCGTGATATTGCTGGAATATTGCTAAAAGCGGCGTAAAATCTCACTCACACCGTGATTTACCGGGAATGCGCACGGGAAGGGTGGCTGAAAGTTCTGGTCCTTACTATGAAGAGGGGCGGTCGGGTAGCGTAGTGGTTAAAGCGTTCGCTCGTCACGCCGAAGACCCGGGTTCGATTCCCGACATGGGCACACTGTGTGAAGCCCAGTTCTGGTGCCCCCCGCCGCGATATTACTGAAATATTGCCAAAAGCGGCGTAAAACCGTAATCACTCACTCACTACTATGCAGATGCATAGTACAACCTTGACAGTTTTAACAGTATTAAGCACAAGACGTACCGTGCTTACACGTTGTAGTTAAAGCAGGTAGACAACTAGCCAGGATAAGTCTGTATGGACAAAATTGCCTACAGCGCTGTCATCAAGTAACTCCAACAGACGTCCATGTAGAAATGGTGTCAACTTTAGGAATGATGTGTCTTCCCTTCCCACTGTAAAGAGATGCGCAGTGGTGATCAACTTGGGAGGACAAAGCATTGAAGATGACCGTTTACCATCCACACCTTCAACTGACACCACCAAGGAAAATAATCTTGGATGTGACGTTAAAACGCATGTCACCTCACCTCATCTCACATCGTTTTGAAGCAGACCCAGCTGATTTCTAACCATGTATAAGACTTTGGTCCACCACTCTCAGCAAGACATACAACAGTCAAAGCACTGGAACCATCTAACACCCCCTATTCTGTTCCTAGTCTCTTCCGTCATCTGGCAATCTGATGGCTATGGATTTTGTGGGATTCCAAATGAATCCTATTGGTGGAAGGTCAGACCACTTACAGACAATACTCAGCTAATCTGTGTAGCCAGCTGCGTGAGAATATCAAAGCTGGAAGTCCCGGAAAACTCACTGAAGCTGTATTAACCCATCAGGACAATGCACCGTACATGACTGTGGCTTTGAACTCTTTAAACACCCTCCATATTGACCAGTTTGCCACCTTCAGATGACCACGTCTTTCCAAATGTGACAAAAGATCTGTTAGGCAGGCATTTTTCAGCTGAGGATGACGTCATTGTTGATGTGGGGCATTATTACACCACCAGGAGGCATTCTATACCAGTGGGATCCAGGCAGTCGAGCATCATTGGCAGAAGTGTGTGGACATCGAAGAGGAAAATGTTTCAAAAATTTGTAGGAACTCACTTTTGTGACTCACTCCGGATGCTACAAATGAAATATATCTTGCTTCTCTGCTTGTTTCATTAACTAATGGACGATAACCTGGAACCAATCCAATGATAAATATGAAATGTCAAGAATACGCTTGTGATAAATGTGAAATGTCTTTTATCTAATAATTCCTTTCGAACTAAAAGTTCTCTGTCACTTTGTATCTCTAACTCAACTCCTCATACTTTAATTGTTACTATTTTCTAATGTTTTTGGGACGCATTTTAACCTTATAACAGAACCAACTCCATCAACGTAGTCCATCTAAGTTTGTCACATAACTTTTCAACCACCCTCCGTACGCGTAATTCTTCATCCAGTCCTCCACCCGAGGGTCACGGTTATCTGCTCTTCAGTCAGTCTATGCTGTCAATAGAGTGATGTTATAACATTTGTACCTTGTTTTATATGATTTCAGTGTCATACTACTGTATGAAACAAAGGGAAGGAGGCTACTCTCTGATGGTTTCCTTGATCCGGTGGGACCTCAGCTCAACCTACAAAAGAATTGGAGCAGTGAACGCTGAAGGGGAGATCAGTCCTCACTGTTTGAAATATCATAAAGTCATGCATGGTGAAAAGCGTTTTAGTGTTCAAATTCAAAACGTGTCAGGACTTTTGAAACCAGCTTGTCCTGCAGAAACAGTAAGAATGTAATATACTACTGACAAAAAATAAGGGAACTGATGAAATGATAGTGATGGCATTATGATGATAAATGTCTGTAAAATTAATTTCGGGCGTGTAGATCAATATCGGGGGTGTACACCATGTTGGGAGATACATATACGACACCTTAATGTCATACTGTTGATATCCCCGACAGCGTCATACCAAAAGACGTTAAAAGATGGTATTTGTTGTTACCCTGTCTGGCGCTCGGCATTAAGGGGCTAAAACAAGGGCTTGTCGGCTCGGAGTCAGTATAATGTGTCTGAGTGGGGTATTCATGTTAAACTGCGGCATGGTATCTCAGTGAGCTAGCACTTTAAATCGGCATCAGTCCGGACTAGTACAAGCAGCCACACAAACACACACACGTTCATGCACGTCGCTATATAGGTGCAATAATCTTGGACTCGACGTTAAACCCCACTTCACCTCACCTCACCGCATACTGTTGATTAACTTGTGAACGGTTGCCCATGACGAGCTACTCCAGGCTTGGCCACGTTGGCAGGTGCAGGGTCTCTGGCGTTCACTCTCCGTCCGAGAACATCACACAGAAGATCTATTGGGGACATATGAGGGGACTGTCAGTATGCCTTCTCGTCGGAGATTATCGGTGACAACCTGGACTCAATTTGGTCTGTCACTGTCATCTCGAAGTTCAAATTGTTATGCGAATAATTCTAGCAAATGGAACATCAGGACGCAAAATTTCGTCAACATATCTCTGACTTGTCAAATGACCATTCACAGTAGCCAACAGTGAAGCTGTCATGTGTGATACTGCCCCACAGTATGACGCTACTACCCTGTTACTTGTCATGATCATTTGTTGCCCTGGCATATCGCTCGCTGCTGCGTCGCCAACAACGTTTTATGCCATCTGTGAATCGGGGGCAAAACCGTCTGTAAACATAGTTTAACCCTCTGAAAAAAACCCTCGGCATCCAGAGAGTTAACGCCATAGGCGTGCAGCACATCCCTGGTGTTGCCTGGCCCACCCCGTTCTTCCCACCTATGGTAAGCTGTTAGGGTCACACCCTCTCACAGGACTCCTTACTTTCAGGCGAGCTGCGTAGCGAAGGTTTTTAATGGTAGATGTTGATGCCTTCCTGTTATTGAAAGGAATTCTCTATTGATAACAGGATCAGATTTGAATCTATTGCCTTGTGCAATCAATGTAATGAGACAATATTGTCTAGGTATCATTTTTCAAGACCTGCTACGCCACGGTCTAATTGCAAGCCCACCCATTTGAGGGTGCTTGTACCACATTCGAGAAATTCGGCAACTTAGGATATTGATGTCCCCGCCTCTACCTTAACCACAATTCGCCATTTTGTCTGTTCATTGAGGCACTGTCTCAGAGGCATTCTAAGCGTGTGCATAGCTAAATAGCATACCCTCAGGCGAACACTCTTTGGCTTCTGTGTACACGTGCATCATGTGTTGTTCCTGCATGATGTGAAATTCCACTGGATCAGATGTTGCCTAGAGAAGCAACGCCATGGTATCAAATATGTACACCTGAACGATAACAACATTCAGACCATTTGTTCCCTAATTTATATTTGTCTGTAGACTATATATATAAATATATACAGTCTAAAATCTTTTTTATATCAGTTTTAGACATAGTACTTTAACTCTCATAACAGCTCTTCAGTGTAACTGACAATGACATATGAATGACGTCATACTTGTGATGACGTCATAAATTACAACTGTGATTATAATGTATTTACACAATTCAGCGACGACGCCAAGTAATTTACGTTTTGTAGGGATACATTTTATATATATCCACAGAACATTAAAACAACAGTAGCGTGTATACAATATGTTAACGATCAATGTCGGGTATATGGGAACACATCACGGGTAGGGGTGAGTATGGGATCTTGCTATGTCTTCCCATTCATTGATTCACACAACACCAGGTTGCTGATGGGATCCTGCGATGGACGTTCAAACTTCAGAAGAAAGAAGGTATAGAATCAGTTGAAGATGAAGAACTTCAAGTCCAGTGTGATCTGTCTGAAGCTGATGATGCTACACATGATTCTGAGAGTGTTGTGATGGAGAAGTAAGTTTCCCAAGCCCATTTCAGTCAAATCTTCTTTTCATTGCCTGACAAATGCAATCGAAAACATGATAGTATTAGAAAGACACAGTAAGCAGTAAAATGACTATTCCCGAAGGTAATGTGGAAACGTTTCCTTTGGGAATAGTACGAAGCCGACCACAATGACAGCTGCAGTCTCGGTACCTTTTTAAATTATGACAATAACGCAGCTGCCTCTTTTGGAAAAAAGACTAAAGACGGTGCGTCAAAGACCAGGTTCACAGATACCCCTACTACCCAATTGGATGAATAGTTATACCCAGTTCATGTGGGAAAAAAATACATTATCGAAATATATTTTGTTATATTAACCTTAACTTCTATTTTACTTGGGGCGGTCGGGTAGCCTAGTGGTTAAAGCATTCGCTCGTCACTCAGAAGACCCGGGTTCGATTCCCGACATGGGTACAGTATGTGAAGCCCATTTCTGGTGTCCCCCGCCGTGATATTGCTGGAATATTGCTAAAAGCGGCGTAAAACCATACTCACGCACTCACTTTATTTTACTTGTTTCAGCATTCGGGAGAGATCCTTAACTACTGCCACACAGACACGAGTCAGTGTACGGACATACATAGCATACCCTGACACACTGGAACCAGTCATAAACGTCGACCTTGGTGATCGTGTCAGACTGGTGGCCACGCTTCCTGAAGGTTTAATTAAATCATTCATGAACTTATGCGTAGGGATAACATGAGCCACTGTCTGGATTGTTACAGCAAGCAGTATCTAGGAACGATTGAAGTCTTTGACTTTTTTGTGGATAGCAACTTCTTTTATTCTTGTACGACGTTTCAGAGCTACTGCTTGCTTCTTCATCCGGTGAATGCCTAGTAAATGCATTGAGTACTGTATAATACCAGTCTCAGATAATTAATATATAGTACTCTATGCATTTACTTAGCGTTCACCTGATGAAGGAGCAGTAGCTGTGAAACATCGTACAGAGAATAAAGTTGCTATCCACAAAAAGTGTTATGTATTCTGAACGAATGCTTTGGGAAGATTTAGTCTACTGTTGTACATGTTGACTTATATAATCATATAGTAAGCTGACCTTTTGAGGAGACTGAACTATTTGTGTGAATTTTATAAACTACAACAGAATGGTTAGGTATAGCTGTTGAAGATGCTGATTGATGTTTTAGTTTGTTTCTGGCGATATTTTGGGACATGTGCATTTGTCGTCTATTTCCGTGGATTGTTCTCCAGCTAAATTTGTCCATCTTCGTGTATCAGGGGACGATGTCGTCAATCCGTTCTTTTACCCTCGGAACTGTCAAGCTGTATCTCCAGATAGGAAGGTTTCCATACAACTAATCGACTTCTATGGGTCTGTATAAAGTCAAGTATTTGAATGGTAATGGTCAAATGTAGAATAAAGTCGGTGGTGCAAGGTATCAAGATCGGCATTGAACTCTAGTGCGACAGATGATCTCCCTCTTCTCAGTATGTGCTTTTGAAGCGTCAAATCATTGAAAGTATAATTATCGCCCTAAACGTTGACATTTATTTTCCCCCTAAATGTGTTAGCAATAAATGTGCTAAAACTCAGCATCAGTGTCATTTGAAAAATGTTTACTGACCTTTCGTGCGAACCTTAACTTTTGCAGCTGTAGCATCTATAGACATTTTAACGAGTAAGTCAAGGCCGTGTGTAGGTGTATAAGTGTACGGTGAAGTACATCGTTCATTGAAGGCGGTATTTCTGGTGTTCTAGTGTCTACATATGCTGTAAGTTTGGTTTATCTATTTCAGGTGTAGTGAGAACTCGGACATCGGCTTTGGAACACTCAACCAGAACTCTGGCGTATTCCAGTCGGATATATTTCCCATGTTTCGGCCTTTGGGCTACACCGAGGTGGTGTTCACTTGTACTCTTGTAGTACCCTATTTACACCATGTAGCTCCTGAGAGTTTGGTTAGTGATTGTTTCTACTGACTTAGTTGAAGATAAACCTACTGTTCAAGGTAGTCTAATTGTAAATTAAATATATCTTATTGTATTTTGGAACCGAGCGCTTTAGCATTTGCAAGAACGCGATAGGTTTATCTCCATTTTACCAAGACAACAGCGCTTTAGAAATTGTGCTCTCTTTGAACGCCTCCTTTCACATGGCAACTTGGCCAGGCATCTTGGAGCGGCGTCACAGGTAGTGACAGACATAAAATTAAATAAAACATAAAGATAAGTTATATATATTCTTGACCAGTTCAACATAATGGGTAAAACAAAATAGCTTTGCAAAAACACACAGATAAAATAACCCTTCAAAGATATATATTAAATTTCATTGTTGCATATTTGCACTTCTTGGACTCAACATGACATCTTGCATTGTAATGCTGGCATTAATAGAAATAGGGGCAAAAACCGCAGAACTGATGCATTTCTAAAAGGGGTAAGTGTTTTAGTTTGTGAGTACCCGACCGCGTCGTACCAGAAGACGTTAAAAGACCGACGTGATATTTACTTTGTTTGTGTTTAACGCCGCACTCAGCAATATTCAAGCTATATGACGGCAGTCTGTAAATAATCGAGTCTGGATCAGAAAATCCAGTGATTGACATCGGGAGCATCGATCCACGCAATAAGGATACAATGACATGCATCAACCAAGTCAGCGAGCCTGACCACCCGATCCCGTTAGTCGCCCCTTACAACAAGCATAGTCGCCTTTTGCGGTAAGCATGGGTTGCTGAAGACCTATTCTACCCCGGATCTTCACGGGTCCAGTGATATTTACAAATTGATTGAACCCAGAGGACCCGATCTGTAAAAATGAGTCCCTTGCACAATCTCAATCCCAAAGGAACCACTGAATACCGCCGTTTTTAGCTGAGTGAGTGAGTGAGTGAGTATGGTTTTACGTCGCTTTAGCAATATTCCAGCAAAATCACGGCGGGGGACACCAGAAATGGGCTTCACACATTGTACCCATGTCGGGAATCGAACCCGGGTCTTCTGCGTGACGAGCGAACGCTTTAACCACTACCCTACCTGACCGCCCACCGTTTCTAGCTGAAGAGTCGGCATTGTACGACAGGAGAGTCTCAGAGACTGTAGATTGTTGTGACCGATTGTCTTTATGCCCTGACATAGTGGCGGGAGTGTGTTGTACTTAATTGTGTGTGTCCTGAAATAAATGTCATCCTATTTGAGGGGGCACGGGTGGCCCAGTCGTCTAAGGTATGTCAGCTTAATGTGGGAGGAAAGCCCGAAGTGATGCAGGTCTCAGACATTCACCACTTCGGCGAAACCCACGAGCACGGGCATGGTGCTGACAAACCTAGAAACATAATCGGGGCGAACCGAGATTCGAACCAATAATCAAAGGTTTCTGGCGTACCCAAGGGACGCAACTCTGCACAGCGAATCGCGGCAGCCTCAGAGTGAGTGAGTGAGTTTGGTTTTACGCCGCTTTTAGCAATATTCCAGCAATATCACGGCGGGGGACACCAGAAATGGGCTTCACACATTGTACCCATGTCGGGAATCGAACCCGGGTCCTCGGCGTGACGAGCGAACGCTTTAACCATTAGGCTACCCGACCGCCCCCGGCAGCCTCAGAGGGTTAATATTGTATAGTTTACGTTACGTCACGTCACGTTATGTTATATATACAGTACATACCCTCAACGATATAGTGATGGAATTGGGGGATTGATTTTAATCCTATCAGGAAGTCGTACAATGAATAATGTCATGATGTTATACAGTGAAAGCTGAATTCGCTTATCATGTTCACGTTATTACTTTCTTCCACTGCAGTGTTAACGTCGACTGGACAGAGTGGCGTACAAGTACACTGGAACGGTTAGTCCAGAGCGAGAACATAGATGCCACTCATTATTAACAAGAGATAGTAAATATGTAAACTGAGTCCCATTGTAAACACGAGCCTGTACGGACGTATCACAAACTCCATTATAAACTAGGGGCTGTAAAAATATTTAATATTTCATGGATTTATGCATAGTTTTACATTTTAGAGCTGTGGTTCAAAATTAAAGGACTCGTATTTTATTCAACCTGTATAAATGTCTACGATTAGATCTTGTACATTTCAGGCGACAGAACCAAAGCTATCATGGTCATGTCAAGAACCAAGAAGGAGCAGAAAGCAGGCTGCTGTGCCTGAGGATGAACCTGCATAGACATCTGTTCAATATGGTCCTGTCTGACATTCAATTTCAAATGTCTGTTTGATTAAAAATAACACTTGTCAACCCTGCGTCTTCTTCGAGTTCTACATATATACCTCCTTTAATGATGTCTCACTTTGCTCATATGTCATTCGTGAGGCATTTTATGGCAGTGCTGGAGATCTGCAGGACGTACAGAAATCTATTTGGATGCTGCTGGTTGAATCTGTGAGGGAATGAGTGAGTGGGTTGGGTTTAACGTCAGCACCATACCTGTCCTCGTGGGTTTCACCAAAGTGGTTAACGTCTAGACAGATCTCAGACTTGCATCCTTCGAGTTCAAACTGAAATACTGTACATCATTAAAAGCATTTCACTCACTCACTCTTCGAAGCAAAGCCGTTTCAAACTGTCGCCTCAATACATTACTAAAGTACATTCTAAGTCATCCAACGCTAATACAATTTTGTTTTAAACCTCCTTATATAGAACGGTTCACAATAAATCAGGGATGGTTCGACCGCTAGGAATTTTGATTACATTGAAAATCATATAACGGCTGCAAATATTTATCTCAATGCCTGATCTTGTCTTCTTCTCGTTGTCAGCTTGTCAGGCCGGAAGTAGTTTTTTGCCCTTGCTAAGTGAGTGGATGTGTGGATGTGATGGTGTGTTTATGAGTGGGTGAGTGAGTGAGTGAGTGAGTGAGTGAGTGAGAGGATGTGTGGGTGTGTGGATGAGTGAGTGAGTGAGTGGATGTGTGGGTGTGTGGGTGGGTGGATGAGTGAGTGAGTGAGTGAGTGAGTGAGTGGGTGAGTGGGTGTGTGGTTGAGTGGATGAGTGGATGAATGAGTGAGTGAGTATGGGTTTACGCCGCTTTCAGTAATATTCCAGCAATACCATGACGGTATCAGACATGGGCTTCACACATTGTACCCGTATCTTGAATCGTGTCTTCGGCGTGACGAGTGAAGGCTTTAACCTCTAGGCTACCCCACCGCACCCAGAAAATCAGACATAAGTCAAGTATTATATCAACCAAAATACATACAAGTTGGAAAAACATCCAATTACATTACACATGGTTCCAAAGATGGTGGCAACGTTTCCAGTGCCACTGTCATTGGATCCAAAACTCAAAACCAAAACCATTCCAGATTACAATCAGCACTCACCGCTTCGTCACAGCTTTGGGGTACATGCAACAGCTGTCTAACTGTAAACAGTTCATAATCAAGCTTCTGTTGCTGAAGGTCTGGTAGTAGTAGTAGTAGTAGTAGTAGTAGCAGTTAGTGTGAGTAGTAGCTGTGGTATTGGTTGTAGTAGAAGAAGTGATTGTAGTAGTTGTGGTATTGGTAGTAGTAGTAAGTAGTTGTAGTAGTAACTATTATTATTAGTAGTAGTAGTAGTTGTGGTATTGGTAGTAGTAGAAGTAAGGAGCAGTGATAGTAGTAGTTGTAGTAGTAGAAGTAGTAGTAGCAGTATACGTAGTACACGTAGTATACGTAGCAGTTGGTGTCAGTAGTATTAGTAGTGATAGTAGCAGTTGTGGTATTGGTAGTAGTAGTAGTATTAGCTGTGGTATTGGTAGTAGTAGTAGTAGTAATAGTAGTAGAGTAGCTGTGGTATTGGTAGTAGTAGTAGAAGTAGTAGTAGTAGCCGCCTCTTACAACAAGATTAGTCGCCTTTTACGGTGAGCATGGGTTGCTGAACACCTATTCCACCCCGCGACTTCACGCGTCCAGATAAAGTCCACGTGTCGGCCGTCAGTCAACCCATGGAATCGACCTGGAAACCATGACTTCATGTTCAGCTTATTGACCCACATCTTCCCCAAGGAGTCGGCCTCGCCACGAACCCTGACACGTCGTACTGTTTGCTAACCTTGACATCGTCAATGTCAGAGTATGCCGTGGGTCTTCGTCCGTCAGCATTGAAATTATTTTAAAACCTCTTTCTATTCAAATCTACAGAAAATATCAATACGAGTTTCACACAACATCCAAAATAATACAAAGTACGACAAACACACATATCTGACCTCCATGCACAAATGTTGAGATCTGTAGCTTCCCGCAATCTTGATAAGATACCGTGTATCCCGTCTGGAAGGGAAATAATTTCTGGGTAGGAGAATATATCCTTTATATCCCGCTACGAAGAAATCAGGCTGCACGTGGATTTCTGAGAGGGACATTAAATGTCTTTTAAGCTCCGACGCAATAAGCGTCTATGGAAGTCACGTGATACAGTACAAGTACAATCTATCTATCTATCTATCTATCTATCTATCTATCTAGACGTCCTGTATAATACGCATTAGCGGTTTGTTTTGTTGGGCAATACTTGCAACCATGGGGCAATGGGTGGTAAATTTAGATAACGTATAGACCGACATTGAACCTAAAAAATTAACTACATTAACTGTCTACAAATTTCTGAAGTAATAATAGTGATGATTATGTTCACTGTACTCAAATCAGCTATAATAGCAGTGCTATACTCAGTGTGCGTGTGAGCTTCAATGTGGGCATCCAGGAAAGCAATTATCTGCTTCCGGTTATTTGCAACTATTGGTCTTTAACCAGCAAACCACGGAGGACAGTTAAGCACTACGATCGAAGGTTCCAACAGAGATGCATGTTGCTCTTCTGTTCACTTTACTTGCCTGTCTAACCAACCCTGGTGACGCTGGAAGACACCAAGGTATGAATTAAGGGTCATTTGCCTGCAAACTTGATGCTTAAAACATTATTCATATAATTTTCATCAAATCTGGAGAATGCATGCAGGAGCGTCAGATTGGAGACATTTCAGAAATTTACCGATCGAGGCGATTACTGAACATCCCTTATTAATTCATCATATTGAAAATAACCAAATAATATTCAAACTGAATTTCTTTTTCATTTCGAAATTGTTCATTGATATGCATGGCAATCATGTAAACCTGAATTTAATCGATGACATGAGATTTTGCAATGCATGTATACCGGTATAGCAGCCTAACGTTTTTTTTGGCATATTAGTATTTTGTATACAGTCGTGTTACTTTTATCAGGATGCCCCGAAGACTGGACATTGGTGAATACAAAGTGCTACAAATTTGTGGAAGAAGACGTTATAAGATATACTGCAGCGTCAAGATGTAGCAGACGATATACTGCCTCCCTAGCATTGATTGAGAACAAGGAAGAGAATAAAGCCGTCCAAGGTATGTTGAAGCCTGTATTCAATCAGACACGATACGTGAAGCTGATGTCACGATAATCGTAAAAAACACGATTAGCGATACAACAGGTAGGATAACAACTTATTGTGTTTTCAGCGTCGAGCTATGTTACCTGTAGCTTAGACGCCGTTGATATATTGGAATTTATCCCCGTCAATTCAACAAGAATCATAGCTCTACATTAAAACACATAACGTTTTTCTCCTCTCTACAATGACATGCATCAAGCAAGTCAGCGGGCCTGACCCGTCAGTCGCCCCTTACGACAAGCATAGTCACCTCTTATGGCAATCATGGGTTGTTGAAGACATATAATATTCTACCCCGGATCTTCACGGGTCACTTGTCGATTTGAATAAAGGACACACAGATAATAATAGTCTGTTGTGTCGATTTATACATTCAAAATTTGCTTTTGACGTTAATTATATTTAATTTGCATATATCAGAAGTACCCAGACTGTGAGGCAGATACTTTGCAAGCCAACATAAACTTGGTACCCCTAATTTATGTTGGCTTGCAAAGAATCTGATTCACAGTTTGGATACTTCTGATATATATATATATAATATATTAACATCAAAAGCAATGATTAAATGTATAAACTAGTTACCCCTTAGACCCGTGAAGATCCGGGGTAGAATAGGTCTTCAGCAACCCATGCTTGCCGTAATAGGCGACAATGCTTGTCGAAAGGGGCGACTTTTTGGATAGATTATTTACAGACTGCCGTCATATAACTGGAGTATTGCTGAGTGCGGCGTTAAAAATAAACAACAACAACAACAACAATTTACCCCTAAAGACAATGGAGCAAGCCTTGCAAGGTTTAGGGCTACACCACAGAGCACTTGTTATGATGTCGGACTTGTGATGTGGACCAAAGATGTCTATATATGTCCCTCGTAACCTACTCACCCATTATGGGCACGGGTGGCCAGGCGTCTAAGGCGCCGCGATTCCCCGTGCAGAGTTGCAAGAAACCTATGATTGTGGGTTCGAATCCTTGTTGTTTCTAGGTTTGTGGGTTTCACCGCAGTGGTAAACGTCTGAGATCTGCATCACTTCGGGGTTTCCTCCCACATTAAGCTGACACTCCGCGATATAACTGTAATACTGTTAAAAGCGGCTTTAAGTCCAACTCACCCACTCACTCATTCTACTCTCAAGTTGATGTACATGTCAGCCATGCACATACTTTAATGTTCTGCATACATGTGCCCCACGAACCGCCTTTCAAGTTGTACATACATGTCCTCCTTGAACCTGATCTCAAATTGTACATATATGTCCCCTATGAACCTACTCTCAAGTTGTACCTACATGTCCTCCATGAACCTACCTTCAAGTTGTACATACATGTCCCCCCTGAACCTACTCTCTAGTTGTACATACATGTCCTCCATGAACCTACAATCAAGTTGTACATACATGACCTCCATGAACCTACCCTCAAGTATGTCCCCTATGAACTTACTCTCAAGTTGTACCGACATGTCCCCCATGAACCTACAATCAAGTTGTACATACATGTCCTCCATGAACCTACACTCAAGCTGTACATACATCTCCCCCATAAACCTACACTCAAGCTGTACATAAATGTCCCCCATGAACCTACTCTCAAGTTGTACATACATGTCCCCCATAAACCTCAAGCTGTACATAAATGTCCCCCAAGAACCTACTCTCAAGCTGTACATACATGTCCCCCATAAACTTCAAGCTGTACATACATGTCCCCCATGAACCTACACTCAAGCTGTACATACACATTCCTAGTGAATATACATTCAAGTTGTACATGCTTGTCCCCCATGAACCTACTCTCAAGCTGTACATAAACTGACGTCCAAAAGAAACTTCACCAACTGAAAATATAAATTTCAAAGTATAATATTTTTTTCGATGAAGTCTATCTAAAACACATAACCTAAATACAACAATAGTGTATGCAGAAAATGTTAATCGTCTGTTACATGTTTGCGAGATAACACGCGGGTAAGGGTATAAAACGAATGCAACGGCAAGTCAGACATCCACAGTGATAAAAAAAAACCACAAAAGAAATGCCACGACTCACGGTCGAACAACGTGAACGAGCCTTGGGTATGGTACAGATGGGAGCCACCCACGCCCATATTGCACGAACCTACGATTGCTCCCGTGTTGCCGTTACCAACTTGATGCAACGTTACAGACAGACAGGGCGGACCGCTGACAGGCCAAGAACAGTCAGACCCAGGGTGACCACGCCCCATGATGACCGGTACTTGCGTACCTTGCACCTCCGAAATCGCTGACAGACAGTGGCCAGGAAACTCAGGGCTCATAGAATCAGGGCTTTTAGACCATACAGAGGACAGATATTGACAGCGCAACATCGTAGTCTGCGATTGAGATGGGCCCGGACTGTACAACGTTGGCAACGACGTGACTGGCAGAGGGTTGTCTTTACTGACGAAAGTCGATTCTGTATGTTTAGGGCTGATGGAACACAACGTGTTTACCGCCGAAGGGGTGAACGAACGGCGGCGTGTTGCGTGCAGGAGGTCGTACCATATGGTGGATGGAGTGTCATGGTGTGGGGAGGGATCTGTGGGCAGGAGAGGACACCGCTGGTCATCGTTGACGGGAAATTGACAGCTCAGCGTTACATGGATAACCTTCTTCGTTCAGTTGTCCTACCATTTCTCCAACAGTAGCCACGTGGTGTCATTTATCAGCATGAAAACGCTTGAGCCCATACAGCCAGAAGTGTCACTTACTTCCCCGCAGCCAAAACGTCAACGTCCTGCCGTGGCCTGCACGCTCACCCGACACGTCCCCCATGGAAAACCTCTGGGACTTGATGGATCGTCGTGTTCGACAACGACCACACTCTCCAGCCAACCGGCAAGAACTGATCTTGGCCCTCCAAGAAGAATTGCGTCAAATCCCACGTGACCGTGCGTCGAAGAGTTTTTGCGTGTATTGAGGCATTTGGTGGTCACACACGCTACTAATGACTTGTTATTGAACGTGAGCGATTGATTGTTTATGTACTCTGCCTATTGTCCATGATTCTGAAAGCTCGAGTTTTGTACCACACCCAACTTTAGGGGGCTCTGACGTCATTCTCGGTCGCGGTATGATTGTCATTTTCAGTGTTGATTATGTTGATATATTGATCTTCTCAATACACTTTACTTCATGCATGTATGTTTTGTTGTATTTGAGCAAGAGTGATTTCAAACTCTGGTAAAGTGTCTTTTGGACGTCAGTTTACATGGTCCTTTCACTTCTTCTAGATCTTATCCACGGCCAGAGATTCGCTTGGATTGGTTTACATCGCAGATGGGATTCCAAACGCTTTAAATGGGGCGACAGCAATGAGGTGGGAAAGAAAGATGAATTGTTAGTTTGATTATAATTCTCAGTGCAACAGTAAGTCTCAGTACCATTTATCAATTATGCTGAGTAAACTACTCAAGAAAGGTTTGGGCCGAGACATTAAAACTGCCCCTACTGTGTTGCGATATATATTTATATTTCCCAATATGAACTACTTGTCATGCAGTTTCGCCGAAATCGTATATATATTTAGGCGAAACTGCATGACAAGTAGTTCATATTGGGAAAGGGAGATCACTCTTATTTCAATCGGGAGCTATCTCAGTTTTCGTATTTGAGAAATATGGCGTCAGCCACACTGTACATTAACTGGCCATCCAATCCCTAAAGTAAATCGTATTCTTAATGAAATGTTTGAATCCATTATATATTTATTTTTCCGTCCGTAACTTGCAGAAAATTAAAAACGGTGCTTGCAAAAGAAATTAATAATTCGACAATATTAGTTTTCCCCAAATGTGTGCCACCCTTTTTTCTGAATAGAGATGGCAGCAGGTGGACCCACTGTAAGTGTTGTTGTCACATGTTGAGTGTAATATGTACATTTCCTCACGTTGGTTTAGTGCTGATAGCCATTTTTAAAAACATTCCCCGTCATATTTGGGGATCGAAACAAGTGGGCCAACATTTGTATATCACTTGGCTTTATTAGGTTGATTAATTAGTTCTGATAATCAATTTCCAAATATGGGCCAACATTTTACGTCTTGGGATTGCAACAGGAGGGACCACATTTATAAATCGCTAAGCCTCATCAGCTTGGTTCACTTATAACAATTTTCTAGGATGTGGGCCAACTTCTCCCTCATATAGTGATCGAAACAGACGGGCCCACATTTGTAAATCGCTAGGCTTCATTGGGTTGACTAAGACATTTAGTGGGCTCACATTTGTAATTATTTTGTATGGATATGTAACAATATATATTATTCTCATTTTGTTATATTGATTGGAAATGTCTTCATAAATAATTTAGTGTAACGTTACCTCCACGAAAGGTACACAAAGTCTATGAAGTTTGAATAACGTCATTATAGATGATCCCTCTCGTTCCAAAACAGAGTTTTGCAAAAATAGTTACAACGCAAAAAAACTTACTTCAAATTAAATTCAATCGACGTTTTGCAACCAAACACATCAATCTAATCATACATATCGGTGGTGATATAAACCTGAAAATTTTGTCAATACTTGGGTCGAACTCGGCCTACAGGGGCCTCCTGGCTAGCGAACAGCTATCGCCGAGGACCAATTATCGCCAACTATCGCAGGTGATCGCAACTTATTTCACTTATGCTCGTTTTCATTAGAAGAAAGAAAAATCTATCCGAAAATGATTAACCGAACGAACTCTTGTGAGCAAATATTTAAAAAAAAACAACAAAAATCACCGTGCTCAAATACAGCTTTAGAAGAGACACGCGGTCGGGGTCACGTGACTAATTCACGCGAAAATAAAAATCAGACACGATTATGCACTTTCTATCCGTCTGTCATTTCTTCCCCAAAATAAAATTTTGAAACCTATTTGAGCTTTTTTTTTCAAAAATCCATAACCTGTATATATTGCTAAATCCATAGTACACAGTGTTAAGGATAAGCATGTGTAGAATGGATTTTGGGATTATTGGTTTAAATTGATAATAGCATTTCTTATTCATCTTGATGAATACAGAAATTGAGTGCGATAAACTGAAGCGGTGCGCGTTATCACGTGGCACGCGCTGTTGAGACAATTGCGGTAACTGGTACAGAAGGTCGACGGGAAAGTTCTATTTCCACTGTTTTGATTCCCTATCGTAGCGTTATAACAGAAATCAACTGAATCTTATTCCACGGACATAAATAAGCGCATTAGCTCATAGTTTCACAAAAAATAAAGTTATTGGTACAGTCAACTTTGTACACGGGACATTGTCAGAAATAACAATAAAAAATGGCGATAACTGGTCTGGGACCAGTAAGGTCTTTTATATGACCTCAAACGTTTCCGGCACCTTGTTCCATAAAATAAATATATTATGAATATTAATGACCCCACGACCTAGTTTTACGATGTTCGTATATAGACAAAATTGTAGTTCGTAATACGGGTTTATTTACGTAGTACATAATCTCTGCAACAAGTGCGTTTAGTTTCGAATGTGGGTCCACCTCGAATTATCGATAAGGCAATCGGAGTAAGCTCCCTTCTCGAACCACCGATAATACAGTTTCCCCCGAATTTTTAAGCCGCAGAATCTCTTCACCTGTACTCTGCAGACTCAATTCAGGTACTGTATTTCTGATCCATCACTTGATTGTCTTGTTTGATTTACATGCCATCACCGCAAGGGAAGCGAACTTCTAGCGCGGAGTGACCCGTGAAGATCCGGGGTAGAAAAGGTCTTCAGCGACCCATGCTTGCCGTAAAAGGCGACAATGCTTGTCGTAAGAGGCGACTAACGGGATCGGGTGGTCAGGCTCGCTGACTTGGTTGATGCATGTCGTCGATCCCAATTGTGTGGATCGATGCTCATGATGTCAATCACTGGATTATCTGGTCCAAACTCGATTTTTAACAGACCGCCGTTATATGGCTTGAATATTGCTGAGTGCGGGTTTAAACAACAAACAAACAAACAAACTTTGGTTTAAAGCCGCTTTTAACAGTATCCCAGTTACGCTCTTCAAACAAAAAAGAAACGCACAGGTAGATGTTAAGTAAAATTATTGTGCCTAATAAAATCGATATATTTAATTTAATATCATAGATTCAAATATGAAATTTTGGAGCACGATAGTCACATGTTGTCGTAGTACAAAGGCATTGAAAACTGTTCATTGTCATGTCACATAAGGCCACAAGGTTGCGCTGAACACAGTATCTCGTGTGACCGCCCCGGGCAGCAATCAAGGCTCTGCGTCTCCTTGGCACTGACTGGATAAGTGTACGAATTCTGTCCTGCGGAATTCTGCGCCATTCTGCTTGTAACGCGTTGGTATGTTGTGGGAGTGTTTTCGGCGTGTTCTGACGTTGACGTACACGTCGATCGATTTCATCCCAGAGGTGTTCGATTGCGTTGAGATCTGGAGATCTCGACGGCCAGGGCAAAACGTTGATATTGGCATTGTGAGGGTAGTCTACCGGGACACGAGCTGTGTGCGGTGGAGTGTTGTCCTGTTGCAACAGCTCCCTCTGGTGGTCAATGATTGGAAGAAGGTGAGGTTGAAGAATTTGATTCACGTAGCGATTTGCTGTCAAATTTTCCTGAACCACAACCAAGTCAGATCTCGTGGGGTAGGATATGCCCCCCCCCCCCCCCCCCCCACACACACACACACCATGATACCGTGATTTGTTTAAGAGGGTATATCGCTCGCGGCGTGTCAGCTTAATGTGGGAGGAAAGCCCGAAGTGATGCAAGTTTCAGGCGTTTACCACTTCGGTGAAACCCACGAGCAGAGGTATGGTGCTGACAAACCTAGAAACATAATCGGGGCGAACCGGAATTCGAACCCACAATCATAGGTTTCTGGCGTGCCCAAGGGACGCAACTCTGCACAGCGAATCGCGGCGCCTTAGACGACTGGGCCACCCGTGCCCCCGGTTTGTAAAGATACTTCAGCGTTTATAGATTATTTTTAGAATACCAGACGTTTCTGTATTCTACAACTTGTATATGATATGATAATGATTAATGTACATCGACCAGAAAAAACAAACAATTGTCATAATCTTTATTTTTCTCTTTTCTCATTAGAAAACATATATATCTATAAATATCAATATTACTTTTACAAACAAATTAATTCTCATATATTTTACTTTCAGTTAGGATTTGCTAACTGGTGGAGGCCCCTTAGGTCGGATTATAAAACATGCGCAGTGATACTCGATTCTGGCTATTGGCAACCTAAGTCTTGTTTGGACAAAATACCTTATGTATGTTGGAAAAGACCTGGTAAGGAAGTTATTCCTGTAAACCGCGATGCACGTATGTATATAAGTATGCAAATTAGAATAGGTGCAAGCTACTTTTAAGACTTCTATTGATCAAACTTTGTTTTCAACTCATCTCCCTCTGAGTGAAGTGTTGCAATGTCAATAAATATTTGATAACGCCCTTTTCCATAGCATTGGCTTCTGTTGGGAAACGTGAAATGTTGTGGCTTTATCGCAAGTTTCACTTCTGTTGAAACTAGAGAGTTAAAGTCCAGTATATGGTCATCGATTACCAAATAAGGTAGCCAAACTGCAATCTGTCAATACACCGAATGGTATACAGCGAGTGCCACCGACATGTTGCAAAATATGTTGCCCCGAGTAGTAGGGCATACAATGAGAGGGTGTACTCTTTCTGGCCAATGAGGCAGGGTATACAGAGAGTCTTACTGAACGTCGCCCCGAATAGCAGTGCATAAAATGAGAGGGTGTACTCTATCTGGCCAATGAAAGGCAGGGTATACAGAGAGTCTTACTGAACGTTGCCCCGAGTAGCAGGACATACAATGAGAAGGTGTACTCTATCTGGCCAATGATGCAGGGTATACAGAGAGTTTGTACAACAGGTACAGACAGATGACACAGCAAAGTGAGTCTGTATTTAACGTGAACACAAAACAATCTATTCAGCGAATCATTGTACACATCTCCAGAATTTAAATAAAATATGTTTAATAAAAACCCTGATCCGACTGCCCTGAAACGACGTGTGTTTTTATGGACATACATATTTTGTATAAACAGTATTTGAGATGTACTTCTAATATCGCTGTTAGCAAACGGAGATAGGGAGGGAGGCTGCTAATGCCGATTTTATAGTGGTAGCCCACTGAGATACCATGCCGCAGTTTATCATGAATACCCCACTCAGACACAATATACTGACTAGCGCCAGGCAGGCTAACAGCAAATACCATCTTATTAATGTCTTTCTGTATGACGCGGCCGACCTTCCGCTTTCTGGGCAGACGCTCTACAACTAGACCTCGAAGGCGGTCGGTTTGCCATGAAGGTAATGAATACGAAAAATTATGATTTGTGAGATATGATTAATGCTACTATAAACCATATACAGACAACTATTCAACTATTATCACTAATTAATTAGGGATCAGCTAGGGTCTTTCTGACCTTTCTTCTTAAAGTTCTGTTACGGCCTGCTTTATTCATATTATCGTTCCTAGATTAGTACTGATAACATATGTGTAGTATTACGTTATTTCCACTTGAATACCACATATCCATGTTTATTGAACGTGTCACGAAAATAAAGTCAATATCTTATCTGGGATTTGTCAGATTGTGAACCCGGATGGTTTGGAGATGAATGTGAGCGCCAGTGTCACTGCTACCTGGGCCATGACTGTATGGACGAACCTTGTCCTTATGGGTGCGAGCCGGGATGGTATGGAGAAAGGTGTGACACACGATGTGAGTAAGAACTGCACATGCAATTAACACCACCAAAATTAAAACTTACATACGACCCCAAGGAAAGTCCACTCGCTATGTAACACTTCCGGTTTTAACAGAGACGATTAAATGTTGTTGTTGTTGTTGTTGGGTTGTTGTTTAACGCCGCACCTAGCAATATGCCAGCTATATGACAGCAGTCGCTAAATAATCGAGTCTGGACCAGACAATCCAGGGATTGATATCATGAGCAACGATCCACGCAATTAGGATCGATGACATGCATTAACCAAGTCAGCGAGCCTGACCACCCGATCCCGTTAGTCGCCTTTTACGACAAGCATAGTCACCTTTTACGGCGAGCATGGGTTGCTGAAGACCAATTCTACCCCGGATCTTCACGGGGCTGATTACATGCATACTAAGGGGACGTAAGTCACACCTTTTCTGGCCGGTCCTGATTGCTTTAGCTGATCTTGTAAAATCCTTGTGGATAACAAACCTATGTTTGTCATTAGAAGATCCGTGCAGTCATATCACATCTGGCATGTTCTTGTTATAAAGTGCTTAAGGTCATATATGTTTATAAGTGAAGTCCATGACTAAGGAGTTGAATTCACGTTCAGATCATCTTTCAAATGCATGACTTATAAATAGATTAATGTTATTTTATTTGGAAACAATTTATTTGAAAATGTGGAAACTTGAATTGCTGAATTTTAAGCGAAGTGACATATACTGTTGCACATTCTTATTTTCCAGACCAACAACAATCTGCAGGTAAGTTTTCTATCCGCCTGTTTCTTACATTTTACTCATGAAAGTATTTCTGTGTTTCAAAGTTACCTGTTCATGATTCTATCCTTGGCTACCGTTATTTCCAGTTACATAAAGAACAAGTAAGGAAAAGGGCCATTTGAGGCCCACTGGGAATTTTAAATAGAAAAGTTGCAGAAAACTTTGAAATATTAGCATGAACATTTTCAGATATGTTCAAGAGGCTGATCCACAGCTAATTTTTTTCTTACATTTTTCTTTACGTTTTAGACTTCTGACACAATGAAATACATAAGTATGACTTCGACGAATTAAAAAGGCTTAAAATCTCTTTATAGCTCAGTGACTCAAATGACTATTTTACCATATGTTTGTATCTTTTTCCCTTAAAAAAATCCAAACACTTCTTGAAAACCTCTAAAATGACGTTTGACACATTTGAGCCCCACCTATGAATTTAGTGTCAATATAATTCCAAAAGTTATTTGTGTTGAATGTTTTGTTTCAAATTTATTGTTATACCTAATTATTAGATTATGCAGATCCCGAGGGCCTATATGCTGACTCACCCCAAGTAAATAAAAAGACCCTGTGTTTCAAAGTTACCTCTTCATGATTCTATCATTGGCTACCGTTATTTCCAGCTACATAAGGAACAAGAAAGAAAAGGGTCATTTGAGGCCCACTGGGAATTTTAAAGGTTAAAGTTGCAGAAAAACTTTGAAATATTAGCATAAGGTTGAATAACTTTAAATTCTGGTGATACAAAAATCTGTGAACAGTGATACAGTTACATAATCAGAACAGAAAAGAAAGTCGACTTCAGTGACTTTGGGTAACATTTCCCAACGATAATGGGTAATAAAATTGAATTATATACTAGTAGTCGAAACTCGTAAGCGTATGCACCGTACAGGTAAATAAAGCGTCAGAACCCTTTCCATATCCAATAGAAACTTCTGCATAAAGCAGAGTCGATTGTACAATTCCGACTATATCATTAGCATGTGTTTATGAATCACTATAAAATAGCGAAAAGGTGAGCGTATCCTGCTCCACCAGTGGTACCCGTCACAAACACATGCAAATGCAATTCAATTGTTCATCTGGAAAAAAACCATGGGAACAAATGGTACAAATCAAAATAGGGAATTACATTGGACATCATTTTTGTCACTGATGCGTCAAATTTGGAAATGTCCTCCACATGTCTACCATAAACCCTTTTGAAAGCTTTACTGAGGCCTTGCATGTTGTAACCTTGAACAAACAACTTCTGAGCAAGATTCGTATGACGCTCCTTGCAATCTTGGTACAAAGAGCATGCTCGATTGTATCTCAAAAGTTGCGAAATGTAAACACCAAAGGAGCTGCTGGAATATTGCTGGACTTGCTGTAAACACATTGTAAACACATGCTCAGAACTGTCTTTACTGGAATGCACATCATTCTGCATCAAGTCCTCCATCTTAGATTCAGAGGTAGATGACATTCACATCATGGTATCGGCAGAGTGAGTTTACAAAACATTTTGTACCCTATCATTGCAGTGTCCTTCTACTGTATGAAACAAAAGGAAGGAGGCTACTCTCTGATGGTTTCCTTGGGCCGGCCAAGTATATTCCACCAAAGAATTGGTGTTGTGAACGCTGAGGGAGAGATCAGTCCCAACTGTAGCAGTGATAGACTGGAAAGGCACAACCGTAGAGAAATACGTTTAAATGTTCACATTCAAAACGTGTCAGGAGTTTTGGAAGCAAATTGTCCTGCAGAAACAGTAAGAATGTAATATCAACCTCCAAACACCAATGCACTTATTAACGTCTGTGTGTCTGTTGTTTCACGTGTGAACACTAAATTAGATATCAATGTCTTCTATATAACAACATATAGTACATGGGGTAAATCCAAACATCTCTTGACGTTTCGGTTATTTTTGTTCACACAACACTAGGTTGCTGATGGGATCCTGCAATGGACGTTAAGATTTCAGAAAGAAGAAGGTGTAGAATCATTTGAAGACGAGGAACTTCAAGTCCAGTGTGATCTGTCTGAAGCTGATGCTGCATATGATGTTGAGAGGGTTGTGATACAGGAGTAAGCTTATTGAACACATTTGAAGCAAAGCTTCTTTTCATTGGCTGTCAAATACAAACGAAATACACAGTCAACAGACTTTATTCCTGGAAGTAATGTGGAAACTTTATCATTGGAAAAAGTTAGAAGCTGACCAAAGTGAAAGCTGCATAGTCGTGATAGAAGATTACGTTTCTGATAATAATAACAAAAGCGACAGAACCCTTTTCATATTCATAAGAAATCTCTACCAAAAGCAGAGTCGATTGTACGATTCAATCTATATCATGATCAGGTTTTTATGATGCCCTATCAAATATCAGGTGTTCGTGAAAAGGTGAACGTATCTTGCCCCATCGTTGTCACCCGTCACAAACACACGCAGATGCAAGTCAATTGTTCGCCTGAAAACAAAACCACGGGTACATATGGTAAAGTTCAAATAAGGAATGGCACCGGACATCATTCTCGGCACTGATGCGTCATATTTGGAAATGTCCTCTACATGTCTACCGTAAAGGATTTTGAAACACACTTGATTTCAAATCTTCTTTTTATTGTCTGGAAAGTGCCATCAGAAGGATAATAGTAATAGAACAAGACTATCTTATTTTTTGCTCCTAAATAGACTTCATTGTTTATGAAAGATCACAGGTTCGTGAGTGGCAGAAGTTGTTGGGCACACACTTAGTTTTCTAAACTGATCATAAATGCACAGTCAAGGACAATAGCAAAGTTGGATAAATAGGACACATACATTTTCGAAAAAGTGTTATGTGTAGGAATCTTACATTCTATTTTACTTGTTTAAGCATTCGTAAGAGGACCCTAACTACTGCCACACAGACAGGAGTCAGTGTACGGACATACCTAGCTGATCCTGGAACTCTGGAACCGGCCACGAACCTCAGCCTTGGTGTTCCTGTCAGACTGGTGGTCACGCTACCTGAAGGTTTAATAAGTTATAATTTCCAGGAACAAACACGAATCACTGTCTGGATTGTCACAACCATCAGCCTTTCAGAACGACTGCTTTAGGAACATTTAATCTACTGCTGTGCTACTGTGCATGGCGATATCGATGATCAATACAATCGTTACTCTTTGGTGAGACTACATCAGGTAGCTGTTGGCAATTAAATAGAGGATATTTTATGAGTATCCTGCTTAGTTGATTAATACTAAGCTTTACAGATTAATATTAGGCGTGAATCTCGGGACATTCTCTCTTCTTCATTCTTCAGCTGAATCTCTGTCTTCTTGTATCAGGGGACGATGTCGTCAATCCGTTCTTTGACCCTCGGAACTGTCAAGCTGCATCTCTAGATGGGAAGGTTTCTTTCCAACTGACCACATCGGTTGGGTCAGTACGAAGTCACATTCAAATGCCCTGTCGCACATGCAATGTAATGAAAGGCTAATCCTTGGCATTTCTGTTTTAAGAAAACGTAAACGGAAGTACATCTAGGAGCTTGACCTAAGGCAACACCCACTTAATACTTTTTACTATAACTTGAACAAATATGTTGGAAGGTCTTAAACAGAATAGTCACGATCTACCCTGATTGCCCCCGGGAAGATCCAATTAGAACTGGTCTTCAGCAACCCATGAGTCGTATTATAAAAGAGCCGTCTAACGGGATCTGGTTTTCAGACTTGCTGACTTGGTTGATGCATGTTATCGTATCCCAATTGAGTAGATCGATACTCATGATGTCAATCACTGGATTGTCTGATCAAGACTTGATTATTAACAAATATACCAGGACAAGTGTTGAATGCGGCTTTGAACAACAAACACATTTTCACTGCACCTTTGCGCTGTGAACATACCCTATAGTTAAGGTGAGGTGAGGTGAAATGGGGTTTAACGTCGCGTCCAAGATTATTGCACTTATATAGCGACCTTTAGTTAAGACATCATAGACATCGAAGTCTGTGAAGCTGTTGAAAGGTTGCATTCGTGTTTCATCACATGCTGTCCTCAAACTTTTCTCAAATCGATTTGATTTGATTACCAATCGGTTTGGTTAAAATATTGTTAAAGGTTATATTGTCTATAAAACACAAGACTCAGTAAACTTGGAGCAAGATACATGTATCTTGATAGGCACTTAACTCAGAATTGGCTGCACTAAATGTGGTCAAATTCAACATAGACATTAGCCACGATGATATTGTTGACAACGTTTGTCACTACCACATGCACTTCTAGTGTCACTTCCTTGGACCCTAAAACATTGTAGCTGTAGCATAGACATTTTCATGACAAACGTCAAGATGCGTGTCAGCTAAGCTGCAGTGTTTAATGAATTCGAAGACAGTATTTCTTGAATCCTAGCGTTTTCATGTACTAATTATGTTTGTTTTTCTATTTCAGTTGTCCTCCAAATATAAACGAAATCGGTTTTGGGAAAATGGTCAAGACCTCTGGCATTTTCCAGTCGGAGATATTTCCCATGTTCCGGCTGCGAGGATACACCGAATTGGTGTTCAGTTGTACTCTTGGGGTAACCTCCTTAACTCATGCGGACTATCAGACACCGGTTAGTGTTTGTTTTTGCGTTACAGTTATTAGTAATGTGAGGGAGCGACTGTTGTATTCGCAATAGGCAGCAATGTTCCAGATCTCTCACAGCGGCCTGTAAAAACCAACATGGACGAGGTGGTGGGTAGGGTGAAATGGGATTCAAGATAGTTGCACGTGTAAAGCGACGCGCGTGCGTGCGTGCGTGCGTGCGTGCGTGCGTGAGGGCATGCGTACGTGAGTGCGTGCGTGCGTGCGTGCGTGCGTGCGTGTACTAGTCCGGACGAATGCCGACTTTATAGTGATAGCCCCCTGAGACACCATGCCGAAGTTTAACATGTCGAGTACCCAACTCAGACACAGCATACTCCGAGCCGACAGTTCTTGTTTTAACCCCTTAATGCCGAGCGCCAGTCAGGGTAACAACAAGTACCATCTTTTAATATTGTGGAGCATCGTCCGCATCATTTTCAAAGGGGGTGTGCTAGGTCATCAAGCAATAGGTAGGGGACAGGAAGTTATTTAGAAGAGAATACAGTAGTGCAGAGTTGAATCATATCAGGATGTTATACGGTGAATCAGGTGTCATACAATGTGTCATATCATGCTTTCATGGATACTTTATTCCACAGAGATGCTCCTGGTGAAAGGTCAGCTGCAAAGGTCAGCTGCAAAGGCCAGTGCAGAGTTCTAACATACATGTCAGGCATTACAGACTACAAAGTCTGTACTAAGATGACAAACTTTTGCTGACAATAATGACTTGCAGTGTGTTGTTGACTTTTTAGGGGCGGTAATAGATAACAAGTCTGAATGAACCAAAGGCATTGAAAATTCTAAACAATAAAAATAAATTTTCAACATTGTGTTGTGTTCACATTTTCAACATTGTGTTGTGTTCCCCTACTTTTGTATAAGAATTGCAGAACCATTTGAGTGAGTGAGTGAGTATGGTTTCACGCTGCTTTTAGCAATATCCCAGCAATATCACGGCGGGGGACACCAGAAATGGGCTTCACACATTGTACCCATATCGGGAATTTAACTCGGGTCTTCGGCGTGACGAGAGAACGCTTTAACCACTAAGCTACCCGACCGCCCCCAAACCATTTGAAAAGCAGAGGTAGTCAATACGTAAACCATAAACTAATCTCTATTACAAACATGAGATTTTAAATCCGAAAACCAATATTCCATATAAATACGAAAACCAATATTTATTATTATGTTAAAAGGTGGTTCTGTCACTATATGCATTTATTTCAGATAATAAGAACAACCCTTTCACTGCAGCGAATTCTTACGTTACCCCCAAGCTGACACAGCAGCAAGCAGTTCGCTCCTCACGGTTATAACGAATAATGTTCACTTGAAATAAACAAACGTATCTCCACACGTGAAACGGTTCTTGTTGTCGCTACTGTCACCGCCATATGCCTCTGAAGTAATTCAGTGGTATTGCAATATGACAATCTTAATATTTTAATATGGAGGAACTGTGGATTCAGACCCACAAGGACCTTACCTTTAATAGCAGCTTCCACCTGTGGGCATGCAATCTCTTTTCTGTGTATAGAAATTGTAGAATTGAGTTTTCTATGGCCGCCATTATATCTCTGTACGGTTGCTTATAGCAGCTCAACACCACCGCCATATCACATATATCCCCACCCTCTGAAGTAGTAGTAATAGTAGTAGTAGCAGTAGTAGCAGTAGTAGCAGTAGGAGTAGCAATAGTAACATTAGTATAAAAAGATAGTGATCGTGTTATATTTCGGTCAAATTACAGCATAGTAGTAGAAGTGGTATCAGTAGCTATTATTAGTGCCAGAAATGTATACAAACCTATGTCACACGTGATCAAATCACAAACATCTTTGTGAAATTGTTATACAATTATTTATTTCAAAATTAACAATATATTTTGAACATAATGCCTACGTAAACAGAACCCTAAAATGTGAAGAGTAGAAAACCTCAAAAGATTTCAAAACAGAATAACTAACGCTAACATGAATAACAATCTTCGTTAAAGCAGAAGAACGAGAATGATCACAACACGAGAAACACAAATGTAGATGACAGGAAAAGTAAATTCTCCCTGGAGAAGTAAACCTTGAGTTCCTGTAAGCCGAAACCTGAGCTAGAGACAGATACTTGCTGTTTATACGACTGACCAACGGCAGTGATCTACTGTAATGGTGTCTGGGGTACGTGAATGGACATAATGTTTGTAGAAAATATCTGAAGTTTTCCAACGTCCATGCTCTTAAGCATCCGTTCCCATAGCAATGCCCATCGAAGCTCCGGTTAGTCGAAATGATTTTGCAGAATATCCTAATTTGGACAATCCTGCCAAAAACAAAACACTCTTCTTACACATGTCCCAGAGTAAAAGCATCTATACCGTGTAGCGGTTTTTCTAGGCGAGATGAAAACGGATTCATCTCGTGGTCTGGAAGTTGATGTTCTGTCGATGTAATCCCTCGCAGCTGTAGCAAGTTCCAGTTTGGGAACAGCTAACGTAAAACCACCTCAAATCCACTCCAATGGGTGTAGTATTTTATATTCCAAAGAGAACAATTCGCAGTCCACCATTCACCAATTGCAGATTGTCCACTTAAAATACACCCCTTGAAATTTGTCCAGTGAATGGGTCATAATGCGTTGTCGATGTTTTTCCTTTCGTTGCACTCACTTAGTAGACGATTCGTTATTGTGAGGCCAACCTAGAAATAAAGATCTGAAATTAGCATTTGTCGTCAAGCTGGACAGTGTAAAGCTGTCCAATCGTGGATCCCGATTTAAAAAGTGCATCCTGAAGATGAAGGACAAATGCGTCCTTCTTCAAATTTTCGTGACCACAACTTACACACAAATATCAGAAAGCTGCACATGCAATAGCGAGTTTAGATCTGTCTATCCAATTCATTAGCTAAAGTAGAAAGGTAGTCAACCACGCAAGCAGTTGACACTTGTGGTACAGAGTATTATTGTGATATAACCTGGTGAGTTTTTGACTTGATAATAGACTGGGATAAACATAAAGATTACTTTCTTATTATTGCTCCCACTGGCCATTCCCGTGTCCCAAGCTCGGATTCACAAATTCTCCAAGCACAGATTTGCCATTCCTTGGGTAGAACCCTGCTGCAGGAACGTTTGCATTGTACTCTGGAATTCGAATTGGAGGAGTAATGAGCATTTCCAGAAGCAGACTGAACCATGGCTAGCTCTTCCACTTTGGAGATATCAACACTGCAAGTTTCTCTCTCTTCGCTTATTAGTGCCAATGCCTTCTGTGTCACACAAAACATAATTCATATTCAAATCTGTCCGTGTGTGTATGGTTCCCAAAACCTGGTGATGAAACGGAGTAGTTGTGAGTTGGTCACACTAAATAGCTAGTAAAACGGTCGATTGTGTGAGGTCCTCACCAATGAAACGGAACAGGGCTGGATGGAGCACTGTCGTTTTGGTATCAACGTTGTTTTTTCCGTTTAAATTTCCGTACATTAAGGAACATCCGTCAACCGAATATTTCGACACACTGAAGTCATGTACAACGTCGTTTACCTTCATACACTGCTCGGAAACGGAATATCGCCAGCACAGCTGTGCACCCTTTATCGTTAAAGGAGCCATATCACGATACACAGAGATGGGTTTGCCTCAAAAACAAATGGCCAATGCACGTGCCCCAAAACAGTTGTAACATACAAAATATAAATCCAGTACGTCCTTTGGAATGTGGAAACAGAATTTGTCGTATATCTTTTCTTTGAAGATCAATTGTGCACAATTTCCAGCAGATGGAAGTATTTAGAAAAGAAAAAGCTGCCAATCCTAACAGAGAACTTGAAAATGATGAGGATGTTTCACAAGCCCGACGCAGAACTGTTGCACAGAAATATGCAAAATTAGAGCTGATGCTGGTCAATATGCAAATATCTGCTCGGAAATATCAAGAAACTCAATCTTCAAAAATACTTCATAACTCGGTGACATTTGGCAAGAGATCCGTTAACATTTCAGGTTTTCAGTCGACAGGTGCTCACTTCCTAAAGTTAGTGGACATAAGATTCAACCAGATTAGCGACCTGAGGATTTATACCAGTGCATAATGGAATTTACATAAGGCTATCTACTAACTGCAGAGGGAGGTATCAGTCACCATCGACAACTTGTAGACACAGACGAGGACCTCTGGGCAATTATGAGAATATTGTTGTAGTTCTGTGGCAGTTGAATCCAACCTGGTCTTCCCCATCTTGTGAAACAGAAATGCGGGACTGAACTCCGGAATCAGTCCATGACATCATTAAAACCGGAAATTAGTCAAACCCTATCTTCCTTGCTTGATGAACTGTGCAACATAGAGGCCACCAAAGCTTTGAGGACTAAATGGTAAACTAAGAGTTGCATATTATGCAAATCCACTGGTCGTCCAGTCGTATAACCTGGCCAACTTGCAGACCTACCTGAAAATGACAGACGTGTGATTGCAGGACGCTCCAGGCTTGTCAACAGCAGCAATGTTGATCTTGAAATTGAAGAACCTTTGACGGATTTAGATACCGATGATAGTGCTCTTATTGCATGTTCATCGTGTTAATCTGGAACAATCACCATTGGAGGTCTAGTTGTCAAACAACTTAATGTTAATGTTCTTGCTGGGAACCCCATCCTCGTCTTTTACGGTATTGCTACTCATCCAGCAAAGAATCAAATCATTACCAGGGGCTCCAAAATACACCATTATGGATAACAAGTCCTACAAATGCTTCTGTAAGGCAAACAAAAGCCTTTATAGTACTAAGTTTGCCATTACAGACATCAGTAATGCCAGGTGATCTTGATGAACTAAAGATTCCACATACTTCTCACCAGATTCCTAACGGGCTCTTGAACCAAGACTTGACAGCCCGAGCAACACTACAGTGAAGCCACAGAGGGACTGGCCACTGAACGTTCGTTCAGTTACCCACATCCTCAGAATAGTAAATATCACTTGTAAACCCATTTTGCAAAAACGTAAAGAACACTTGTTCCAAATACGGTATATTGATTCTGTAGATTCATCCCCTGTGATGCGGACACATTGGTAGAAATACACCATACGAGTCACCACATACCATTCTCGCCTCAAGTATCAGTTGTCCCAGGTGAAAGTCTTTTCCCCTTTATCAACAGTTTGCCAAGGTATTTGATCCCACTATCTCCAAATGCAGTGGAGCAAGTGATAAGATAGTAGCTGTTGTGAATGTGGGGCCTACTCTGCCACACACAAAGAAAAGGTCAAGTGCCCCACTACAACAAAGCATTGCTCACAGAACTACAATCAAAGTTTGACGAACTGAAATACAGGTTGATGTCAGTGTCGAGTGCTTAACTCTCTTCTTTACGTTTTTTTAGCCTAACGGCGGCAGTTAACATGTAATGTCAGTCGGTGAAGTGGGTACCTACAGCAAATGCCTTATATGGTCAATGTCCTGCATGAATGGACGTTGGAAGTTTATTGTTAAAACTGACCTACTAAAGGCATTTCACCAAATTCCGCTCCCTCATAAATCTATGAAATATTAGGGTGTAAGGGTTTTCACTCCGTGTGCTGAGGATATGCAAGGTTCTGAAACATGCTTGAAAGAACTGAAGTGTAGGGTCCTCGGTCATCTGATTCAGAAAGGTTTTGTTGCCAGACTTGCGGATCATTTGTTCTGTGGATGAGACACAAACTGCTTAAAAGAACAACAACCTACTCCTCACAGCCTAAAATATGTCATTTGTCTGGCATCAACAAATCCCCTAGGATGGGTGTGTGGTCCAATGGCACATTGAAGGCAAGTCTAATTGGATCGCGACAGAATCTAGGCCTACAAATATACAAGGTTTGTGCTCATATTTTGACACATGCAAGGCTCTTCGCCACGTTCTTCTTGGCCTCAGAGAGGTCAGTATCTCCTCTGATATACTACTTGTTGTACGTCAAGAACCCTTTTAGCAAAACTGTGAATGAATAGATCTTGATGGAGTTATTACAGAAGTACCTTTGGAGATCCCACTGAATACCAAACTAACAGATACTTCTATGATCTAGACATTGACAATAAAGTGAAACTTCGTCCGTCATCATTGTGCATAACTGAAGTTTGTGCACACCCAGCTACCCCCACATCAACATCAAAACCTGTACCTTCTATCGAAACGTCCTTTGCCGCAAATGTCATGAAGCGTTACAATGAAATTATCTATGTTATATGCGAAACTGTCTCTCTATTCACCATCACCTGTTTCATAGAATGTGAGAAGCAAGGACTTTTGAACGATGCTTTACTGTCCCTATGTGGGGGCATCATCCAGCTCCAGGATTCCTATTTCTGAAAGCTATCCAGCAACTAGGCAGACATAACATTTCCCTGGATATAGGCTCTCCCAAGAATATCAACTCACTCAGAGATATCATGTAACTAGCGTGCAACTACCAATCGAAGACAGATAAGTTATCATGAACCAGGACTTTACCAGAGTACATAACCACCCATTTAGTGAGAAAGCAAATAGGAAAGGCACATCACAATTAGTCTACCGAATTCTAGGTTGGAGATATTGTGTGTTTTTTTGCGTTAAACAGCAAACCAACCAAAACGACCAACCTGTTCAAGGTAATGGTCCATACCTACCCCAAGGGATGAGCTTAGACAACAACGAAACGTTCCCTTACGTACGAGAAATTCAAAATATCGGACACGAATAATCCTTAAAATCAGGATGACACACACTGTACTCACGTTTTCAATGCATAATGATACAGTAGAACATAGATATAACGAACTACAAGGGACCGGATAAATCAGTTCGTTATATACGTTTTCGCTCGTAAACGTCCGCCATCTTGAATAAAACAAAACATAATACACGTGATGATATATCAAGATAAGGGCATTATCTGTGAGACATCCTTTACTGTTCATGGAAGCTAAGGTGCATACTCTTGAGAAAGCGATGGGACATTGTTGGCGTGTTGACGTTGCTGCTTACTCTAGCAAAGCAACAGCAGAAGATTTGCAAGTGACATACGAAGTACGTCCAACACACTTGTGCATTATCTTGAGAAAGCGATGGGACATTAATGGCGTGTTGACGTTGCTGCTTACTCTAGCACAGCAACTGCAGAAGATTTGCAAGTGACATACGAAGTACGTCCAACACTCTTGTGCATTATCTTGAGAAAGCGATGGGACATTGTAGGCGTGTTGACGTTGCTGCTTACTCTAGCAAAGCAACAGCAGAAGATTTGCAAGTGACATACAAAGTACGACCAACACACTTGTGCATTATCTTGAGAAAGCGATAGGACATTGTTGGCGTGTTGACGTTGCTGCTTACTCTAGCAAAGCAACAGCAGAAGATTTGCAAGTGACATACGAAGTACGTCCAACACACTTGTGCATTATCTTGAGAAAGCGATGGGACATTGATGGCGTGTTGACGTTGCTGCTTACTCTAGCACAGCAACTGCAGAAGATTTGCAAGTGACATACGAAGTACGTCCAACACTCTTGTGCATTATCTTGAGAAAGCGATGGGACATTGTAGGCGTGTTGACGTTGCTGCTTACTCTAGCAAAGCAACAGCAGAAGATTTGCAAGTGACATACGAAGTACGTCCAACACACTTGTGCATTATTTTGAGAAAGCGATGGGACATTGTAGGCGTGTTGACGTTGCTGCTTACTCTAGCACAGCAACAGCAGAAGATTTGCAAGTGACATACGAAGTACGTCCAACACTCTTGTGCATTATCTTGAGAAAGCGATGGGACATTGTAGGCGTGTTGACGTTGCTGCTTACTCTAGCACAGCGACAGCAGAAGATTTGCAAGTGACATACGAAGTACGTCCAACACACTTGTGCATTATCTTGAGAAAGCGATAGGACATTGTTGACGTTGCTGCTTACTCTAGCACAGCAACTGCAGAAGATTTGCAAGTGACATACGAAGTACGACCAACACACTTGTGCATTATCTGGAGAAAGCGATAGGACATTGTTTGCGTGTTGACGTTGCTGCTTACTCTAGCACAGCGACAGCAGAAGATTTGCAAGTGACATACGAAGTACGTCCAACACACTTGTGCATTATCTTGAGAAAGCGATGGGACATTGTTGACGTTGCTGCTTACTCTAGCACAGCGACAGCAGAAGATTTGCAAGTGACATACGAAGTATGTCCAACACACTTGTGCATTATCTTGAGAAAGCGATAGGACATTGTTGACGTTGCTGCTTACTCTAGCACAGCGACAGCAGAAGATTTGCAAGTGACATACGAAGTATGTCCAACACACTTGTGCATTATCTTGAGAAAGCGATGGGACATTGTTGACGTTGCTGCTTACTCTAGCACAGCGACAGCAGAAGATTTGCAAGTGACATACGAAGTATGTCCAACACACTTGTGCATTATCTTGAGAAAGCGATTGGACATTGTTGACGTTGCTGCTTACTCTAGCACAGCGACAGCAGAAGATTTGCAAGTGACATAAGAAGTATGTCCAACACACTTGTGCATTATCTTGAGAAAGCGATAGGACATTGTTGACGTTGCTGCTTACTCTAGCACAGCGAAAGCAGAAGATTTGCAAGTGACATACAAAGTACGACCAACACACTTGTGCATTAACCTGTCAGACGGCATATCCCATATCCCATATCACGTCGACGTTCCTAAACTAATTGTGCCGTATTTCATCATGTCAATGTGTAAGACAATCGTCATTCAGTATCAATGCCTAACAGAAGACCTTCTGTCAAGTAAACCTGAGCGTGTTTCTCTTGTCCGGCACACATCTGGGGCCAATTTAGTTAACAACTTAATATGCCGATTCACATTCTAAAATGTTGACTTAAATGTGTTAACACCCATTATATTTAATGTGTGCAAATCCGCTATAATTGCGCTGATATTCAAACTGACGGCATGAAAGTCATTATTTGCGTCCGGTTCATGAGAGTTTTTGGTCTATGACCTGCAAGCCATAGACGATAGTTTGACACTCTCTCCGTATGCTTCGACAGAAATGGAAGTGGTTCCTCTGTTCATTCTATTAGTCTTTCTTACCAACCCCTCTGACGCTGGAAGATACCATGGTATGAATTTAGCATGCAGACTTAAATTCCATCTCTACATACGTAATTCACCTATTTTGAGAATGTACGGTATGTACCGATCGAGGCTATTACTGAACGGGGGCTGTCGGGTAGCCTAGTGGTTAAAGCGTTTGCTCGTCACGCCGAAGACCCGGGTTCGATTCCCGACATGGGTACAATGTGTGAAGCCCATTTCTGGTGTCCCCCGCCGTGATATTGCTGGAATATTGCTAACTATTACTGAACATCACTTAATTATTTTTTCATTCAACATATTTTGGATCGCCAATGTAACAGGAGATTCCACATTTGCCGGCAAAGCACAATCCGATTGGACATAATGCCATGTTACCTTTCTCAGACTGCCCGGAAGACTGGACACAGGTGAATACAAAGTGCTACATATTTGTTGAAGAAAAAGCTAAGAGAGAGATAGCGTCTGGTAGATGTAGAGACCGGTATGCTGCTTCCCTAGCAATGATTGAGAACAAGGAAGAGAATGAAGCCGTTCAAGGTATGTTATGTACTAAAGTCATGATAATCGCCAAACACTTTGGCGGACACGTTGACGAGACAACTGTTAGGTAACATTTGGGAGATAAACAATTGCGTTTTCTATGCAGAGCAATGTTACCTGTAACACTGACGGCGTTATAATGAACTATTTGTTTGGCATTCCCAGAATTTGGTAAGTAACACTCAGAAAACAATATATAATGGATTAACTTCTTTATTCTATTTCGATGACGTTTCGGTTAGGATCCTTATACAATTTTATATATATATGTATATATGTCTTAATAATTTTTGTCATAGCTAACGTTTATATATATATATATATATTCTACGTTTCGTTTGGTGAAGTCATGGAGATATCTTTATTGGATTTGTAAATTGTCCAACATGAGATTGTGATCAGGGCACTTGATGATGTGGTCTGGGATGGTTGATTTTGACATGGTGGTAGATGTTTATGATTTTTTTTATTCTGGCGTTTATAAAGCGGAAATTTCATCTACAAAACTGTTGCTGCAAGGCCACTCCTGCTTGGCAACGGCATACACGTCGGATGATTATAGAATAAAGAGGTCATCCATAAAATATCTTGCATTTACTGGCGTTAAAATGAATTTGTAATTTAGCAGTAGGATCTACAGATTATTGAAGCCTACTTTGAAATCACATCATGATTATTTCCATACTACCCTGGCGCTTTAAAACATCTCCTCTTTGGTCTTAGTAGAGAAAATGAGTGAAAGCCATTTGCATTGAGGAAATACCGACACTAATAATTTGTGATATCCCAATATAAAGGCAAACATCATTATTTTTTATTTGCATATAGCAGTGGTACGTATTAGAATTGTATAACAGCTGTTGTAAGCCAACATCAACTAGTTACCACAAAAGAAAACGGATCAAGCCTTGCAAGGTTTAGTTCTATACTACAGTGCTCGTGTTATGATGTCACACTTGTGATGTGGAAGCAAACAATTTGGTTTCATAGTCAGTGGTTGAGAAGCAGCTACGCTGTCAGCTTGAACGACACTCTCTCAGCTGATGTCTCGTCCTCTCTGCACAACAGGGTCGGTCGGGTAGCCTAGTGGTGAAGCGTCCGCTCGCCCGCCGAAGACCCGGTTTCGATTCCCGACATAGGTACAATGTGTGAAGCCCATTTCTGGTGTCAAGCGCCGTGATATTGCGGGAATATTGCTGAAGGCGGCGTAAAACCATACTCACTCACTCACTCTGCAACAACATGTATTGTCACATATATAATATTGGAGTAATATCATTCTGTAACCGAGAGAGTGAGGATTTTATCAGAATACCACCAGACAATGATTGAGGAAGAATGACTTTTCTATAAACATTAGACTCGTACATGTAAACCAGAATTCTCTCAAAGTGTACATGCCGTTATGACCCCACGAATCTCCTCTCCAGTTGTACAAACCGTCCACCATGAAACTACACTCATGTTGTACGTACATGTCCCCCATGACTTTACCCTACCCTCAAGATGTACAAACAAGTCTCCTATGAATCTACCCTCAAGTTGTACATCCAAGTCCTCCATGAAGTTACCCTCAATCTGTAAATGTAAGACCCCTTGAACTTACCCTCAAGCTGTGTATAAATGTCCCCCTTGAACTTACCCTCAAACTGTATATACCTGTCCCCCATAAACGTACCCTCAAGATCTACAAACACGTCCCCTATGAAATTACACTCAAGCTGTACATACATGTCCTCCATGAACCCACACTCAAGCTGTACATACATGTCCCCTATGAACCTACACTCAAGTCGTGCATACATGTCCCCTATGAACTTACACTCAAGTCGTACATACATGTCCCCCATGAACCTACTCTCAAGTTGTACATACATGTCACCTATGAACCTACACTTAAGTCGTACATACGTGTCCCCTATGAACCTACACTCAAGTCTTACATACATGTCACCTATGAACTTACACTCAAGCTGTACATACATGTTACCTATGAACTTACACTCAAGCTGTACATACATGTTACCTATGAACTTACACTCAAGTCGTACATACATGTCCCCTATGAACTTACACTCAAGCTGTACATACATGTCCCCTATGAACTTACACTCAAGCTGTACATACATGTCCCCAATGAACCTACACTCAAGCTGCACATACATGTCACCAATGAACCTACACTCAAGCTGCACATACATGTCACCTATGAACCTACACTCAAGCTGCACATACGTGTCCCCTATGAACTTACACTCAAGCTGTACATACATGTCCCCAATTAACCTACACTCAAGCTGCAGATACATGTCCCCAATGAACCTACACTCAAGCTGTACATACATGTCCCCAATTAACCTACACTCAAGCTGCACATACATGTCACCTATGAACTAACACTCAAGCTGTACATACATGTTACCTATGAACTTACACTCAAGTCGTACATACATGTCCCCTATGAACTTACACTCAAGCTGTACATACATGTCCCCTATGAACTTACACTCAAGCTGTACATACATGTCCCCAATGAACCTACACTCAAGCTGCACATACATGTCACCAATGAACCTACACTCAAGCTGCACATACATGTCACCTATGAACCTACACTCAAGCTGCACATACATGTCCCCTATGAACTTACACTCAAGTCGTACATACATGTCACCAATGAACCTACACTCAAGCTGCACATACATGTCACCTATGAACCTACACTCAAGCTGCACATACATGTCCCCTATGAACTTACACTCAAGTCGTACATACATGTCCCCTATGAACCTACTCTCAAGCTGTACATACATGTCCTCCATGAACCTACTCTCAAGCTGTACATACATGTCCCCCATGAACCGACATTGGTTGTACATACATGTCCCCTATGAACCTACACTCAAGCTGTACATAAATGTCCCCCATGAACCTACTCTGTGAAACGTTTTCCCTTAAAAAATGACTTCATGGTTGGAAAGGGGTGGAAGTCAGATGGTGCAAGGTCAGGAGAGTAAGGAGGATGAGGAAGCATTTCATAGCCACAGGACCGCGCTTCTGTCTGGGCAACATGAGAGTTGTGTCCTGGAGTATTGTCTTGCAGGAGACGGACACCCTTGATCAGCATGCCACGCCTCTTAAGCTTGATAGCGTCCCGCAATTTCCGAAGCAGTGAAGCATAATAAGCTCCTATAATTGTGGTACCCTTTGTCAAGTAATCCATCATCACTACTCCGTGCTGGTCCCAAAACACCGTGAGCATGACCTTGCCTGCAGAGGGTTGGACACGTGCCTTCTTTAGGGATAGTGACTCCACATGCTTCCATCGCATCGACTGAACTTTAGTCTCAGGATCATAGTGATTGACCCATGTTTCATCCTGTGTGATATGTCTTTCAAAAAAGTTTGCCTGGTTTCTTTGGCGCATGTCCAAAAGATCCTTTGAGCAATTGATTCGTTCCTGCTTATGGAAAGGTGTGAGCAACCTGCGAATCCATCGTGCAGACACCTTATGCATGTTCAAATTGCCATGGATGGTTTTTTTCCACAGACCCTACACTGATCTTGACATCTTGTGTTAACTGGCGAACAGTTATACGTCGGTCTGCCAAAATGGCGGTCTCCACTTGATGGATAGTGTCCTCATCAATGGCTAAATGGGGGCGACAAGGAATGGCAGCTGTTTCCACAACGTCATATGATGGAGCATCTTCCCATAAGTTGCTTTCATTTCATCGAAATTTTCTTTTGGTGTGCGACCTTTCAAATATAAAAACCTCTGCTCGGTATTCTACTGGCTCCATAGTCACACCCTACTCGATCATAACACCTGTAAAAGTGGTAAGATTAATAGTTCGGTGCTGCAAATTCAGACATAACCCATAGATACATGTATCATTACACATGTGAAATTTCAACCAAATATGATAACCCTAAGTGGTTTAGGGGAAATCTTTAATGAAGACTCCTCGTAGATGTCCCCTATGAATCTATCCTCAAGCTGCACAAACATGTCCCCAATGAACCTACACTCAAGTCGTACATAGATGTCCCCCATGAATCTATCCTCAAACTGTACATACATGTCCCCCATGAACTTACACTCAAGCTGTACATACATGTCCCCCATGAACTTACACTCAAGCTGTACATACATGTCCCCCATGAACTTACACTCAAGCTGTACATACATGTCCCCCATGAACTTACACTCAAGCTGTACATACATGTCCTCCATGAACCTACACTCAAGCTGTACATACATGTCCCCCATGAACTTACACTCAAGTCGTACATAGATGTCCCCCATGAATCTATCCTCAAGCTGTACATACATGTCCCCCATGAACTTACACTCAAGCTGTACACACATGTCCCCCATGGTCGACCTTTGTTTCATCATTTCTAGATCTCATCCATGGTAGCGCGTGGATTGGTTTGCGTCGCAGCTATGGTCATTATAACTGGGACGATCGTTATACGGTGAGAAATAAAGGTCATCACACAAGTAATTTAAGCAAAGTGCTGGTAAGATTTTGAATACTTCCTACCATAAGAGGCCAGAAATGGGAAGACAGAGGACATGCAGAATGCAATTTGCTATTTCGACTTACCATGTGTTTCCGTAATTTTCAGGTAAAAAATATGACCTGCCTTTGCAGTTCTCATTTATTTTTTGCACCATATATATTAATCATGTACAGACGGACAGACAGACTTAATCCCACTTGTTTTTGTTTCAGTTTACATATGCGAACTGGCGGTATTCACCTGATAGGTCGAGTCAGCCATGCACAATTATGCTCGAAACTGGCGATTGGAAAGCGAACTTTTGTTTTCTGCGTTACTCTTACGTATGCTGGAAAGAAGCTGGTAAGGAATTTGCGCATGTATACCACGATACATCAGATGCACTTATTTCTTCAAATATGACAAGGAATCATTTGCGAGCTACTTAAGGGGTGACTAAATGTTTAATACCACATTCACATGCACATTTGGTTTTACTACTCACGACAAATTGACGACCAAACACTGTTTCTAACAACGCACTCTGAGTGAGTTGAGGCAATTTTCAATACCAATTTTGATATTGCAATTTTCCATGGTGGTAGGCTTCTTTTGAGTAAAGTACAATGATGTGGAGTTTCACTCCCGTTGAGTGTTTAGTCTTGTACGTGGTCAAATGTTTGTTTGTTTGTTCGTTAACGCCGCTTTCAGCAGCATGCCAGCTGTATGACGGCGGTCTGTAAATAATCAAGTCTGGACCAGACAATCCAAGGATCGAGCTTTGACTCTAACGGGATCAGGTGGTCAGGCTTGCCTACTTGGTTGATGTATGTCGTCATATCCCAAATGCGTTGATCATGATGTTATTCACTAGATTGTCTGGTCCGTACTCGATTATTTACAGGCAGTCATCATATAGTTGGATTATAACAACGTTAAAGCCAAGATTCTGTGATATTTCAGATTGTGAACCTGGATGGACTGGCGATAAATGTGATCGCAAGTGTCACTGCTACCTGGGCTATGTCTGTAATGTAACCCATACCTGTCCGTATGGATGTGATCCGGGATGGGATGGAGATAGGTGTGATACACGTGAGTAAGTGAGTGAGTGAGTGACTCAGTTTGGTTTAACGCCGCTTTTAGCAATATTCCAGCAATATCACGGCGGGGGACACCAGAAATGGGCTTCACACATTGTACCCATGTCAGGAATCGAACCCGGGTCTTCGGCGTGACGAGCGAACGCTTTAACCACTAGGGTACCCGACCGCCCCTAAACGTGAGTAAGAAAAGTATTACATATTCCTCAACATCTTCTTGAAGTTAGAATTAAGCAAAGGTCTCATTATCCACTGGAATTTCACACATGCATAAAACTATGTTTATCTGCCATGTATCGTACGGCGCTGAAGGTTGAGTGAGTGAGTGAGTGAGTTTGGTTCAACGCCGCTTTTGACAGTATTCCAGTCATATCGCCGCGTGTCAGTTTAATGTGGGTGGCAAGCCCAAAGTGATGCAGGCCTCAGACGTTTACCACTTTGCTGAAACCAACGAGCACGGGTATGGTGCTGACAAGCCAAGAAACCTAATCGGGGCGAACCGGGATTCGAACCCACAATCATAAGTTTCTGGCTTGCCCAAGGGACGCAACTCTGCACAGCGAATCGCGGCGCCTTAGACGAGTGGGCCACCCGTGCCCCCGTGAAGGTTCAGACAATCCAACGACAATCCAACGACAATCCAACAAGACGAGAATCCAACGTCAATCAAACGACAAACAAACGACAATCCAACAAGACGACAATCCAACAAGACGAGAATCCTACGACAATCCAACAAGGCGACAATCCAACGACAATCCAACGACATTTCAACGACAATCAAACGACAATCCAACAAGATGACAATCAAACGACAATCAAACGACAATCAGACGAGAATCAAACGACAATCAAACGGCAATCCAACAAGACGACAATCAAACGACAATCAAACGACAATCCAACAAGACGACAATCCAACAAGACGAGAATCCTACGACAATCCAACAAGGCGACAATCCAACGACATTTCAACGACAATCAAACGACAATCCAACAAGATGACAATCAAACGACAATGAAATGACAATCAGACGACAATCAAACGACAATCAAACGGCAATCCAACAAGACGACAATCAAACGACAATCAAACGACAATCCAACAAGACGACAATCCAACGACAATGCAACAACACAATCCAACAAGACAATCCAACAAGACGAAAATCACAATCCAACGACAATCAGACGACAATCAAACGACAATCCAACAATACGACAATCAAACTAACATTTAATCACTGTAGTCAAAGGTCATGCGACAAGGCTGTTTTCTATAAATTTTCAATTTGGTTTAACACTTTTGCAATGGCAGATTGAAACATGTCGGCAAGATAAATTCGTTGTAACACTTTTATTGCAGAATATATATGTATATATGTTATGGCCTGATGAGACTCATACGTGGTACGAGTTGAAAGCGCAAGCCAATTAACATTGTGTTCAATCTTACTCCACTTATTTAATTTTTACAATATTGTGCCTGAGAGTAAGAACTTTTCTGTGCTTTTAGATAGATAGATAGATAGATAGATAGATTGCTGAGTGCGGCGTTAAACAACGAACAAACAAAAAATACTATATACTACATACTTACGTTTATTTTCCAGGCCTAGCAAAACCTACAGGTAAGAAAATGTTTGACAAATGAATGTAATCTTTTGGTTCAAAGTTACCGCTTCACGAGTCTGCCAGTTTCTACAGGTATTGCTAAGTACATATATTAAGATAAAATTGAGTGTTGTCACTTTGCATTCTAACAATACTCAAATAAGAAAACAAGAAGATGCATTTGCACTATGGAGTCGTTACGTCAATCGGAACTCCAGTGACGATTTTAAGGGTTAACATTTCGAATTACAAAAAGGTAATACAAGGAAACTTGCAATTGTTTCACCGTATATGTAAATAACCTTAACTTACTGATGATTTACTGGTATATAAATCTTCATAAAGTCATCCATCTCAGAATCAGGATTTTCCGAAATTTACTTTATAGTATTGTCTTTGTATAGCATTTTTGTACCCTGTAGACGGGGAGGATACATATGTTGTTTGCATTACGTTGTTGCAGCGTCATTCTACTGCACGAAAGTAAGGGGAGGCTACTCTCTGATGGCTTCGTTCGACCGCAAAGGCGTCGATTTCTGGAATATGGGAGCCGTGAACGCCGAAGGGGAGATCAGTCCTAAGTGTGGCAAGGATAAATTTCGCTGGGACAAGGAAATGCGCTTAAATGTTCAGATTCGAAACGTATCAGGAGTTTGGGAATCCGATTGTCCTGCAGAAATAGTAAGAATGTAGTATCTCACAGAGCTTCAACTTCAGTTGACAAGTGTCGGCCTTTGCCTACAGCATACACTTAAGGGAGAGTGAGTGGGGGTTTACGCCGCTTTTAGCAAATTCCAGCAATATCACGGCGGGGGACACCACAAATGGGCTTCGCATATTGTACCCATGTCGGGAATCGAACCCGGGTCTTCGGCGTGACGAGCGAACGCTTTAACCACTAGGCTACCCGACCGCCCCCATACACTTAACAAACAGTGAATATTGGGTATGAACAGTAACATAAGAATAGATCGTCAATAAAAACCTGAATTCATTTCGGGACCAGTAAGAGACCCAGTAATCAGAATCAGCATCGAACAACTTGATCCCGGATTCGGCAATGAGGCCATGATTCCATGCTTTAGGTCTCCCCAGAGTGGACACACCAAGATAATGATTAAACACTGTCATTGTATGTTGCTTTATTCTGACTTCAAACACACTATAGAACCGCCTCCGTGGTCTAGTGGAAGAGCGTCCGCCCGGAGAGCGGAAGGTCCGGGGTTCGATCCCCAGCCGCGTCATACCAAAAGACGCTAAAAGATGGTACTTGTTGTTACCCTGTCTGGCGCTCGGCATAAAGGGGCTAAAACAAGGACTGGTCAGCTCGGAGTCAGTATAGAGAGCTGGCAATATAAATCGGCATCAGTCCGGACTGGTACAAGCACACACACACACACACATACACGTGCACGCACGTCGCTATATAAGTGCAATAATCTTGGACGCGACGTTAAACTCCATTTCACCTCACCTCACCTCAAACACACTATAGACACCAATATTGATAACATTTATCAACAATCTTTGATCTTCCATGTAAATTTTATTATCGAGTTGGATAAAAAAAACATATCTCTCTTGATATTTTGTTTGTTGTATTCCAGGTAGATATGGGCGAACAATAAAAAAAGCTTATTTTGCTACGTCCATGTGTTTCGGCCGATCGATGAGAAACTAAATGAGAAATTAAAACGGCTTTGGAGAAAAATCGAACGACGTTTTTCCTTTCATTGTGGTTATTTTTGTTTGTTCTCATAACACAAGGTTGAGAAAAGGATCCTGAAATGGACGTTCAGGCTTCAGAAGAAAAAGGACGTGGTCTCGTTTGAAGATGAGGAAATTCAAGTCCAGTGTGATCTGTCTGAAGCTGATGCTGTATATGAGCTCACTGAGAGAGTCGAGATAGAGGGGTATGCATTTCTGTAACCGACATTGCTGATGGGAGAGTAGACATGTTTCCCCTGAAGATTTGTTCTGGGTGATGTACCAGGAGCATAGGTTTTGTGGAACAATATACCCGGAATGAGGACCGTAATTTCTCCCCTCGTCAATATTTACATATGAATATTTAACTAGTTTGTTTGCGTGAGATCCTAGCTATTTGGCTGAACTGTTTGGGCACAACATAATTTTTTACTGCCAGGGATGAGAGCGGTGTTGATAAATGACAGTTCAATGACAACAGCAACAGTTTCTTTGGGGGGTATTTTAAAGATAATGTATTAAAGACCAAGGTGGTAGATCGTGGCTACTTGCCCATTGGATTTAGGAAATAGTGTTATGTGTATGAAGGGTTAATTATGTTTTACCTGTTTCAGAATTCGAGAGAGGTCCTCAACAGCTGCCACACAGACAAGAGTCAGTGTACGGACATACCTAGCAAATCCTGACTCTCTGGAACCGGTCACAAATCTCAGCCTTGGTGTTCCAGTCCGGCTGGTGGCCACGCTTCAAGAAGGTTTGACTGAATCAAGCATGTTGTTATTTCTAGGACCAAACACGTGGCACTGTCTAAATTATATAGAGTACCTCTTCAGCCGAATGTTAGTAATTGTGTTCAGGAACATTTAGTCTATTGCTGTGCTGCTGTGACGACAAGGAACAAACCATCTCGTATTATCAAAGCAGATAAATTGTCTCCGAAATGATTGAACAGGAAGATCCGCGCTCAGTAACTGGTTTTGTTGTTGTTGTTGTTTTTGTTTTTGTTGTTTTGTTGTTGTTTTTTGGGGGGGTTGTGTCCCGTCCGGGCTCAAACCTCCATAAGTACAAGAACCTGTACTTTACTTAGAAAGTGTTATCCCTTCTATAACATTTGTTATATTTAACCTGGTTTGTAGGTACAAGACTCGAATCAGGGGGGAGGAGGGTCGGCAAAGGGAGCACAGGTTAAGGAAGTTTGGGAAAACACGCAAATGCATCTGGAGACATACACAGCGTCATTCTCCATGTATTATTTTTTAGATAAACTTGTCCACCTTCCTGTTGCAGGGGATGATGTTGACAATCCATACTTTCACTTTTGGAGCTGTCAAGCTGCATCTCCAGATGGAAATGTTACTGTACAACTGACCGACGACTCCGGGTCAGTTTGAAGTCGCTCAAGCCCAAATGCCCTACTTAACATGCAATGTGATGAACAGGCATTTCAAGGACCATAGGTTGGAATTAAGACATAATTTGGTGGGGTAGAAAACATTGACGTTTACCTGGGACAGAAACATGGACATCACACCCAATCTGTCCACAATCTGTCCACAATCTGTCCACAATCTGTCCACAACCTGTCCACAACCTGTCCAAAATCTGTCCACAACCTGTCCACAATCTGTCCACAATCTGTCCACAACCTGTCCACAACCTGTCCACAATCTGCATGCCCAAAGTCAAGATCCTCGAATCTGAAGTTTTTATCTTTATTTTTCATTGTTTGTTTACATCCCTTTTCAAAGACGAATCTTGACATTGTAAACATTATCTCCACGGGTTGGTGAGGCTAAAATTTGGCATCAATTTCTCGTGATGCTATCAAACTTATATCAGCCTTCCTATAGGTGTGATTATTCTTTGCGTGGGTAAATGTGTCATCATTATACATCATTTACAAAGATTAAGCATTTAAAGAACCCAAAGACATCGGAATCAGGTTTATATAAGGTGTACACTTCAGTGTGACAATCAGGTTCGTCTCCATTTTCTCAGAATGTGTTACTAGTATTACAAAGTCATCCAAATAAAATAATTCAATATGTCAAATTGAAATCCGTCAATGTCACAGCACGCTAGTAGTAACTAACATTTTTTTACATATGAATATTTTGTAAGCAATTATGACAGAAGTAGATGGTTTGGGGCAATTATGTATTACAAGTGAACATTTAACGTTTGCAATACACTTATCTTACGATTTCCGATCGACTTACTGACACTCGGTTAATAATGATTTGGTTGTTTATGTGTCCCCTTGCACAATGTTGTTGACACGACCTTGGATCCGGGGTAGAATAGGTCTTGAGCGACCCATCTTGCCGTAAAAGGCGACTATGCTTGTCGTAAGAGGCGACTAACGGGATCGAGTGGTCAGGCTCGCTGACTTGGTTGATGCATGTCATCGTATCCCAATTGCGTGGATTGGTGCTCATGGTGTCAATCACTATTGTCTGGTCCAGACTCGATTATTTACAGACCGCCATCATATAGCTGGAATAGTGCTGAGTACGGCGTTAAACAACAACAGACAGACAGACATGATAACGATATTACTGGTAACACACATACTAGAAATTTGAGAGCTGACAAAATTTGGTAAATATTTTCTTCCATAAATATGTTAAAACATACCCATTTATCTCTTACAGTTGTTCTCTGAGGAGAGACCTCCGCTTTGGAATAATGCACACGGCCTCTGGCGTGATCCAATCGTATACATTCCCCATGTTTTATCTGCCGGGCTACACAGAAGTGGTGTTCAGTTGTGCTCTTGGGCCCTCGCACATGCTGAGACATGAGACACGGGTTGGTATACAAGTATTACAAAGTGAGAGTGAATAATGTTATACACAGCAGACAGCAATAACCCCGTTATATCACGGCGGCCTGTAAGAAATCATCTGGCCCTGGCAAACTAGTGGTTGTTGAACATGAACAGCCAGCCACGCCCACAATGGCATGTAATCAGCCGGTTGATCATCATCAGTAAGTCTCATGATCAGCCTTCGGTGTTATATAAATTTTAGTCCCGTGAAGATCCGGGGTAGAAGAGGTCTTCAGCAACCAATGCTTGCCGTAAAAGGCGACTATGCTTGTCGTAAAAGGCGACTAACGGGATCGGGTGGTCAGGCTCGCTGACTTGGTTGATGCATGTCACCGATCCCAATTGCGTGGACCGATGCTCATGATATTAATCACTGAATTGTCTGGTCCAGACTCGATTATTTACAGACCGCCGTCATATAGCTGGAATATTGCTGAGTGCGGCGTTAAACAACAAACCAACCAATCAATCAATATATAAATTTTATGTTGAGTCCCCAGTAGTACAATTATGCAGGCAGTTATTTTTAACAAAACGTAATAGTCTACGACAGCTGGTCTCGGGGTATAAATCCACCCGTCTACAAAGTCGACAAAACCACATTCAGCTCGGGATGAGCTAAACGGTGTTGACCATTGTCCATTAAGCATGTAGGCTTATGTATCACCTGGGACTTTATGTAGCTTGACTGGCAGGTGAAGCACTGAGGACGTTCTCTTGGACGAAGTCTTGGAGGAGCAGTCAAACCTCTTAAACATCTGTAGACAGAAAGCTCATATTAAAACATATCTGTTACGTTATTCTATAGTTGATACGCTCCATTTTTCTTTCAGAAATGGAGAGTTGTCAATTATACATTTCTTGAACAAGCATTTCAATTACCTTGCTCTTGGAATTGATGGAACTAATTTTTAAATATTCTGACATGTGAATAATTTCAAATTTTGTCGGAAAACATGTGTCGCCATAATGTCCATCAGCATGTATATGTACAATGTGCTACAATTGTAAAATACTAGTTTAGGATTACGAAGGGCATTGTACCATTACTGCACAACAATGGCAGTTCACAATAGAGTGGTAGTACAATATTCAATGGCAGTACACAATAGAGTGGTAGTACAATATTCAATGGCAATATATAACATGATGGCAGTGGTCAGTATAAAAAACAAAAAAACAGTGGTGATAGCAAAAGTGATAATAAAACATATTCAGCCAGCGGCGATAGCGGTCAAGCTTCCGAGACGGGCAAAGCTGCTCATGAAATGAAAATGTGAGATGTAAACAGGCACTCTCTTGTGCCACAATATATACAATCTAGCTAGATACAGGAAGCCCTCTACATATTGCCCTCACCAGTTTAGCGGCACTAGAACATTACAAAATATCAGTCCATGGTATTCCGTAAGTTTACATATCACACTTGCATCTTAATATAGTAACTTCCTCAAAGCTGCTTACAATAAACAGTACTACATTCCTGACAACTATTGTTATAAGGGTGGCAGTGTATTATATTGTATATATGTACGTTTTGTGATCTCCATGTTTTGTCTATGGAGTAACAAGGTGATGGTGATCTCCATGTTTTGTCTAAGGAGTAACAAGGTGATGGTGATCTCCATGTTTTGTCTAAGGAGTAACAAGGTGATGGTGATCTCCATGTTTTGTCTAAGGAGTGACAAGGTGATGGTGATCTCCATGTTTTGTCTAAGGAGTAACAAGGTGATGGTGATCTCCATGTTTTGTCTAAGGAGTAACAAGGTGATGGTGATCTCCATGTTTTGTCTAAGGAGTAACAAGGTGATGGTGATCTCCATGTTTTGTCTATGGAGTGACAAGGTGATGGTGATCCCCATGTTTTGTCTAAGGAGTAACAAGGTGATGGTGATCTCCATGTTTTGTCTAAGGAGTGACAAGGTGATGGTGATCTCCATGTTTTGTCTAAGGAGTGACAAGGTGATGGTGATCTCCATGTTTTGTCTAAGGAGTAACAAGGTGATGGTGATCTCAATGTTTTGTCTAAGGAGTAACAAGGTGATGGTGATCTCCATGTTTTGTCTAAGGAGTAACAAGGTGATGGTGATCTCCATGTTTTGTCTAAGGAGTGACAAGATGATGGTGATCTCCATGTTTTGTCTATAGAGTAACAAGGTGATGATGATCTCCATGTTTTGTCTATAGAGTAACAAGGTGATGGTGATCTCCATGTTTTGTCTATGGAGTAACAAGTTGATGGTGACCTCCGTGTTTTGTCTTTGTGATGACAAGTTGATGGTGATCTCCATGTTTTGTCTATGGAGTAACAAGGTGATGGTGACCTCCGTGTTTTGTCTTTGTGGTAACAAGGTGATGGTGATCTCCGTGTTTTGTCTTTGTGGTGACAAGTTGATGGTGATCTCCATGTTTTGTCTATGGAGTAACAAAGGTGATGGTGATCTCCATGTTTTGTCTATGGAGTAACAAAGGTGATGGTGACCTCCATGTTTTGTCTATGGAGTAACAAAGGTGATGGTGACCTCCATGTTTTGTCTTTGTGGTGACAAGGTGATGGTGATCTCTATGTTTTGTTTGTGGAGAAACAAGGTGATAGTGATCTCCATGTTTTGTCTATGGAGTAACAAGGTGATGGTGATCTCCATGTTTTGTCTAAGGAGTAACAAGGTGATGGTGATCTCCATGTTTTGTCTAAGGAGTGACAAGGTGATGGTGATCTCCATGTTTTGTCTAAGGAGTGACAAGGTGATGGTGATCTCCATGTTTTGTCTAAGGAGTGACAAGGTGATGGTGATCTCCATGTTTTGTCTAAGGAGTAACAAGGTGATGGTGATCTCCATGTTTTGTCTAAGGAGTAACAAGGTGATGGTGATCTCCATGTTTTGTCTAAGGAGTAACAAGGTGATGATGATCTCCATGTTTTGTCTAAGGAGTGACAAGGTGATGGTGATCTCCATGTTTTGTCTATAGAGTAACAAGGTCATGGTGATCTCCATGTTTTGTCTATAGAGTAACAAGGTGATGGTGATCTCCATGTTTTGTCTATGGAGTAACAAGTTGATGGTGACCTCCGTGTTTTGTCTTTGTGATGACAAGTTGATGGTGATCTCCATGTTTTGTCTATAGAGTAACAAGGTGATGGTGACCTCCGTGTTTTGTCTTTGTAGTGATAAGTTGATGGTGATCTCCATGTTTTGTCTATGGAGTAACAAGGTGATGGTGATCTCCATGTTTTGTCTATGGAGTAACAAAGGTGATGTTGACCTCCGTGTTTTGTCTTTGTGGTGACAAGGTGATGTTGACCTCTATGTTTTGTTTGTGGAGAAACAAGGTGATGGTGATCCCCATCTTTTGTCTATGGAGTAACAAGGTGATGTTGATCTCCATGTTTTGTCTATGGAGTAACAAGGTGTTGGTGATCTCCATGTTTTGTCTAAGGAGTGACAAGGTGATGGTGATCTCCAAGTTTTGTCTTTGTGGTAACAAGGTGATGGTGATCTCCATGTTTTGTCTATGGAGTAACAAGTTGAGGGTGACCACAGATTCTTCCCGTAATGATGTATACATATCTCTCCTGTCTAGTTGGCATTCAGTGCGTCATTACACTGTTGTGTATTGGAGTGTTCTAATAACATACTGTCCGTCAGTCAACAGGAAGCACCGTAGTTTCTCAAAGTATTAGTGACCATTCTAACGCTTTACTGGCATCATAAGAAGTAACAATGACGTCACGCTATTGTAACATTTTACCGGCATTCTTAGGTTGTCGGTAGGGGAATGTTGCTGTGCCTTAGACATTCATATCCAACTGTATATCACATTAACATACTGAAGATATTATATTTGCTTGAAAACGAAAGTTTCTTTCTTTTTGCGGTTAACGTCTTGAAACACAAGCGACAAAGACCTTTTCATGATCATAAGACATACGTTAGTCCATACGATTCCAATCATATCATAAGCACTGTATAGTAGTGAGTATAGACGCGGAACGGAGAGCGTATCCTGATCCACTCTATGGTACGCATCACAAACACATGCAAAGGCTCAGCATGTTGGATGCAGTATGATGAGTCTTGACAGTCCCAAGTAGTGGAATACAAACGTTAAATACTACGTCTGAAAGAAGTTGATATATCACTATGTGATATGAAGTAGAGAGCGTGGTTGGCTCAGGGTCCATCCGTTTAGGACAATGACAAGCACAAAAAAAACCACTACCTTTTAATTCGAATTGACAGTCAACACTATCAGGTTTGTTATAACAGCGTATTATGTAGCCATGATTACTTTCTTCAACAGAAGTGTCCTAGGAGGGGATAGGGCAACGGACGGATGTGACAGGTCACAAGATGAAGGTCAGTGTATGGTGAGAACATATATGTCAATCATTATTAACGAGCTGTATTAAATATTTAACCCATTCGTCATTATAATCAGGCGGTAGTAAATTAGTAAATGAATGTCATAATAAAGGTAGACAACATTTAAAATTATTTTCATTTTGTGAATTTATTTCAGAAAATATGAGCGATCATTCACAGCAGCCAATCAACGATGCTTTTGAAACCATTCATCTGACATAGCACCCAATCCAAACTATGAATTCATATTGTTCAAAAGAAAACCTGTTCACTTGAAATAAACAAAAGTATCACCTTCTCTCAACTTGAATTGGTTGTTGTTGTCTCTACTTTTAACCAATGACTTTATCCAAACTGCATACATGTTAAAGTTTGCAGATGACGCATCCCTTGTCGAGCAGATGAAGTATTCCGAATCAGACCAACACAAATTGATCATTTTACAACATGGTGTAGTGATAATCACTTCCTGATGAACCTAAAGAGGTGAGGTGAAATGGGATTTATACGTTGCACTTAAAAAGCGAGTGTGTGTGTGTGTGTGTGTGTGTGTGTGTGGCTGCTTGTACTAGTCCAGACTGATGCCGGTTTATAGTGCTAGCTCACTGAGATATCACGCCGCAGTTTAACATGGATACCCCACTCAGACTCAGTATACTGACTCCGAGCCGACCAGTCCTTGTTTTAGCCCTTTATGCTGAGCGCCAGACAGGGTAACAACAGGTACCATCTTTTAACGTCTTTTGGTATGACGCGGCCGGGGATCGAACCTTCCGCTCTCCGGGCGGACGCTCTAACACTAGACCACGGAGGCGGTCTTTGAACCTGAAGAAAGCAATCCAGTAGATACAGCACACTTATATTACGACCAGAAATATGTGAAATGTGAAATTTTATTGACTCTGAACTCAACAGGAATTACAACACAGACACCATTTACAGTAAATGTCAACAACGTCTTCGTCTCATGCGAAAACATCTTATACAAACAATGTCATTAAAATAGATGAAATCAAATTTCAATTGTACGAACGGAAATTCGTAAATCAAGCCGCCAAAATTCTGTTTTTGTCCTCAGGCCGCAGTTACCAAATTCCCGTTGTTGATACTTGTAAGCAAGTGGTAGTGGTAAGTTGAAGAAGTGGTTGACCCACACGTAGTTATACTAATAGCATCATTGAGTGCATGACTGAATGTGGTTTTACGCCGCTTTTAGCATTATTTCAGCACCATCATGGCTGGGGGCACCAGAAATCGGCTTCACACCTTGAACCCATGTGGGGAATGAAACCCGGGTCTTCGGCTTGACGAGCGAACGCTTTAACTACTGAGTGAGTGAGTGAGTGAGTGAGTTTGGTTTAACGCCGCTTTTAACAGTATTCCAGTTATATCGCGGCGTGTCAGCTTAATGTGGGAGGATAGCCCGAAGTGATGCAGGTCTCAGACGTTTACCACTTCGGTGAAACCCACGAGCACGGGTATGGTGCTGACAAACCTAGAAACATAATTGGGGTGAACCGGGATTCGAACCCACAATCATAGGTTTCTGGCTTGCCCAAGGGACGCAACTCTGCACAGCGAATCGCGGCGCCTTAGACGAGTGGGCCACCCGTGCCCCCCTTTAACTACTGAGCTACCCCACCGTCCCTATTCAGCAGCAGTGAAACAGAAGTATTAATACACCCTGTATAATTGATAGTAAGCGTTGTGATAGTAACAGTAATATCAGACGAAGAAGCCGTTAACAGCATCAGTAAGTGAGTTGGGTTTAACGCAGTCCCACACTTACCCCCGGGAATCACCATGACGGTCAGGTCCATATGTACCACGTGTAGATCCACATTTACCCCAGGGAATCACCATGACGACCAGGTCCATATGTACCACGTGTAGGTCCACACTTACCCCAGGGAATCACCATGACGACCAGGTCCATATGTACCAAGTGTAGGTCCACACTTACCCCAGGGAATCACCATGACGACCAGGTCCATATGTACCAAGTGTAGGTCCACACTTACCCCAGGGAATCACCATGACGACCAGGTCCATATGTACCAAGTGTAGATCCACATTTACCCCAGGGAATCACCATGACGACCAGGTCCATATGTACCAAGTGTAGGTCCACACTTAACCCAGGGAATCACCATGACGACTAGGTCCATATGTACCACGTGTTGATCCAGTTACCCCAGGGAATCACCATGACGACTAGGTCCATATCAACCACGTGTAGGTCCACACTTTCCCCAGGGAATCACCATGGCAGTCCATGAGATTTTAACACTTTACCCGTGTAATATCGTCAAACGGACATGGACTTTCACACGGTTATTTCTGTCAACTGAAGCTGTGTTATTTTGCCTTAACCTGTGATGCCAATGTGATCAAGTTCTGGAGACGTTGCTTTACTCTAAGACAGCGATATTCAGCATGGGATTTGCCTTTGAAATGCCAATAACACTCTCTAGTAGTACCCGGTCAAACAAGCAGTCCACACACCTCTTATACATGTTGTGAGAAGGTAGAGAAACATGGACAGTTCTTCTTTAATGGTCTGTTGATGCTGCTAAGCTGTTTATCCAGCTACCTCTAAGGCATAAGCTGAGGTCCTCATGGTTCGCATTGCATCATGCAATACTCGGATAGATGTGCATGAGGTCGTAATTCATGAACTAACTGCGCCGTATTTCAAAATAGCAATGTAAAAGACAACAATTATTCAATTTCTATGCCAAACCGGAAGACGTTCAGTCAAATAAACTTGTTTATCATATAATGGTTAGGTCGCGGCTGGATAAAGCCAACGGATAAAAATGACATCCGCGGGCGTCATATGCGGAAAGAGATGCAAATCAAAGGTCAAATAGGGACGACTTTCACTGTTTATAAACAAACATGGCGTCGCCCTTGTCATTCGGCTATCGAGTCAGAATTAACCATCGGGAGTCTGGGTAACTACTGGGATAATTGCTATCATTATCAAAAGAATAGTCTAATAAACTGAAATTCAGCGTCTAACTGTAACGTAGCTGAGGCATTTTATCCGTCTTGGCAACTTTGGAGATATACCAAGTATAAATAGCCAAGCAGGATCACTTTCCATATCTGTGTTTGTAGAGTAATGTACGAGAGATCTCTGCGGCTTGGAATCTTTTCAACAAATTAAAACAGTTGTATTTGGTCGAAATATGTTTCAGTTGTTACCTTGTTTTGTTTTGTTATTGTGTGTACACCCAGTAACATTATGACAGGACAGGCCGATTGTCAACAACGTCTGACTGTGGCCATTACTTCTCATAGACTAAGGTTAGACAAGGATTTTTTTCCCTTTGGTCAAGGGTAGTTACCCTGGATTGAGGCGAAAAGCAATTAAAAACAATTTCTGTAGGCAGTTGTTTTGCATATATGAAGTTACGCCACTGTATAAGAAACAGGTTTCAGTTGGAACTGTATTGGCTACTGTCACTGTCCGACTGACACATCACTCACCCTGTGACGTAATATATATCAATGCGCAAGTTCCAGGAAAACTTTCAATGTTTAGGCAATGTTTGTGAGAGATGGGAAGGGATTTTCGAGTTCAGAATTGAAGGATGACATTATATGACAGGGGGCACGGGTGGCCAAGTCGTCTAAGGCGCCGCGATTCGCTGTGCAGAGTTGCGTCCCTTGGGCACGCCAGAAACCTATGATTGTGGGTTCGAATCCCGGTTCGCTCCGATTATGTTTCTAGGTTTGTCAGCACCATACCCATGCTGGTGGGTTTCAGCGTAGTGGTAAACGTCTCAGACCTGCATCACTTCGGGCGTTCTTCCCACATTAAGCTGACACGCCGCGATATAACTGGAATACTGTTGAAAGCGGCGTTCAACCCAACTCACTCACTCACTCATTATATGACAAAGAGGTTATCAGGCTTGTGGCTCTCCAAGGCTCGCTAAATACAATGTTTATTCCTAATGCAGGATATTTACCATCCCAAACACACTCGCGTGATAACCTGTATGTCTCTGGTCTGTGGCACATATCTGCAGCCATCGAGAAAGGGAGACAATAGCCGACCTGGTAAACAACTCAATATGCCCTGAGCAAAATTTTAGTTACTTCTCTCAACTTTGTGTACATGTATAACGTATTGGTGTTGAACCTTAAATATCCACAGATGTTAACCTCATTATGATAACACTAATACTGTTTAATGTGTTCAAATTCGCTATAACAGTACTGATATTAACCCTGACCCCATGAAAGCCATTATCTGCATCCGGTTGATGACAGCTATTAGTCCATGAACAGCAAACCGAAGATGATAGTTCAACACTTTGCTCGGCGTTTTCGACAGGAATGGAGGTTGTTTTTCTGTCTATGTTACTTGTCTTTGTAACCAACGCCGCTGACGCTGGGAGATTCCAAGGTATGAATTAGGTGGCATTTGCCTACCAACTTTCTATCCACTTTTATTCACACATAATTATTCATTTACATTGCACGACATTTAGAGGGGTTTTGCATCCCCGTCAGATTGGTTAAAAATGTCAGATTTACAGATCGTGTCGATCAATGAACATCCCTTAATTATTCCTCATATTTTAAATTATCAAATATTATTCACGTTATTGAAATTGTTCATGGGTATGCGTTACAATTGTTTAAAAACGGTTGAATTTGTGGATGACTAAATGAGATTTTATATTTATGTGTACATCGGCTTTACGGTTATTTTGACGGAACAGCACAATGCCATCTGACACATGGTCATATTACTTTTATTAGAATGTTCCAAAGACTGGACACCGGCGAATGCTAAGTGCTACAAGTTTGTGAACGAAAGAGTCCACAGACATGGAGCATCCCGTAGATGTAGAAGACGCTATTCTGCTTCTCTAGCAGTGATTGAGAACGAGGAAGAGAATGAAGTCGTCCAAGGTATGTTGAAATGTGTATTCCATTTGACATGATACGAAAGGTTGACGTGATGATAATTGCCAAACACACGATGATACTGCTTGAGTGCAAACGATGACGACACAACAGGTAAGATTGTTTGTTTGTTTGTTTGTTGTTTAACACCGCATCCAGCAATATTCCAGCTATATGACGGCTGTAAATAATCAAGTCTGGACCAGACGATCTCGTTAGTCGCCTCTTACGACAAGCGTAGTCTCCTTTCACATCAAGCATGTGTTGCTGATGACGTATTCTACCCCGGATCTTCGCGGTTGAGATATGTTGTACGCCAACATAATCTAGTTACCCCTAATTGGATGCAAACAATATGGTTTCACAGTTGGTAATGTTGTCACTAAAACTTAACAATATCAACATCTGCAGTGATCAGGCCGTTAAATCAGCTATAATTTCAGTTACAGGTGATTTGAAGGCCTAGTTGAGAAATACTCTGTATTGAGAAACCTGCGATTGACCAATACAAATCGATTATTTCCATGGAAACTTTAGTCATGCTGGAATTACTCTCCCTGTTACATTTATATCGGTCAGTAAAAACATTCGAGATCCACATCCAAAAAATGAACCTATTCTCAAACTAAAAATACAGATCCCCGATGAACATACAGGTCCCCCATGAACATACATTCAAGTTATACATACGTATCCTTTATCAACTTACCCTCACGTTGTGCATACACGTTTCCCATCAACCTACACTCAGGTTGTGCGTTCATGGTCCTCATGAACCAACTCTCAAGCTTCCCCCATGAAAATGCTTTCAAGTTGTACATGCGTGTGCCTCAAAAACCTACTCTCACGTTGCCCATACATGTGACCAATGAACATGCTTTCAAGTTTTATATACTTGTTTCCCATGAACATACTTTATGTTGTAAATACATGTCCCTCATGAACGTACTCTCAATTGGTACCTATATGTCCCCCATGAACCTCCTCATCACGTTGTTCATATACATGTAGGTCCCCTCATCAAGATGTACATACATGACCCACATTAACACACTCTAAAGTTGTACCTACATGTCCCCATAAACATACTCTCAAGTTGTACATTTACGTCTCTCGTGAACATACTCTCATCTTGTAATACCTCTCGCCCATTTACACACTCTCAAGATGTACATACATGTCCCCATTAACACACTCTCAAGGTGTACATACATGTCCCCATTAACACATTCTCAAGGTGTACATACATATCCCCATTAAGACACTCTCAAGGTGTACATACATATCCCCATTAACACACTCTCAAGGTGTACATACATGTCCCCATTAACACACTCTCAAGGTGTACATACATGTCCCCATTAAGACACTCTCAAGATGTACATACATATCCCCATTAACACACTCTCAAGGTGTACATACATATCCCCATTAACACACTCTCAAGGTGTACATACATGTCCCCATTAAGACACTCTCAAGATGTACATACATATCCCCATTAACACACTCTCAAGGTGTACATACATATCCCCATTAACACACTCTCAAGATGTACATACATGTCCCCATTAACACATTCTCAAGGTGTACATACATGTCCCCATTAAGACACTCTCAAGATGTACATACATATCCCCATTAACACACTCTCAAGGTGTACATACATATCCCCATTAACACACTCTCAAAGTGTACATACATATCCCCATTAACACACTCTCAAGGTGTACATACATGTCCCCATTAACACACTCTCAAAATGTACATACATGTCCCCATTAACACACTCTCAAGGTGTACATACATGTCCCCATTAACACACTCTCAAGGTGTACATACATGTCCCCATTTACACACTCTCAAGATGTACATACATATCCCCATTAAGACACTCTCAAGGTGTACATACATGTCCCCATTAACACACTCTCAAGGTGTACATACATATCCCCATTAACACACTCTCAAGATGTACATACATGTCCCCATTAACACATTCTCAAGGTGTACATACATGTCCCCATTAACACACTCTCAAGGTGTACATACATGTCCCCATTAACACACTCTCAAGGTGTACATACATGTCCCCATTAACACACTCTCAAGGTGTACATACATGTCCCCATGAACACACTCTCAAGGTGTACATACATGTCCCCATTAACGCACTCTCAAGGTGTACATACATGTCCCCATTAACACACTCTCAAGGTGTACATACATGTCCCCATTAACACATTCTCAAGGTGTACATACATGTCCCCATTAACACATTCTCAAGGTGTACATACATATCCCCATTAACACACTCTCAAGATGTACATACATGTCCCCATTAACACACTCTCAAGGTGTACATACATGTCCCCATTAACACACTCTCAAGGTGTACATACATGTCCCCATTAAGACACTCTCAAGGTGTACATACATATCCCCATTAAGACACTCTCAAGGTGTACATACATGTCCCCATTAACACATTCTCAAGGTGTACATACATGTCCCCATTAACACGCTCTCAAGATGTACATACATGTCCCCATTAACACACTCTCAAGGTGTACATACATGTCCCCATTAACACACTCTCAAGGTGTACATACATGTCCCCATTAACACACTCTCAAGATGTACATACATGTCCCCATTAACACACTCTCAAGATGTACATACATGTCCCCATTAACACACTCTCAAGATGTACATACATGTCCCCATTAACACACTCTCAAGATGTACATACATGTCCCCATTAACACACTCTCAAGATGTACATACATGTCCCCATGAACACACTCTCAAGATGTACATACATGTCCCCATTAACACACTCTCAAGGTGTACATACATGTCCCCATTAACACACTCTCAAGGTGTACATACATGTCCCCATGAACACACTCTCAAGATGTACATACATGTCCCCATTAACACACTCTCAAGATGTACATACATGTCCCCATTAACACACTCTCAAGGTGTACATACATGTCCCCATTAACACACTCTCAAGGTGTACATACATATCCCCATTAACACACTCTCAAGGTGTACATACATGTCCCCATTAAGACACTCTCAAGGTGTACATACATGTCCCCATTAACACATTCTCAAGGTGTACATACATGTCCCCATTAACACATTCTCAAGGTGTACATACATGTCCCCATTTACACACTCTCAAGATGTACATATATGTCCCCATTAACACACTCTCAAGGTGTACATACATGTCCCCATTAACACATTCTCAAGGTGTACATACATGTCCCCATTAAGACACTCATACATGTCCCCATTAACACACTCTCAAAATGTACATACATGTCCCCATTAACACATTCTCAAGGTGTACATACATGTCCCCATGAACACACTCTCAAGGTGTACATACATGTCCCCATTAACACATTCTCAAGGTGTACATACATGTCCCCATTAACACACTCTCAAGGTGTACATACATGTCCCCATTAACACATTCTCAAGGTGTACATACATGTCCCCATTAACACACTCTCAAGGTGTACATACATGTCCCCATTTACACACTCTCAAGGTGTACATACATGTCCCCATTTACACACTCTCAAGGTGTACATACATGTCCCCATTAACACACTCTCAAGGTGTACATACATGTCCCCATTAACACACTCTCAAGGTGTACATACATGTCCCCATTTACACACTCTCAAGGTGTACATACATGTCCCCATTAACACATTCTCAAGGTGTACATACATGTCCCCATTAACACACTCTCATGGTGTACATACATGTCCCCATGAACACACTCTCAAGGTGTACATACATGTCCCCATTTACACACTCTCAAGGTGTACATACATGTCCCCATGAACACACTCTCAAGGTGTACATACATGTCCCCATTTACACATTCTCAAGGTGTACATACATGTCCCCATGAACACACTCTCAAGGTGTACATACATGTCCCCATTAACACATTCTCAAGGTGTACATACATGTCCCCATTAACACATTCTCAAGGTGTACATACATATCCCCATTAAGACACTCTCAAGGTGTACATACATGTCCCCATTTACACACTCTCAAGGTGTACATACATGTCCCCATTAACACATTCTCAAGATGTACATACATGTCCCCATTAACACATTCTCAAGATGTACATACATGTCCCCATTAACACATTCTCAAGGTGTACATACATGTCCCAATTAAGACACTCTCAAGATGTACATACAAGTCCCCATTTACACACTCTCAAGGTGTACATACATGTCCCCATTAACACATTTTCAAGATGTACATACATGTCCCCATTAACACATTCTCAAGGTGTACATACATGTCCCCATTAAGACACTCTCAAGATGTACATACATGTCCCCATTTACACACTCTCAAGGTGTACATACATGTCCCCATTAACACACTCTCAAGGTGTACATACATGTCCCCATTAACACACTCTCAAGGTGTACATACATATCCCCATTAACGCACCCTCAAGGTGTACATACATGTCCCCATTAACACACTCTCAAGATGTACATACATGTCCCCATTAACACACTTTCAAGGTGTACATACTTGTCCCCATTAAGACACTCTCAAGGTGTACATACATGTCCCCATTAACACACTCTCAAGGTGTACATACATGTCCCCATTAAGACACTCTCAAGGTGTACATACATGTCCCCATGAACACACTCTCAAGGTGTACATACATGTCCCCATTAACGCACTCTCAAGGTGTACATACATGTCCCCATTAACACACTCTCAAGGTGTACATACATGTCCCCATTAACACACTCTCAAGGTGTACATACATGTCCCCATTAACACACTCTCAAGGTGTACATACATGTCCCCATTAACACACTCTCAAGATGTACATACATGTCCCCATTAACGCACTCTCAAGGTGTACATACATGTCCCCATTAACACTCTCAAGGTGTACATACATGTCCCCATTTACACATTCTCAAGGTGTACATACATGTCCCCATTAACACACTCTCAAGGTGTACATACATGTCCCCATTAACACATTCTCAAGGTGTACATACATGTCCCCATTTACACACTCTCAAGATGTACATACATGTCCCCATTAACACACTCTCAAGGTGTACATACATGTCCCTATTAAGACACTCTCAAGGTGTACATACATATCCCCATTAACACACTCTCAAGGTGTACATACATGTCCCCATTAACACACTCTCAAGATGTACATACATGTCCCCATTAACGCACTCTCAAGGTGTACATACATGTCCCCATTAACACTCTCAAGGTGTACATACATGTCCCCATTTACACATTCTCAAGGTGTACATACATGTCCCCATTAACACATTCTCAAGGTGTACATACATGTCCCCATTAACACACTCTCAAGGTGTACATACATATCCCCATTAACACACTCTCAAGGTGTACATACATGTCCCCATTAACACACTCTCAAGGTGTACATACATGTCCCCATTAACACACTCTCAAGATGTACATACATGTCCCCATTAACGCACTCTCAAGGTGTACATACATGTCCCCATTAACACTCTCAAGGTGTACATACATGTCCCCATTTACACATTCTCAAGGTGTACATACATGTCCCCATTAACACATTCTCAAGGTGTACATACATGTCCCTATTAAGACACTCTCAAGGTGTACATACATGTCCCCATTAACACACTCTCAAGGTGTACATACATGTCCCCATTAACACACTCTCAAGGTGTACATACATGTCCCCATGAACACACTCTCAAGGTGTACATACATGTCCCCATGAACACACTCTCAAGGTGTACATACATGTCCCCATTAACACACTCTCAAGGTGTACATACATGTCCCCATTAACGCACTCTCAAGGTGTACATACATGTCCCCATTAACACACTCTCAAGATGTACATTGTACATACATGTCCCCATAAACACATTCTCAAGGTGTACATACATGTCCCCATTAACACATTCTCAAGGTGTACATACATGTCCCCATTAAGACACTCTCAAGGTGTACATACATGTCCCCATTAAGACACTCTCAAGGTGTACATACATGTCCCCATTAACACACTCTCAAGATGTACATACATGTCCCCATTAACACACTCTCAAGATGTACATACATGTCCCCATTAACACTCTCAAGGTGTACATACATGTCCCCATTAACACATTCTCAAGGTGTACATACATGTCCCCATTAACACACTCTCAAGATGTACATTGTACATACATGTCCCCATAAACACATTCTCAAGGTGTACATACATGTCCCCATTAACACATTCTCAAGGTGTACATACATGTCCCCATTAAGACACTCTCAAGGTGTACATACATGTCCCCATTAAGACACTCTCAAGGTGTACATACATGTCCCCATTAACACACTCTCAAGATGTACATACATGTCCCCATTAACACACTCTCAAGATGTACATACATGTCCCCATTAACACTCTCAAGGTGTACATACATGTCCCCATTTACACATTCTCAAGGTGTACATACATGTCCCCATACACCTACTCTCAAGTCGTATATTTACGTCTCTCATGAACATACTCTCATCTTGTACATACATCTCGCCCATTAACACACTCTCAAGATGCACATACATGTCCCCATAAATATACTTTTAAGTTGTACAGACATGTCTCTCATGAACCTAATCTCAAGTTGTACAGACATGTCCCCACAAAGTGAGTGAGTGAGTGAGTTAATATTTAAAGTCACATCGGCAATATTTCAGCCATATAGTGACTATAACAAATTAGACAATACATCTCCCCACAAAGATACTCTCAAGTTGTACATCAATGTCTCTCATGAACATACTCGCAAGTTGTACAGACATGTCCCCATAAATATAGTTTTAAGTTGTACAGACATGTCTCTCATGAACATACTCACTGGTTGTACAGACATGTCCCAATAAATATACTTTTAAGTTGTACAGACATGTCCCAATAAATATACTTTTAAGTTGTACAGACATGTCCCCATAAATATACTTTTAAGTTGTACAGACATGTCTCTCATGAACATACGCGCAGGTTGTACAGACATGTCCCCATAAATATACTTTTAAGTTGTACAGACATGTCTCTCATGAACATACGCGCAGGTTGTACAGACATGTCCCCATAAATATACTTTTAAGTTGTACAGACATGTCTCTCATGAACATACTCGCAGGTTCTACAGACATGTCCCAATAAATATACTTTTAAGTTGTACAGACATGTCCCCATAAATCTACTTTTAAGTTGTACAGACATGTCTCCCATGAACATACGCGCAGGTTGTACAGACATGTCCCCATAACTATACTTTTAAGTTGTACAGACATGTCCCAATAAATATACTTTTAAGTTGTACAGACATGTCCCCATAAATATACTTTTAAGTTGTACAGACATGTCTCTCATGAACATACTCTCAGGTTGTACAGACATGTCCCAATAAATATACTTTTAAGTTGTACAGACATGTCTCTCATGAACATACTCTCAGGTTGTACAGACATGTCCCAATAAAAATTATTATACTTTTAAGTTGTACAGACATGTCTCTCATGAACATACTCTCAGGTTGTACAGACATGTCCCAATAAATATACTTTTAAGTTGTACAGACATGTCTCTCATGAACATACTCGCAGGTTGTACAGACATGCCCCCTTAAATATACTTTTAAGTTGTACAGACATGTCCCCATAGGGTTTACGCGAGGGTGAGGGTCAGAAAGTCGCTGAAAAGTCTTCTCTGCCAAAATCGTCTTATACCTGTATCCTTATCATATATTGTGACGCAGAAATCAGGTAAGGTGACTGTGAGGATACCTACAATGGACTCATGTTAGTGAATCGTGAAGACGATATAGGGTTTTGCTTAAAATCAAGTGTCATAAATGTGTAGAAATATGAAGGAGAATTTACACAATGCACCCGTTCTGACTGACAATGGGCAACACAAGCAGAGTCAGCGAGGAAGATGACCTACGATACGCGACACAAAGTGTGGACAATTTCAATGAAATCCGCAGACGCCTTGGTCAACTAGATCGAATTTCTTTTGAAATTGAACTTTTGGACATATACAATGATGATGAAGAAAAACTAAACGAAGTAAGACAAAGTCTTTATGACGTAGCCAAGGATACTCGACACGATACCCCAAATGGATATTAACCAAAACGTGTACAAAGAGAACATTCCGGGAAGTCTGTGATTGAGAAATATGCGTCTGATGTATATTGCCTATATGGTTTTATTACACACACACACACAATCCCCTCTCATATGCTTGAAAAACAAGTACTCAGCAAAGGCAAATCAAACGCACGTCCCACCAACGTACCCGGAGATAGTTTGCTGGATACACAAAGAGGTAATGATCTTTTGACCCTCATCTATGCCAATTAATGATGGACATGCGGGATTCTGCGAGCGAACGCTGATGACACTACTGTTGTGAGTACTAGTGTACATGGACTGAATATGTCTCTTGATACTATCCACCAGTATGCTCGGCGCTGCCGTATAACGCCCAAAAGAGCTGTGTCTTGTGTTTTAGCAATAACAGAAGACATTGTAATAGACCTGTGTTCAGAATTGGAGATGTGACAATGAAGATCCAAAGTAGTACGATTTATGCCGGCTCTCTGATACACACGGAAAAAGCAAGTGAACGAACGACTAGAGCTTGTGCTAAGGCGCGACAGACAATCAACTCCCTAAGAGATGTTGGTTTCAGAGCTGGAGGATTGAACCCAGTACCTTCATCGAATATCTGGCAACGAGTGATCTTTCCCTCTGCCTTCTATGCATGTGAGTTCTGGGCTAATATCAACAATCGTAAGATCAGTAAGATGGAAACCCTACAACGCTACTTTGCACGACTAGTCCTAAACCTTCACAGAAGATCCTCTACAGCTGCTACAACTCAGGTTCAAGGATTATGGTTAATGCTGGGCAAGGAGGAGAAAAAGAAGCTTCTCTTTCTGTGACGACTCTGTAAAGCAGGCATGGCCATTGTGAAGCCGATTTTCTATTTCAGATTATCCCAGTATGTCACCACTCTCTCACACAGTGCCAGATTCATAACACATGATCTACTGAATGTGGCTCAAAAGTATGGATTCTCAGGCGTCTCAGATAAACTTATCAACTCTGGGGAATTTCCATCTAAGAATGTATGGAAAAGCATGGCACAACGAGCTGTTAGTGAGTGTGAAAACATGAATTGGAGAAATACTTTGCAACAACGTCCAGATATGCATAGGTTTAGTGCTATCCACACCCGCCTTGCCCCACATCGTCTCTTGTGTATGGTATGATATTGCCCCCCTGTATATGCTCTTGTAAAACTCGGCATATTACCTGTAACGTCTGGACTGTGTCTTATCTGTAACTGTTGTGAATGTTATAACATTGTTAAGCACCAATTGCTTAACTGTTGGGGCTTAATGAAACAGAGAAATGTGCTTAGTCTCTATTTGACAATGTTAGCCTTGACACCTATCTCAGACTTGAGGACACGTCTAGTGATGACGTCAAGATTCGGACATACCTCGGTGCCATTACAGATGTGGTCCAGGACATGACACTTGACAGCTGGGCTACATTCATGAGTATCGTGGCTAAACATGTCAGCTCATGGAACTTAACATCCATATTGTATGTGTGAAACTATGTCACACATCATGTAAATACAGTTTCACGCATCACTTCATTACTGCTTACCTGCAACAGCTCAATCTGTTGTATTTATATGGGTTTTTTCATTGCTGTTGTCAAATAATGTAACGTAATTGTATGTGCTACTCTCCAATCATTGGATGAAATAAAGAGTATTCATTCATTCATAATCCTTAGTCTCCTTATGAACGTTCACGTAATTATGATCTGTTCCAGATCTTCTCCAAAGTCACAGATACGCATGGATCGCTTTACAGCGAGGACGTGGAGACGACAACTGGAACTGGGAAGTTGAGGTAAGAAAGAAAGATCAACACAAAAGTAATCTAAGTAAAGTACATACTCGTATACATCTTCCCGAGGCAAGAGAGTTATCTGACTTTAAAAGTCCAGTTTCCACCCTTGCCGAACTAGGCTGGTATTATTGAGTTACATTTTGGCTGGACTAACGAGTCTATGCATAGTCCAATCAAAATCGCGCACCGAAATCGAAATCCGGTTCGTAAAGTGTCATGCAGATTTCGGTCGACTGCAGGATTTGCAAAGCATGTGCACCGCTAACTCGTTGTCAACAGATATGTTCTAATTCTTTCCATGTTTTTAATTAAGCTGCTCACGTGATTTGATGCACTTCGCGATGTAAGACTCGTTTGATCCCAATATAGATCTTGATTATCGATCAGATCGTCCTGACTGGGCGCCACCGTTTTGTTTGAAGCAAATGCAAGTGATACGAGCGGTTGAATCTGATTGGTCAATAGGAGAGGCATAGAAAGGACATACCTCGTAATAGCCACTGGTGGCGCTACGATCGAGCCCAGGAAATCCAGCCTAGTTCGGCAAGGGTGGAAACTGGACAGTCAGTTAACTCTCTTGCCTCGGGAAGATGACTCGTATATGACTTTCATACTTTTTATCGCAATTTACCAGACACAGCTAGACATTGAAGAAGAATGTCACATTGAAAATGTACCTTATGTCATTACAAATATGCGCTGTATGCTTATTACCGTCTTTCCTCTAAAAGCGAGTGAGTGAAAAGTGTTCCGGTTATGTCATGGCGTGTCAGCTTTTTGTGGGAAGAATGTCCGAAGTGATAAGCTAATTCTCATTTCTTCTTACCCTTACCCTATTTGTACAAACAAACCAATTCAGATTCATTCTTGACCTGGCACGCATCTAAGACATTGATGTACAAACTAACTAATTCTCTTTTGTTTCAGATTCCTTTTGTATACTCTAACTGGAAGGAGTCCAACGATGGTTATTCAGAAGGGTGCGCAGTGATAACCTATAATGGCTATTGGTCATCTGCCGGTTGTCGTATCGACTTCCCTTATGTATGTTCGAAAAAGGCTGGTAAGGAGCTTACGCCCATATGCTGCGATGTATCAGGCGCAGTTATGCCATGCTTTCCGTAAAAGGCGTGTTTGCTTGTCGTAAAAGGCGACTAACGGGATCGGGTGGTCAGGGTCGCTGACTTGGTTGATGCATGTCATCATATCCCAATTGCCTGGATCAATGCTCATGATGTCAATCACTGGATTGTCTGGTCCAGACTCGATTATTTACGGACAGCAGTCATATAGCTGGAATATTGCTGAGTGCCGCGTTAACCAACCAACCAACAACCAAAACCATTTATGCAAGAATCCAAATTAAAACGGATGTAAGCTACTGTAAAGGTCAATACGTGGTTAATACTATATTCACATGCACATTTTGTTAAAATACTCAAGACAAATTGACGACTTCTCCTGATCAAACAGTTGTATCTAAACAGGGTATAAAGATAGTATGTAGCACACGTGACCACCAAGCAGTAGGGTATACAAAGAGTATGTAGCACACGTGACCACCAAGCAGTAGGGTATACAGAGTGTATGTAGCACACGTGACCACCAAGCAGTTGGGTATACAGAGAGTATGTACCACACGTGACCACCAAGTGTAGGGTATAACAGCGAGTCTGTACCACACATGACCACCAAGTAGTAGGGTATACAGAGTGTATGTACCACACGTGACCACCAAGCAGTAGGGTATAACAGCGAGTCTGTACCACACGTGACCACCAAGTAGTAGGGTATACAGAGTGTATGTACCATCGGTGACCACCAAGTAGTAGGGTATAACAGCGAGTCTGTACCACACGTGACCACCAAGTAGTAGGGTATACAGAGAGTATGTACCATCGGTGACCACCAAGTAGTAGGGTATAACAGCGAGTCTGTACCACACATGACCACCAAGTAGTAGGGTATACAGAGTGTATGTACCATCGGTGACCACCAAGTAGTAGGGTATAACAGCGAGTCTGTACCACACGTGACCACCAAGTAGTAGGGTATACAGAGTGTATGTACCATCGGTGACCACCAAGTAGTAGGGTAGAACAGCGAGTCTGTACCACACGTGACCACCAAGTAGTAGGGTATACAGAGAGTATGTACCATCGGTGACCACCAAGTAGTAGGGTATAACAGCGAGTCTGTACCACACGTGACCACGAAGCAGTAGGGTATACAGAGTGTATGTACCACACGTGACCACCAAGCAGTAGGGTATAACAGCGAGTCTGTACCACACGTGACCACGAAGCAGTAGGGTATACAGAGTGTATGTACCACACGTGACCACCAAGCAGTAGGGTATAACAGCGAGTCTGTACCACACGTGACCACCAAGCAGTAGGGTATAACAGCGAGTCTGTACCACACATGACCACCAAGTAGTAGGGTATACAGAGAGTATGTACCACACATGACCACCAAGCAGTTGGGTATAACAGCGAGTCTGTACCACACATGACCACAAAGCAGTAGGGTATACAGAATGTGTGTGCCACACGTGACCACCAAGTAGTAGGGTTTACAGAGTGTATGTAGCACACGTGACCACCAAGTAGTAGGGTATACAGAGTGTATGTAGCACACGTGACCACCAAGCAGTAGGGTGTGCAGCGAGTATGTACCACACGTCACCACAAAGCAGTAGGGTATACAGAATGTGTGTGCCACACGTGACCACCAAGTAGTAGGGTATACAGAGTGTATGTAGCACACGTGACCACCAAGCAGTAGGGTATACAGAATGTGTGTGCCACACGTGACCACCAAGCAGTAGGGTATACAGAGTGTATGTAGCACACGTGACCACCAAGCAGTAGGGTATACAGAATGTGTGCGCCACACGTGACCACCAAGTAGTAGGGTATACAGAGTGTATGTAGCACACGTGACCACCAAGTAGTAGGGTATACAGAGTGTATGAAGCACACGTGACCACCAAGCAGTAGGGTATACAGAGTGTATGTACCACACGTGACCACCAAGTAGTAGGGTATAACAGCGAGTCTGTACCACACGTGACCACCAAGTAGTAGGGTATACAGAGAGTATGTACCACACGTGACCACCAAGCAGTTGGGTATACAGAATGTATGAAGCACACGTGACCACCAAGCAGTAGGGTATACAGAATGTATGTGCCACACGTGACCACCAAGCAGTAGGGTTTACAGAGTGTATGTACCACACATGACCACCAAGCAGTTGGGTATACAGAATGTATGTACCACACGTGACCACCAAGCTTTAGGGTATACAGAGTGTATGTACCGCACGTGACCACCAAGCAGTAGGGTGTGCAGCGAGTATGTACCACACGTGATCACCAAGCAGTAGGGTATACAGAGAGTATTCACCACACGTGACCCCCGAGGAGTAGGGTATACAGAGAGTATGTACCACACGTGACCACCAAGCAGTAGGGTATACAGAGAGTATGTACCACACGTGACCACCAAGCAGTAGGATATACAGCGAGGTGAGGTAATTGTTTTTTAACTTCGCGTCTAAGGATATTCCTTGTGTGTGTGTGTGAGTGTGTGTGTGTGTGAAATATAAAAGGGTTCGCGGGTTAAGGTCGCGCTGGTACAGCTCACTTATGGAGGCCTCAGGTTTTAATGTCAGAGTTCAGATTTCAAATGAGGATTCTATTTTGGGATTCTTGTTTGGAAGGGAAACCTTCAGTTGAAGCGGGACATACATGAACAACGTGATGAGGGGGTTCATGGGGGACATATAGGTACCAATTGAGAGTACGTTCATGAGTTCTCATTGTCTTGGTTGTCTCCGGAACACTTCACTTTGACATATCCTTTAACTCACGAAGGATAGTTTCAGGTTGAAATGTTCTTTTAATAAAAACGACCAAACCCCTTTCATAGTCATAACAGATCTCTGCCAGAGATCTAAGCAGAGTCAGTGTTACTATTCCGACTGTATTATTAGCATGTGTTTATCTAACGATGGCTTCCCTCTGAAATGATGATAATTTGGACTGCACTTGGGATCCATTGAGTGCCTTGAACTGATTTGAAAATGACTTAGTGAATCGTGTTATTTAAACGTTTCCTGAATGCACTTATAAATTGTTTTTTTGGATGATGCATTTAAGTCAGTTGCTTATGTAACGTTTTGTCAGAAGTCCTGTTTAGGTAAGTAATATTAACATAATTATGTATATTGTTTTACTGAAGTTATTATTATTATCTTCAGCGAGCATCGCTTAAGGGATCGGGTGGTCAGACGCGCTGTCTTGGTTGATGCATGTTATCGGATCCCAATTGCGTAAATCGATGCTCATGATGTCAACCACTAGATTGATCCATACTCGATTATTTACAGGCTGTCGTGATATAGCTGGATTATGACAAACATTACAGTCATTTTCTGTGATATTTCAGATTGTGAACCTGGATGGACTGGCGATAAATGTGATCACAAGTGTCACTGTTTCAAGGGCCATGTCTGTAATGCAACCCATACCTGTCCGGATGGGTGTGAGAAGGGATGGGCTGGAGAAAGGTGTGCAAGACGTGAGTAAGAATTTAATACTGACTTGCTTCCCAAAGAATTCCATACACAGTTATTTATAACATTGGAATTATTGAGATGAAACAAAATAACTGTAAACGTGTTTGAATCGTTACCTATCGTGTAGTTGTCCGATTTTCGATCACGTTGATACTACCTAATTTCGTTTATCCGACATACTCGTTAATCCGATATAATCACATGCAACCAACAAAGTCGGATTAATGGGACTTGACTGTACTTCTCAACATCTCCTTGATATTTTTTACTTGTTTGAAGTTTGAATTGTTGAACGATTTATTGAGCGTATGTGTCTCATTTGATTTATGGGCGGATGGGGAGCCTAGTGGTTAAGGCGTTCGCTCGCCACGCCAAAGACCCGGGTTCGATTCCCGACATGGGTACAATGTGTGAAGCCAATTTCTGGTGTCCCCCGCCGTGATATTGCTGGAATATTGCTAAAAGTGGCGTAAAACCATACTCACTCACTCATTTGATTTATCCACAGGAATTAAACACATGCATAAGCTTGTTATGTATATATCCTATACTATCGTAAGGCCTCGAAAGCCGAAGATACAGAGCTTTCTGTGTGAGCAGCCCAATGTCTGAATTGGACAAGACGACAATCAAGACTGGTTTTTCTCTTGCGTTGACGTTTATTATCACATTGACAAGGGCATGTTACAACTGTTCAGCGTTTTTTATCAGGGAAAGTGCCGCAAATCGTATATATTTACGCTTTTGTTGAAGCTCCTAGTCATGGTTTGGATGCAGCCAAACACCATCTCACCTCCATGTCAGAATGTTGAGATATGATTGGTTCACGTGATCTTGCTGTAATACTACCTATCCCGCCTTGGAGGGAAAAACTTTTCTGAGCTGGAAAATAATCTCTTGCACCCCTATACGAAACAAATCGCTGCATGTTGTTTACGATCAACCACGACACAGCACATGTGTACCTTTGCTCAATCGAGCTGCTGTTTTCTATCAAGTTTCAGTTTGTTTAAATACTTTTACAATGGCAGATTCAAACATAACAGCAAGATAAATTCCTTGTAGCAACATCACTCGGGGTATGTGTGGTTTTATGATTCCTTCATTAAGTTTTATACCACGTTCAGATCATCTTTCAGATTCATAAATGACTGTCCACAAGATTAACATATTTGGATTTGAACAGATGAACATGTGGAAATCGTACTTGAAAAATTGATTATCTAGAATATAGTACAAAATATACGCTTAAAAAAAGAAACTCAAAAGTAGTAAATCGTGAATATCTGACATTGGGTTTTCATTTGCATGCCATCACAATCCTACAGCAACTTAACAGCGAAAACATGACGGAAGCCAAACTCAATAACCATTGGCCGACTGTGTACAAGCGAATCATCTTCAGCTGGGTCTTTCGTCGCACCCCTAGCATTTTTGCAAGGCTATGGAAGCGTTATCAGACACGTGGGACAACACGTGAAGTTCACAGATCCGGTCGACCACGTATCACTGCTAGAGCAAAGGACGGCTACGTCACACACGTGAAAGAACCACAACGGCCACCCCTACAACTAGGGCAATACCAGGACTGCGTAGGATATGGGCCCAGACAGCGAGGAACCGTGAGAAGGTATTCGCGATAGCCGACTAGTTCGAGGGGTCATTTTGACCGACCTCGTGTGCTGCAACGTCACTGCTATCAAGGTCACAAAATATGACCACAACTGCGTTAGGTTTAGTGATGAGTCTTGATGAACACTTCGCATGCGCAGTGTGGATGGGCGACGTATCTCCTACACAGTTAGACCAGGCTTTTTGCAACAAGACAACGCCCGACCTCACACGGTAAGACTGACAGGAATCCCAACATTCAGGTTCTGCCATGGCCCTGCATAATTTAAACCCAATCGAACATTTATTGGATGCACAGGATCAACGACAGCGAGCACGTCAGCAACAACCACAGAACGTCCGATAGTTGGCACAAGCACTGCAGGAAGAGTAGGTGAACATTCCCCAGGCCACAATGCGGGATCTGGTTGCTTCCATGGGACAACCATGCCAGTCAGGGTTGGACTCTAATGTTGGCCATACTAGATATTGAGCAAAGATGACCTTCACCTTGAAAATCTACTGTCCCATCTGTGCAGTAAGGAACCTGGGTCAATGACAACGCTATCTGCAAATTTAGAACAATCGATTACCATATGTTGATTATTTATATGATTTATAAAATACAGTAAACTACGGTTATTACCAACTCAAAGGAAAAACTACTTTAAGCTCGTTATAACCATTGTTCGTTGTAAGCATAATGTGATGGCCATCGCGAAGAATATATAAGTATTAATGTATCTTTATTATCAAATGTGTAAGTAATGACAGCTTGTAAAAATTAGAAATATTTCCTAAATTTTTCCCTGTTGTAGTTTTGATGGTTAATTAGTTTTGCAGGTATATACCAGTATATTTTTGCCAACATCGTTTTCACGTAATGTTTTGAATCCCGTTTTGGTAAGAAATCTATCAGAGGATCATAGTATGCTGTTAAAGAGATACATAGCACACTGTTATCTCGTAAAAATAATCACATGTCCATGCCATCATGTTAAGCATATTGTTTAGGATATGTCAGTACCTCATAAGCATCGATGTCAACAACGTACCTGTCAAAACGATCGTGTTTACTTTTTCAAGAGTTTTTGCATTGACCGTAACGTTTGAAGAATTCATCGTTCTAAGCACACAGTTACGCAAATAAACCATAAGATACAGATTAAGCATACCTTCGTTCTTCAACAAACAGATCACAATCCCTTGGCAGCTCGATATTTATCCATGTTTGTGTGAATTTGTGATCAGTGCTGAGCTTCGTGTTTCACCGACTTTGTGACAGCTAGCTTAGGTCGCAATGGAGTTACTGAATTTGGCTAAAGCTTAGCATTTTGCATTATAAAGTTTATTTAATCTAGTGAACTATGTCCAGAGGAACCCAGAATCGTATTTGACGATATGTCAAGACGTATATTTAAGTTACTGTTAATTCTGACATCAGGAACTATGTAATCTTCGCTGATGTATTCATGCGCAGTATTTAGCGTCACTATTTATGAACATATTCTCATAAATATGATATACAGTGCTTCTGTCAAAGCATACCAGTGGCAAGTTCGTGTTATTAAACGTCTTATGTATGAGATAAATTCCAATTGCCCCCTGACATTCGTAATCTTCCTCTTCGTAATCCCCAGTCGATGTTGCTTGTTGTTATTACGTCCTCTTGGAAGGCAGCAAGGACGTAGCTTCGACGTAGCAGGGCGTAATTGTTTATTTTGTGACATTGGAAGGCATTTAGTGAATCAATTAGACATTATTAATTGATTGGTATAAATACTCATTTGTATACCAAATTACCTCCTGAGATGGTTTGCCTTCCTCTTTATTCCAGTGATTTTACGTTGTGAAAGTAGATCCTTCAAAGGAATAAGGACGTAAAGAGACGTAATTTCTCGTAATTTGATTGGTCAAAAATAGACATGTGACCTTTTTCTCACACCTATAAATACGATGAGATCCATACTGGGTCCTTCTGACTTTTGCAGTCAACAGGTCAGTTTGAATCAAAGGGCAGATAATTCAGCTCAAAAGTTCCCCTTGTCCTTACGTAATCATTTCTATAAATAGACTGCATTTTTGAAAACAGACACAAATTGCTATCTTAGTAACTGTAAAGTTATTCAGATAAAGAAGCCATCTTTATGTATATATAGCAGTAAACTACCATTATAGTTACAGGCAATAATTATTTTGCCCAGACACTGGACCTAACAAATAAACCTTAAAACTCAGAGGGATCTACATATTTGGAAGAATTGTGTTGTCCATATAAGGCATTATACCCACATGAAAAAAACTAATTATTCATTGAAAAGAAGTGTTTTGACTCTCAGTTACATCCTGACGTCAAGGTTTATCAGAAGTTCGGGTTCGGGCCGCTACAATATATACAGCTAAAATGACTTTTGCGTATCTTTTTTTTGCAGAATATATATACTGACACTTAGTTTATTTTCCAGAACAAGAAAAACCAACAGGTAAGAATACGATTTCTTTTGGTTCAGTGCTATCTTACGTGGCTCTGTCCCTTTATACAGATTTATACAGATTTTGTATTCAGATACAATCGAGTGTAATAACTTTGCGTTCTACTTATACTCAAATAAGAATATAACACGATGTATATGCAAATCGCATCGTCACGTCAAGCAGAACGCAAAAAGGTCGTATTCAGTGACTGTAATAAGGGTTAACATTTCGGAAAGACGATATGTAATATAAGTAATAATCCACATAAAACTCGTAATTGTGGCACCGTATATGTAAATAAACCTTAACTTACTGATGATTTACTGGTATATAAATCTTCATGAAGTCATCCATCTTAGAATCAGGGTTGTCTGAAATCTGTTTTATATCATTGTCATTGTATAGCATGTTTGTACCCTGTAGAGAGGGAGAATATATGTATTGTTTCCATTACGTGGTTTCAGTGTCATTCTACTGTATGAAACAAAGGGGAGGCTACTCTCTGATGGCTTCCTTTGACCAGAAAGGCATCTCTTTCTCAAATATCGGAGCCGTGAATGCTGGCGGGGAGATCAGTCCCACGTGTAACTACAATAAATCGTACATGATGAGACATGGGGAAGCGCCTTTAAATGTTCAGATCCAAAACGTATCGGGAGTTTTGGAATCCGATTGTCCTGCCCAAACAGTAAGAATTTAACATACATCACAGAACTCTGACTTTTGTTGGCAAGTATGTGTGTGTGTGTGTGTGTGTGTTCGTGTGTGTGTGTGTGTGTGTGCGTGCGTGCGTGCGTGCGTGCGTGCGTGTGTGTTTGCATGCGTGCGTGTGTGCGTGCGTGTGTGTGTGTTCCAACATTAAACTGACACACCATGATAATATTAACTTTATCAATGTATAGACTAGACTACAGTCATCAATACTGACAAAACTGATCTACGGAATATGAAAGAATTATTTATCTTCTGTGTAAAAGTAGAGGAATTGGATCTATAACATATATCTCTCTTGATATTTGGGTTGTTGTATTACGCCACAGTCAGCAATAATCCAGCTTTATATTGGAAAATAATGAAACACTTATGTATCCACGTGCATGTGTTTCGGTTAATCGATGAGAAAACGCAAGTTAACAACAAAAAGCATGGTAACATCTAACGCCGTCTTTCCATAAAGGGGCGGTCGGGTAGCCTAGTGGTTAAAGCGTTCGCTCGTCACGCTGAAGACCCGGGTTCGATTCTCGACATGGGCACAATGTGTGAAGCCCTTTTCTGGTGTCCCCCGCCGTGATATTGCTGGAATATTACTAAAAGCGGCGTAAAACCCTACTCACTCACTGAATCACTGACTCACTCTTTCCAAGTGTGGTTATTTTGGTTCACAATTCAACATTAGGTTGGTAATGGGATCCTGAAATGGACGTTCAGGCTTCAGAAGGAAGATGGCGTATTGTCGTTTGAAGACGAGGACCTTCACCTCCAATGTGATCTGTCTGAAGCCGATGCTGTATATGACGACACTGAGAGAATCGAGATGGGGAAGTAAGCATCATTGTGACCCGATCAGTGCTAACAGAAAATGTAATTGAAAGTGTAGAGTTATGTTCCTATTCCTATATAGACCGCCTCCGTGGTCTTGTGGTAGAGCGTCCTCCCGGGGAGCGGAAGGTCCGGGGTTCGATCTTCGGCCGCATCATACCAAAAGACGTTAAAAGATGGTACTTGTTGTTACCCTGTCCGGCGCTCGGCATAAAGGGGCTAAAACAAGGACTGGTCAGCTCGGAGTCAGTGTAGTGAGCTAGCAATATAAATCGGCATCAGTCCAGACAAGTACAAGCAGTCACACACACACACACACACACACACACACACACACACACACACACACACACACACACACACACACACACACACACACACACACACACACACACACACACACACACAAACGTGCATACACGTCGCTATAGTGCAATAATCTTGGACGCGACGTTAAACCCAATTTCACCTCACCTCACCTCCTATTCCTGTACTCGTTGGTTTCGATGAATAACCTTTCAATGACAACAGCAACATTTGTTTCTTTGGAAGATATGTTAAAGGTAATGCGTCATTGCTAAAGACCAATGTGACAGATCGTGGCTACTCCGCGATTGGATGAATAACACACATTAAAATAAATAAGTTTCGTTTGGGAAATAATGTTATGTGTATGAAGCGTTTCACTTGTTTACTTGTTACAGAATTAAAGAGAGGTCCCTAACAGCTGCAACACAGACTAGGGTCAGTGTTCGGACATACCTAGCTAATCCTGAAACCATGGAACCAGTAACAAATCTCAGCCTTGGTGATCCAGTCAGTCTGGTGGCCACGCTTCAAGAAGGTTTGACTAAATCAAGCATGTTGTTATTCTCAGGACCAAACACATGTGACCGCCTCCGTGGTCTAGTGGTAGAGCGTCCGCCCAGAGAGCGGAAGGTCCGGGGTTCGATCCCCGGCCGCGTCATACCAAAAGTCGTTAAAAGATGGTACTTGTTGTTACCCTGTCTGGCGCTCGCAATAAGGGACTAAAACAAGGACTGGTCGGCTCGGAGTCAGGATACTGTGTCTGAGTGGGGTATTCATGTTAAAACTGTGGCATGGTATCTCAGTGAGCTAGCACTATAAATCGACATAGTCCGGACTAGTACAAGCAGCCACACAAACACATACACGTATATGCACGTCGCTATATAAGTGCAATAATCTTGGACGCGACGTTAAACCCAATTCACCTCACCTCACCTCACCAAACACGTGTCGATATCTAGATTATAAGAAAGTTCATCTTCGTCTGACTGTTTCAGGGTAATTCTGTCCAGGAACATTTAGTTCTGTGCATAACGTTCATCTATACAATAACATAATAAGCTGACCATTTCGGGAGATGGAACGAGCTGGCAGCAGACATGCGCTCAGTCACAGTTCCCCAAATGCAGGTCAGGTTCTGGAAAGTTTGGAAAACACACATATGGATGCGAGGACATGCCCCTGTAACGTCCTTCCTCTTGTGATATTCTACAGATAATCTTGGCCATCTTCTTGTTACAGGGGATGATTTAGTCATTCCGTTCTTTTACCCTTGGAGCTGTCAAGCTGCATCTCCAGATGGAAAGGTTACTGTACAACTGACCGACGACTCCGGGTCAGTATGACGTCACTCACCCCCACATGCTCACCTTGACATGACGGAAACTTGTGCATGGCCATTTGTTGTAAATAACACGTAAAATGGAACCCATTATTCTTCTATGTCAACGAGGGGCATAAACATGGCTATCCCACCAACATAGCCAAATTCAAATTCACCCTAGTAACATGACCTGATGAATATGCGTTAGTTTCCTTCTGATATAAAAAAAAATATTTTTATCTCCTTGACAAAAAAGTCCTCGGATCTTTAATTTTGGTCTTGATACAACATTCACGTTTGAGCATCCCTTCTGGGCGTTGCAAACATTATCTTCACGGCGGGATGAAGCTGAAATATGGCAAGCCTGATCTTCTCGAGCTCATGTCTATGTAGATGCACGTGGACACGTTAAAGATGGGCGACAGTGTTTAAGGTAGATGGTGTTGCTTGAGTTCCAAAAGTAATGTACTGTTTTTCTCTCACAGTTGCTCTCTGAGGAAAGGAATTGGCTTTGGAATAATGGACAAGGCATCTGGTGTGATCCAGTCGAAGATATTTCCGATGTTTCAGCTGCCGGGCTACACAGAACTGGTGTTCAGTTGTGTTCTTGTACCCTCGCCCTTTCCTAAATATAAAACGCAGGTTAGTACACGTATAACAAAGTGATAGGGAATAATGTTACACACAACAGACAGCAATAACCCCGTTATATCGCGGCGGCCTGTAAGAAATGATCTGGCCTTGGCAAACTCGTGGTTGTTGAACATGGGAAGCCAGCCACGCCCACAATGGCATGTAATCAGCCGGATGGTCTTCTCTCTCTATGAATCCGTCCGACAACAAAGTCCACCAAACCATATTTAGCCCGGGGTGCAAGTCATCTAAACTCAAGACGGTGTTGACCAGCACCCAAAAAGCATGGGTTGTGTATCACCTGGGACTTTATGACAGCTTGATTGACAGGTTAATTCACGTCCTTGTAATACAGAAGGAAGATACTCTATGCAAGGCGATCTTCATGCTATAAACAGCGAAGAACTCAATTCGTTCTGTTGGGCGAAACCTTGGATTAACAGTCAAACCTTTTTGTGACAGGATCAGATAGTTGTATATATTTTGAGAGTTTCATTAGTTTAGATTTTTACTGAATTAAATATTCAGTCAAGTATGTTTTAAGCATTATATACTTCACACTTCAGCTCTCCTAATTCTCTGTCTCACCTTACTGCATGAGTACTTTGCCACAGCCTCAATCACCTAGTGCACTATCACACAATAGCCTGCCCAAGCGCGCCCCTCAAAGCCCCTTTGTGTTTCACTTTCTAGCTTACTGTCTCCAGTTTAAAGGGTTTAGTTTTTACTACAGTATAGATCACATTTGTATAGAACAAATATATAGAACATTTGTATCCAGAGTGAGTGAGTGAGTATGGTTTTACGCAATATTCCAACTATATCACGGCGGGGTATCCCGTGTGAAAGACATGAGGCAGTTACACTCGTCTCTTTTATTTTCAGTTCAGGGGGGTAAACAAGTGGCAGGGGATTGGCTATCAGGCCATTATTGAATCATATCATATCATCGATATACCTGACCTAAACTTATAGACCAAATTCCTTTGTGTGGATTTTCAATCAGAAAAGAAACTCTGACTCTACTCCATATTTTGTATATCAGTTCTGTGCTCAAACAATTAATGTAGTGATGCTTATAATGGCGATGTTATTTGAGGCCCTGTCGGAGAGAACAACTAGAATTGTTTCATTTTGGACAGCTATACGTTCATCTGGCTTGTACCAAATCGGTTTCTGGTTCCCCTTTTTACAGTTTGTGCATTCTACCAATGTCAACATCACGCACTGACTTCACCCACTCTGAAAGACATTTAACGGCGTTATCTGCCATACGTTGGCATACACTTTGACACTATCCAAAGTTATTGTGAAGCAGTGGATAGCAAGCTGTTCACGATATTTAAGTCCACATTTGGAAAACTGACGAAGGTTGTCAACAATAGAGAGGTCACCGCCTGTGTTTATATGATCTAGGAATAAAAACGTTAAATACTAAAAGAAGTTGATATAGCACCATGTGCTATGTAGCAGAGAACGTGTTTGGCTCGGGGTCCATGCGTTCAGGGCAATGACAAATACAACAAACCACTACCTTTTCTATGCCATGAGACAGTTAACACTACCATGTTTTGAAAATAGCGTGTGATGTAGACATGACTTCTTTCTTCCACAGTATTGTCCCAGGCGAGAATGAGGCAACTTCGAATAGAAATAGCACATGATGGGTCATAGACAAGGTCGGTGTATGGCAAGAACTTAAATGTCATTCATTATTAAGTTGTATCAAATATGTATACTTATCGTTAATATTAGTCCTGCACCATGACCGTGGAATATATTTATTTTATGAAAAAAACATAATCTAGAAATGCATACAAAAGCAAGTCTAGCCAGCTCAAGCTAGCTCTATTCCACAATAGGGAATTTTATTTTTATTTTTAGAGTCAAGAAGGATATTGTGTAATATAAGATTTCAGAGACTAAATGTTAGTCTACGTTAATATAAACATGCGGTAGTAATTAGATAGGCATTGTAATTGTAAACTAGAGGTTGTAAACAGTTGAACAAGTTTTCATGATGTTCATTGGTTCGTTTCTGTGATTTTGTGAATTTATTTCAGATAAGGACAGAGAGCTATTCACAGCAGTCAATCCCAACCCTGAATTCTAGTGTCAACTCACAGGGTTCATGACAAACCTGTTCACTTGAAATAAAGTCTCACCTACTATCAACTTGGAATGAATCTTGTTGTCTCTATTTTACACCAATAACTGTACACGCACTCATCCGAATTGCAGAACGGTTGACTTGCTGATGACACCGCAATGTCGGCCAGATGTAGGACTCGCATCAGAACAACACTACAATTGAGTGAGTGAGTGAGTGAATTGGGTTTAACGCCGCTTTTAACTGTATTCCAGTTATATCATGGCGTGATGCAGGTCTCGGACGTTTACCACTTCGGTGAAACCCTAGAAGCATTATCGGGGCGAACCGGGATTCGAACCCACAATCATAGATTTCTGCGTGCCCAAGAGATGCAACTCTGCACAGCGAATCGTTGCGCTTTAGACGACTGGGCCATCCGTGCCCCCCACAACACTACAAGAAAGACATTGATCATTTTACAACATAGTGTAGGGACATAGTGTAGTTGTTTGTTGTTGAACGTGAAGAAAATAAAGAGATAAGAATTGATTTTAGAAGCCATCCAACAGATATATAACACCCTTGTAAACAACGTCTTCGTCGCATGCGACAACGTAATTTAAGTGAAGATGTGGTGTCACTATGTATATTTCTTTCATCCAAATCGTTCTTTCCTTTTCTTCTTATTTTTGGTACCAGTCCGTTTCAGTTCAACACACACTAACCTTTAAACGAAACACTGCAAATAGCTTGAGTCAAATTTGAATGTCAGTCATCTTTATACGAGCGGCAAATCGTAAATCATCCAGCCAAAATATTTACTGGCACAACTCATTTCTCTCTGCTTTTAGTAGAGACTTTTAATAAATACGGAAGGATTTTGTCGCTTTTGTTCACATCCGGAAAACAAACTTTGGCCTTCAGGCCGCCGTTTCCAAATTCCTGTTGTGAATGCTAGAAGAAAGTGTACATTTTTTCCTTTTAAACAAACCTTATGTTATGATATACTGGTATATATTTATGTTGCCAGGTGCTTCGTAAAATCATTTCTAATCTTATAAACATTTATCTTTTTAAATTTACTACTATCCTTAATTGTGTTTTCTATTTGAATGTCCCTAACTTACATCTTATTTTATCAGGTGTGTAGTTGTGAGTGAGTAGGGTATTGTGCTGAGAAACCGAGAAGCATGATCGGGGCGAACAGGGATTCTAACCCACGATGACCCTTTACCCCAATTATGTAGTACGTACCACGTATGTACTGACTGATATAGAAGATTTAACGTGCGCTTTCCGACTGTAGCGTATTTCGCACACGGGCCTGGCCAGACCATTCAGTGTATTCCGAAAAGGGTGAAAGTGGTGTGTGCAACCCAAGAGGGGGCTTTTAGGGGTTGCTTAATTATATTGAATTTTTGGAATTTTTAAATTTGGAATAATGGCCGAGGTGGGTGGAGGAGGGAACTAAGGGAGCCGGGTGAGGTGGGTGTTTGTATGTTTATTGGATTTTGGATTGGTAGATTAATTAGGTTTTAAATGCGCTTAATTAGGTCTGTTTTGATTAGGAATACGCCTAGGTCCTTGAAGTTTTCTAGTTTATTTTGAGGGTTTAGTATTTCATCTAGAGTAGGAACCTTATTTAGATTGAGGGTGGTTTGTAGTGTGGTTCTGTGTGTTTGGTAGTGGGTGCAGTGGATGAGTGCGTGTTCTGTGGTTTCGGGTTGTTTGCAGTGGGGGCAGTTGCCTGTGGTGTGCCTTTTAAGATTTTTTAGGTGGTTATTTAGGTTAGTGTGTCCTGTGTAGAGTTTTGTAATTAATCTGTCAATTTTTTTTGAGGGGTGTAAGATTTTAGGTTTGGCAAGTGGTTTTCTGAGCACTTTTTTGATTTGGCTATTTGAGTTTTGATATTGATTATGCCATTTTTTGGTTATTTTTTGTTTGTTTACACTTTTAATTTCTGATTTTGAGATGTGTAGGTTTAGGCTTATTTCTGGTATTTTGAAAGATAATTTAGCTGCTTTATCGGCGCTTTCGTTGCCGTAAATTCCTACGTGGGTTATAAGAAGGTTATTTGTTTGCCTGTTTTTGTTAGGTCGTTGGAGCTTTTAAGTACTTGGTTTATTAATTTAGGTCGTTTTGGGGTATTTTTGTTTTGGAGGGCTTGTAGTCCACTAAGGGAGTCGGTGAGAATTAGGATTTTATTGTTGTTTTTAGATTGTTGGTTATGCAGGGCTGAGGCCATGCCCATAAGTTCGGCCGTGAATATAGATTGGTTGTTAGGGAGTCGGTAAGATTGTGTGGATATAACTGGTTGTGTGGTATGGACTCCGAAGCCTGTGTGGTTGTCGATCGGGTCTGAAGATCCGTCAGTGTATATGTGACACCAATTTGGCCAATTTTCGTGTATGTATGCGAGTGTGGTGGTTTTAGCTATGTTTGGGTCGGTTTGTTTATTTATTTGGTTTGCTAGCGTTGTGTCTATTTTGGGTATTTTGAGTTTAGGGGTGAAGATATTTGATTTTTTGCAGTTTTGTTTAAGATTTTGAGTTTGGTGTTCATTGAGGTAGTTAGTTATTCTTTGGGATATTGGGGTGAGTAAGGGGTGTTTGCGAGCTAGAGCTTGGTTTCTTGGGCTAATGTTTTGGTTAATTAAGTTTTGGATGAGAGGGTTTGTTTGGGACGCGGCCCAGAAATTAAGGCTTAGATGTTCCCTGCGTATATTTAGTGGCATTTCCCCTGTAAGTGCCTGAAGTGAGGTGTAGGAGGTGCCATGTTGGGTGCGTGTAATTAGTTTAAGGGCTTGGTATTGTATTGAGTCAAGTTTTTTAGATAGAGAGTTGTTTAGGGTATTGTATATGGCGCAGCCGTAGTCTAGTTTTGATCAAATTAGTGTTGTATAGAGTGAGAGGAGGGTATCTTTGGAGGCTCCCCAGTTAGAGCCGGTGAGACATCTTAGTGTGTTAAGGTCTTTGCTGCATCTAGTTTTTAGGTTTTGGACGTGAGCCTCCCAGGTGAGGTGTTGATCGAAATGAGTCCTAAGAATTTGGTTTGTTTTTGGAATTTGATTGTTTGGTTGTTTAGCTGAAGGATTGGGAAGGCAGGTTTCATGTTTTTATGTTTGAATACTACTCCTGTTGTTTTATCTGAGTTAAGGGAGAAGCCCCATTTGTCTGCCCATTGTTGTATTTTATTTAGAGATTTTTTTATTAAGTTTTCTGCCATTTTAATGCTTTTAGTGCGGATCCATAGGGCTCCGTCATCCGCGAATTTTGAAGTGTTTAGTTTAGGGGATAAGCCTAAAAAGCGGCGTTAAACCCACCTCACTCACTCACTCATTAAACTAATTGCGCCGTATTTAAAAAAGACAACCATGATTCAATGCCTAACTGGACGACGTTCTGTCAAGTAAACTTGAGAGTGTTTCTCCCTTGTCGGGCACATACACTCTTCAAAACAAGAAACGCACAGGTAGTATGTCGTTCAATGAAACTGACTACACAAAAACAGTCCGGTATATAAATTGGATATATGTTATTGGAAAATGTTGGTGACCTGATATTCGAAAAACGGTGCGTCAAAACGCAGCCATTGTAGATTTGCAATGTCTTAAACGGCATTGTTTTCCCACTTGTTCAGGAAATGTCAAGGAGGCAAGCAGTAAAGCAAAATCCATGTGCAAGTTATGGCATTCGTTACTCGTGGTAGGGGCCATAAAAAGGCACGCATAAGGCAATAATTGAATTCGATTGTCAACATTTTTCAAATTAGAAAATGCCGAGACTCTGCCTATCGGAACATCGCCATAGGACATATCCAAAGAGGGGAATCGCAGTCTTCTGTTGCACGCCATTTCAACGTCCACCACAGCACCATTTGCCGCCTTTGGGACCGATACACACAGTTTAATTGCACAGCCGACCAAGAGTTACCACCCCTGCACAGGATTGCTACATTCGACTGTTCCACCTACGTCACCGCAATGCCACACTTACGGAGACTGCAAGAAGCATCCCTGGTTTGAGGAGGATATCGGACCAGACTGTCAGGAACCATCTTCGCGAGGCTGGAATCAGACCCAGAAGACAAGTTATCGTCCCTGTTTTGCAACAGATCCATCGACAGCGACGCTTGCGTTACTGCCATACCTTTCAGCCTTGGAATTTGTGAAACTGGAGACGAGTGTGGTTTAGCGATGAATCGCGATTTCTTCTTCACCGGCGAGATGGAAGACAACGTGTTTATCGTCGTCGAAATGAGCGTTTTGCCCCACACTCTGTACGTGAATTCGACAAATTCGGTGGCGGTAGTGTCATGGTGTGGGGGGCCATATCCTACACCACGAGATCTGAATTGGTTGTGGTTCAGGGAAATTTGACAGAAATCGCTATATTAATCAAATTCTTCAACCTCACCTTCTTCCAATTATTCACCGCCAGAGGGAGCTGTTTCAACAGGACAACGCTCATCCGCACACAGCTCGTATCACGGTAGATTACCTTCATAATGCCAACATCAACGACTTGCCCTGGCCGTCTAGATCTCCAGATGTCAACCCAATCGAACACCTCTGGGATGAACTCGATCGACGTGAACGTCAACGTCAGAACACGCCGCAGACACTCTCCCAACTTGCCAACGCGTTCTGCAGGACAGAATTCGTACACTTATCCAGTCAGTGCCGAGGTGATGCAGAGGCGTGATTGCTGCCCGGGGCTGTCACACGAGACACTGAGTTCAGCGCAACCGTGTGGCCTTATGTGACATGACAATGAACAGTTTTCAGTGCTTTTGTACAACGACAACATATGACTATCGAGCTCCAAAACTTCCTATTTGTATCTATGATATTAAATTATATATATCGACTTTATTTAGGTACTATATATAGATTTACTAAAAATCTACCTGCGCGTTTCTTTTTTTGAAAAGTGTATCTGCAGCCATACAGGGAGAATACATGTACCCTCATCAACATTTCGATTTGGATCCGTTTCTTCTCTCCAAGCAATGTGTATGTGTAACGCATTGGCGGACCTTGGAACGTCAGATATTCAGGAAATTAACCTCATGCAGTGTGTAATTATGATAACACTAATTATGTTTATTGTACCCAACTCCGATATAATAACAATTATATTAACCACGAATTACTGCTAGTGTGAGTTTAAATGTGGGCGTCCATGACAGCTATTATACGCCCGGTTAATGATGATTAGTCTCTCACCAGCAGCATATAGTGATACGCGGTATTTCAGCACTGTGCTCGTTAATTTCCACAGACATGGAGGTTGTTGCTTTCTTCACTTTACTTGCCTTCCTACCAAACGCCGCTGACGCTGGAAGGTACCAAGGTATGAATTAAGTAATATTTACCAGCGAACTTTAACTCAACTTAGTCTTTCATAATCATTCATCTGGAGAAGTCTTGCGTCAACATCAAATTGGAATGATTTCAGAAATTTACCGACCCAGGCGATGACTGAACAACTATATATTTATTTTTTCAATCGTTCAAAAAATATTTTCAATCGCCAACTATTCTCCGACGTAAAATCCTTTCAGATATGAGATTAACTCGTTAACCCACATGATACTGATAACCAGTGTCTTCTTGAATCGTTTGACAAATTATCTTCATTATATTTGTATAAAACAATTAAGATAACAAATGAATATGAAAATTATTTAAGTGTTGTGAATATTGCTGCATTTAGGATTACTCTCTCACAGTTTCGCACGTTGAGCAGTGATCTTGTGGTATCACAGGGTAGAAAGTTAGGTATTCCAAAATGTGAAAGACCTTGTCCATTTTGTATCATTCCAAATGTAGAAACAGAATACCGTAATTGTTTAGTTTGTCCGTTTTATGACGATCTTAGAAGAAATTTTCTGCCAAGTTATTATTATACATCTCCATCAGAGCATAAATGTAAAGTTTTATCTACCACCAGTAATGCTTTCAGAATCAATAATCTTGCCAAGTTTACATTCTTTGCTCTTAAAATGAGGAGCAAGCAGTTGTCCATTATATAAACTATTAATTCTACCACCATATGTATATAGTCTCAGATACCCTTGTACTGATTAGTATTGATATTACTACATGCACTTGTGGCGCAACATGTTTGAATGCTTGAATATATATTGTAAAATGGACCTGTGGCCTGATTTACTGAAATAAACCACTACTACATACCGTGAGTCCTCGTTAACCCGCATGACAAACAACAACGGTTGAATCTGCGGATGCCAACACATGATTTTGCATTGTTATCTGTCCTGCATCCTTATACTATCGGACAGAAGCCCATGCTGCTTCGTCAGATAATAATCTTGTATCCAAATTACGTCAGTGGCGGTTGCTACAGGTAGGGCAGGACATGGTGACGCTTTTCGCTAAGACCTGGGCCTACTTGCACGAAGCGATCTTAGCGCTAAGATGATCGTAACTCCCATAATTTAACATAGGGTTACAAAAGCCTTAGCGCTAAGATCGTTTTGTGCAAGTGGGCCCTGGTGTAACTGACTTTCAGTGATCCATTCACATGATTGTCACCAGTAATTTACTTTTCAATGGAATCTGTTTCGGTGGATAATTAAGACCGCTTATCTAAAGGGCTTGACGTTCAATATTTTATCAGAATGCCCCGGAGACTGGACACAGGTGAATGTAAAATGCTACAAATTTGGGGAGGGCAGTCTCAACCGAGACGCTGCATCTGATCGATGTAGATACCGCTATGGGGCTACGCTGGCAGTGATTGAGAACAAGAAAGAGAATAAAGTCGTCCAAGGTATGTTGAAGCCTGTATTGAATCAGACACGATACGTGAAGGTGTTGTCACCCTAATCGCCAAACACACACTGATACTACTTGTGCTTAGATGTTAACGATACAACAAAAAGGTGACAATTATGAGATAAACATATCTACATGTAACATCGCTCTACAATGCATAATGCGTAGTTCCGTTCCATCAGGCGCACAAATTGTGGTTCATAGCCAAGTTGCACGAACATGTGCCTCATGAAAGTACAACAGACAGACAGACAGACAGACAGATTTATTTGTATAAGGCCATTTGACCCATTGTACAAAATACATTTACATTTTATTTATCTAAGAGTTACCTAATTGATACTTTTTGTGTGTGTGTGTGTGTGTGTGTGTGTGTTGAGAACACGTACATTAGAAATTTTGCAAAATTTATCATTGCATCGTTGTTGGATATTTGACAGAGTCTTTCTAAACAAAAATAGTTGTGATTAACTGTCTTTGGGATATACATTTCCCGCCGACTTGCATAAAGAGGACAGTTGTATATAACATGAAGTTCATCCTCAATTACATGACAGTGCTTACATAAGACGGCATCCTCCTCAATATTAGCAACACCCCTACGTATAAGTTGAATACCAAAAGTATTCTGTCCACATCTAAATTTGGTTATTAGCCTTCTATATTCACAATGCTTAATATTTGATAAATATTTTTCACAAACGATATTAGATTTATGCAGTTTATAGAATGAGAGGGTCTTGCTGCCTAGAGATGCATGCCAATCTTGAAAAGAACAATCTTTAACTCTTTCGCTGAACATATGTACAAATAATTCTGCATTGCCAACGCCTTGTGCAGCCCATACATCCCCAAAACCAAAATGACTTAGCAGAAGTCTGATATGCGATGCCCAGTTAGGACGTTTTCTATCAGCAATGGATAATAACATTTTATAACACTGGTATGGGTATCTGTTAGGACTCATTTGCAAAATCTTAAACCAATATTTAATGCATTTTACATAATAAATAGTATGAAGTGGATACCTACCACATTCACCATAGGCTACTGCATTTGCAGTCCTGTAGCCCGTGTGAAGTAAAAATTTACAAAATTTGCGGTGAACAATTTCAATCGTATTCCATTTTTGGTATCCCCAAATCTCAGCACCATACATTAATATCGGGACAATTTTTTTATCAAATATAAAGAATGCTTCCGTAACCGAAATGTCATAACGTCTTATTAACGATTTAACTGACCAAAGTGCTTTGCTTGCTTGCTCACATAGAGTTTTACAGGCCTTAGTCCAAATTAATTTGGGAGTGAAAACAAGTCCCAAATATTTATAGGCGTTAACCGTATTCATACGTTCACCGTTATAATACCATTTCTCATTTTTTGACAAGGGTCCTCCCATTTTAAACACAATAATTTTACTCTTTTCAGTATTAATATCCATACCCCATTTATCAGAGTATAAATATAATTCATCAAGACGCTTTTGTAATTTTAATACACTGTCTGCAACAAGTATTAAATCGTCGGCAAACAACAGGGCAATTATATTTAACATTTCCTCTGAGATAAAAACACCATCCTGGAATTTACTTTCCAAACATATAACTAATTCGTTGATAAACAAAGAAAACAGTACTGGACTAAGAGTACAACCTTGTCTTACCCCACATGAACTATCAAAATACTCAGTAATTTTCTTGCCATAATCGTATGTTACAGTTGCTTTAACATGATTATACATACTCTGGATAATACATAAAAACTTGCCATGAATACCATTTTGCAACAAAATATACATTAACTTACTCCTATTAACCATATCAAATGCTTTTCGAAAATCGATAAAAGCGCAATATACTTTTCCTTTTTTGCGAGTGGTATACTTTTGTATAATAGCTTGCAAAATGAAAATGTTATCAATAGTTGAATGATCTTTCTTAAACCCCCCTTGATATTCACCAATTATGCCTTGGTAGTCTAAGAAACATTGTAGTCTTTTATTCAGAACATAAGAAAACATTTTACCCATTATATTGAGAAGTGATATACCACGAAAGTTATTAGGATTACTTTTACTACCTTTTTTATGCAGTGGCATTATTATTCCCGTTGACCATAATTTTGGGTAATGTCCACTGGTCAACACTGCATTAAACAAAATGACAAGATATGGAGTTAATACATTTTCAACTGATTTGTAAAATTCTGATGGGAGTCCATCATCACCAGGTGATTTTCCACACTTTAAATGGTGAAGAGCGTTTACGACATCTTGTTCGATAAAATCACACGATAAAATATCATCTTGATTTTGACAGTCTGGGCATAAGCTATCATTATGATGTTGAAGAAACTCACTGACTTTAGTTGAGAAATTCTCATCCCCTATTGACACTGGATTAAGTAATTCCTTAAAATAATCTACCCAAGTTGCGGGTGCGATGCTAGAGTCCTGCGAGCGTGCGGTTATATAACGTTTAACAAGTCTCCAAAATGTTGTACAGTTGCTATCATTCGCAGCATTGACTAATGCCTTTGTAATGCTCTGCTTAAAATGAGTCTGTTTTTGTTTACATAAAGATTTAAATTTGTTTCTAATGTTCTTGTATAAGTTATAGTTTTCCGAAGAAGACACCTTTCTGAATGTATTCAGGAGTTTATACTTTTCCCTCTTCAAGTGTTCACACTCTTCATCAAACCATTCTGGTTGTTTCTTAAAGCCTATATATTTGGACCTCTTTACTTTCATATTCCTTCCACAATATTGTATTATGTGCTGTAACTTCTCTGCGGCTTTATCAACATCAATTTCCACACAGGTTATAAATTCATTTAACATTTCTTGCACTAATGCACTTTCAAAATTATTCATATAGTCTTCACTCTTATTCACGTTCCATATATATCTACACCTGTCCTCACCTAGGCTGTAATCCTGATCTAGAGTGTCTACTACATTAAACAATGATGAAAAAGAAGCAAATATGAAAATGAAAGTACAACTGACTTGTACAAACATGTCTCTCATGAACATACTCTCAAGTTATACAATAAAGTGTCACTTAAAAGAACTCATCAACATAGTTTCAGATACATGTCTCTCATGAACATACTCTCAAGTCGTTCAAATATGCCTCTCCTGAGCGAAATCTCAAGTTCAACATGCACGTCCCTCGTGAAACACTATTCATTTCTAGGTCTTATCGATGGCAACAGGAATGCGTGGATCGGTGTGCGTCTCAGACATGGACAATACAAATGGAACGACGGAAATAAGGTAAGACAGCAAGATCATCACACAAGTAATGTCATCAAAGTGATAGTTTGATTTTAATATCGTTTGGATAACGTAAGAAAGGTAAGAAATAAACCACAATTGCCTTTTATTCTATTTTTGAGATAATTGCTTAGATTGCACCTTTGCCGATATGGGGATGCGCTATATGCACAAAATTACATCATTATGAGCTTAATTACTGAAATCCCCGTCTTTTCTCTAATGTTTGTTTGTTTGTTTGTTGTTTAACGCCGCACTCAGCAATATTCCAGCTATATAACGGCGGTCTGTAAATAATGGAGTCTTGACCAGACAATCCAGTGATTGACATGATAAGCATCGATCCACGCAATCAGGATGACATGCATCAAAAAAGTCAGCGAGCCTGACTACCCGATCCCGTCATTCGACGCTTGTGGCAAGCAAAGTCGCCTTTTACGACAAGCATTGTCGCCTTTTACGACAAGCATAGTCGCCTTTTACGACAAGCATAGACAAGCATAGTCGCCTTTTACGACAAGCATAGTCGCCTTTTACGACAAGCATAGTCGCCTTTTACATTGTAGGACAAGCATAGTCACCTTTTACGACAAGCATGGATTGCTGAACACCTATTCTACCCCGGATCTTCACGCGTCTTTTCCTCTAATGAGCACTGAAAGTTATATGTCACGAACAAACAAATATGGCTGCAAATCAACCCGCGTGTGATGTAAGGGTAGGCTAACTCAATACATAATGATAATCATACGCAGCTCTTAGGATATTATGGATTAGTTTAGGAGTGAGATCAGATGTATACATATTCTGAGGATCGCATAATGTGTTATGCCTAGTACATGTTTTTTAGGATACACATTCGTTTAATAATCTGTATGCAGAAAAAGCTGTTGGTCATACTCTGTATTTAATGGTCGTCAATTCGCTCTTTGGCATTGGTATTTTGTATGTGTATTTTCCACAAAAACACGTGATCTCTCTACTCCTGCTTAAACAGCAAGTGAAGTCAACTTAGCAACTTTGCAGATTTTAAAACTTGAGTGCATACTTAATCACAAATTAAATTAAATTTGAAAGGGGGGAAAGGCGCAAAACTGATGATCAAGAACCACAGGCGAAATCATTCCCACACACGAAATATTCCGCCACAGAGCGGATTTCCCTTACTGAGGTTAAAATGTGTTCTCGGTATTTGACTTGCTGCCATAGTTCAACAGTCTGTCCGGCTTCCAGTCTTCCGGGTGGTTTATTGAGGGTCTAAGGTACAATTGCACGCGAGCGTTATGATTAATACAGAGCTCATTATTTTATCAATAACTACGTTATATAAACGAATGCTGAATGTATAGATGTGTGTCGCTTAAACAAACATGATGGGGGTTATCACTTGACCAGCTGCTGGACAATTAGTAAATCACCGTTCATGGTATACCAAACAGGATGTTAGCCATAAAAAACTCGTTACAGACATTACTTGTTATTTTTATTGTTCACAATGTCAAGATCAGGGGTAGTTTCACACTCAGCAATGTGTGCAATGTGATTTTTATGGGATTGACAGAAATAGCAACATTTGTAGATTGACTGCTTCCAGACGTATCCGTGTGGGTTGGATTGACAGAAATAGCAACATTTGTAGATTGACTGCTTTCAGACGTATCCGTGTGGGTTGGTTTGACAGAAATAGCAACAATTGTAGATTGACTGCTTCCAGACGTATCCGTGTGGGTTGGTTTGACAGAAATAGCAACAATTGTAGATTGACTGCTTCCAGTCGTATCCGTGTGGGTTGGATTTCACTTTCACTTGGATATTTAAGTACTTTCTACGAATGTTAGAATATTTATTCTAAGGAATTGACTCAATATAAATAGGACAATTGATATTTGCAAAAAAAATGCAATCATTATTTTCACTTTACTTGACCTATAAATTCAGTATTTGTGATAATATGAATGCGTCGTCTACGAGTGATGGACGCCTAAGGTCTATTGGCATGCTTCAGTCTGGTGGAACTGAGCAGGAGGTAGCCAATATGTTTAATGTGTTTCTAGTCTGTGATTCTCAGACGTTAGAACTTGTTTCTGCAGACACAAGATGTTAATGATCGGCCCACACAGTACGCGCGAGGTCCCCAACACAAGTCCAGGATCGATTTATCAGAAACAAGGCATTACGAATTCGAGCTCAAACGGCCAATCAAATTGCTGTTCACTTGCGACAGACCACCGGAATTTAAGTACTTGTGCCCACCGTGCACATTTCGTACTGACAAACTCCAGCCGCAAAACATCACCAGAATGCAATGGTCATCCGTGACTCCAATCCTGTCCCGCATTGACCACGCCTGAGACAAAGTCCGCAGACGTGTACGTCGACGTCAGTTGCTACCGCGACATTAGCTGAGCTGGGCACTGCAAGAGGAGTTGACAGGACTCAATCAAATTGTCATTGGGGAATTTCATCGTCTATAAATAAATATTTGGCTCACCATTGGGACGTTACTCAACATTAGTCAAGTCATCTCAACCGTTTATATTTTGACTACATATGGTCTTACTTGGTTGTTTGCACCCTTATAGTACACTGCCAATAGTTTCCTTCTATTGCCATGTTACACCTAAGTCTTCCCTATCCCCTACTCTGTTTGGAGAGGGGCGGTCGGGTAGCCTAGTGGTTAAAGCGTTCGCTCGTCACGCCGAAGACCCGGGTTCGATTCCCTACATTGGTACAATGTGTGAAGCCCCTTTCTGGTGTCCCCCACCGTAATATGGCTAAATGCGGCATAAATCCATACTCACTCACTCACTGTTTGGAGAGTATATATAGATATTAATAAAAAACAACAACTTTTTTTCATTTGTTTCAGTTTCAATTCAGATATGCTAATTGGCTGGATTCTTCTCGCAGTCGTAGCCTGAAGTGTGCAAGGATGCTCGCTACTGGCTATTGGTATCCTGCCCATTGCTTTTACAAGAGCCCTTATGTATGTTCGAAAAAGGCCGGTAAGGAGTTTGCACCTGTACGATACGATGCACCTGGCGCACGTATTTGTACAATCATAATGATTCAAACAGACGCGAGCTACTTAACGGTTAATACATACTTTATTCAAATGCACATAAGGTTTTATTACTTAAGACAATTTCTCGTTTTAATGGAGCCTTTTTCATCGTGTGATGCTTCTATTCAGGTAGGTTCTCTGATGTTGATCCATCCAAAGTTTCACTACTTCGGAAAGTTTAGTCCTGTATGTAGAGCGTTAATGTATGATGGTTCTGTGTGTAGAGCGTTAATGTATGATGGTTCTGTGTGTAGAGCGTTAATGTATGATAGTTCTGTGTGTAGAGCATTAATGTATGATGGTTCTGTGTGTAGAGCGTTAATGTATGATGGTTCTGTGTGTAGAGCGTTAATGTATGATGGTTTTGTGTGTAGAGCGTTAATGTATGATAGTTCTGCGTGTAGAGCGTTAATGTATGATGGTTCTGTATGTAGTATGTTAATGTATGATGGTTCTGTATGTAGAGCGTTAATGTATGATGGTTCTGTGTGTAGAGCGTTAATGTATGATAGTTCTGTGTGTAGAGCGTTAATGTATGATGGTTCTGTGTGTAGAGCGTTAATGTATGATGGTTCTGTATGTAGAGCGTTAATGTATGATGGTTCTGTGTGTAGAGCGTTAATGTATGATAGTTCTGCGTGTAGAGCGTTAATGTATGATGGTTCTGTATGTAGTATGTTAATGTATGATGGTTCTGTATGTAGAGCGTTAATGTATGATGGTTCTGTGTGTAGAGCGTTAATGATGATGGTTCTGTGTGTAGAGCGTTAATGTATGATGGTTCTGTATGTAGAGCGTTAATGTATGATGGTTCTGTATGTAGTATGTTAATGTATGATGGTTCTGTATGTAGAGCGTTAATGTATGATGGTTCTGTATGTAGTATGTTAATGTATGATGGTTCTGTATGTAGAGCGTTAATGTATGATGGTTCTGTATGTAGAGCGTGAATGTATGATGGTTCTGTATGTAGAGCGTTAATGTATGATGGTTCTGTATGTAGAGCGTTAATGTATGATAGTTCTGTATGTAGTATGTTAATGTATGATGGTTCTGTATGTAGAGCGTTAATGTATGATGGTTCTGTATGTAGAGCATTAATGTATGATAGTCCTGTATGTAGAGCGTTAATGTATGATGGTTCTGTATGTAGTATGTTAATGTATGATAGTTCTGTATGTAGTATGTTAATGTATGATAGTTCTGTATGTAGTATGTTAATGTATGATGGTTCTGTATGTAGTATGTTAATGTATGATGGTTCTGCATGTAGAGCGTTAATGTATGATGGCTCTGTATGTAGAGCATTAATGTATGATGGTTCTGTGTGTAGTATGTTAATGTATGATGGTTCTGTATGTAGTATGTTAATGTATGATGGTTCTGCATGTAGAGCGTTAATGTATGATGGTTCTGTATGTAGAGCATTAATTTATGATAGTCCTGTATGTAGAGCGTTAATGTATGATGGTTCTGTATGTAGTATGTTAATGTATGATAGTTCTGTATGTTAATGTATGATGGTTCTGTATGTAGAGCATTAATGTATGATGGTTCTGTGTGTAGTATGTTAATGTATGATGGTTCTGTATGTAGAGCGTTAATGTATGATGGTTCTGTATGTAGTATGTTAATATATTATGGTTCTGTATGTAGAGCATTAATGTATGATGGTTCTGTGTGTAGTATGTTAATGTATGATGGTTCTGTATGTAGTATGTTAACGTATGATGGTTCTGCATGTAGAGCGTTAATGTATGATGGTTCTGTATGTAGAGCATTAATTTATGATAGTCCTGTATGTAGAGCGTTAATGTATGATGGTTCTGTATGTAGTATGTTAATGTATGATAGTTCTGTATGTTAATGTATGATGGTTCTGTATGTAGAGCATTAATGTATGATGGTTCTGTGTGTAGTATGTTAATGTATGATGGTTCTGTATGTAGAGCGTTAATGTATGATAGTTCTGTGTGTAGAGCGTTAATGTATGATGGTTCTGTATGTAGAGCGTTAATGTATGATGGTTCTGTATGTAGTATGTTAATGTATGATAGTTATGTAAGTAGTATGTTAATTTATGATTGCTCTCTATGTAGTATGTTAATGTATGATGGTCCTGTATGTAGAGCGTTAATGTATGATGGTTCTGTGCGTAGAGTGTTAATGTATGGTGGTTCTGTATGTAGAACGTTAATGTGTGGTGGTTCTGTGTGTAGAGCGTTAATGTGTGATGGTTCTGTATGTAGAGCGTTAATGTGTGATGGTTCTGTGCGTAGAGCGTTAATGCATGATGGTACATACTACATACATAGCCATCATACGTAGACGTACCACACACTGGACCATCATACATAGACGTACAACATACAGAACAATCATACATTAACATACTACATACATAGCTATCATACGTAGACGTACAGCACACAGGACCATCATACATAGACAAAGTTACAAAGTTAATGTATGATGGTTACGTATGAAGTACATAAATTCTTATCCTTACTATGGATGTAGTATGTTAATGTATGATGGTTCTGTATGTTGAAAGTTAATGTATGATGGTTCTGTATGTAGTACGTTAATGTATGATGATTCTGTATGTCGTACGTTAATGTATGATGGTTCTGTATGCCGCGCGATCGCACTGACATAGCTGTTTCGGGAAGACTTCACTTTGAAATGTCCTTCAACTAACCTTGACTTAGTGAATTACGTTATAGAGACGTTTTGGAAATACTCCAATGAATGTAATTTATGATTGCAAATTCTATTTCAGGATTTTCTGGTCCATACTCGATTATTTACAGATGGTAAACAACAAACAATCAAAAAGCAAAAGAATAAGAATATACTGTGATATTTCAGATTGTGAACCTGGATGGACTGGCGATGAATGTGATCGCAAGTGTCACTGCTACCTGGGCTATGCTTGTAATGTAACCGAAACTTGTCCATATGGATGTGAGACGGGATGGGTTGGAGATATGTGCGACAAACGTGAGTAAAAAGTAATATTAACTAGTTTTCCTATGCATTTCATATTCCTTGACATCTTCTTGATTTTTTCATGACTACAATTTTGAATTGTTGAACGATTTGTTGCGTGTCTGAGTCCTTTTTTGTTTAAGCACTGTAATATTTTGCGACTAACGGGATCGGGTGGTAAGGCTCGCTGACTTGGTTGATGCATGTCATCGTATCCCAGTTGCGTGGATTGATGCTCATGATGTCAATCACTGGATTGTGTGGTACAGACGGAATAGGTTAGAATAGGTCTTCAGCAACCCATGCTTGCCGTAAAAGGCAACTATGCTTGTCGTAAGAGGCGACTAAGGAGATCAGGTGATCAGGCTCGCTGACTTGGTTGATGCATGTCATCGTATCCCATTTGCGGGAATTGATGCTCATGGTATCAATCACTGGATTATGTGGTCCAGATTTGATTATTTACGGACAGACGCCATATAGCTGGAATATTGCAGAGCGCGGCTTTATACAACAAAAAAACAAACAAACATGCCTTAGTGGACTAGATGACGATGAATCCAACTAAAATTTTATCACCGATGCCAAAAATGGAGATAAGGCGCCTAGCAATGATCCGATCCTGGGTTGATTTACGTGGTTGTGTATAAAGTTTGGAAATAGAAGCCTGTGGTTGACACGAGAAGAGCAAAGCAGTCACATCGCAACTTTGTAATTGTATACAATCTTTAGTGAGGTGAGGTGAGGTGAAATGGCATTTAACGTCGCGTCCAAGATTATTGCACTTATATATTACGTGTGTGTGTTTGTGTTTGTGTGGCTGCTTGTACTAGTCCGGACTGATGCCGATTTAAAGCGCTAGCACACTAAGATACAATGCCGCAGTTTAACATGAATACCCCACTCAGACACAGTATACTGACTCCGAGCCGACCAGTCCTTGTTTTAGCCCCTTAATGCCGAGCGTCAGACAGGGAAACAACAAGTACCATCTTTTAACGTCTTTTGGTATGACGCGGCTGGGGATCGAACCCCGGACCTTCCGCTCTCCGGGCGGACGCTCTACCACTAGACCACGGGGGCGGGCCAATCTTTAGTGAAGTCCCTGCTCTAGATTGGGAGCGACGAACCCAAAGATGTAACTGACACTCAGGTCATCTTTCAGATACATAAATGACGCTGCACAAGATGAATGTAATTGGCTTTAAAACAGGTGAACGTTTGCAAATTGTACGTAAAAGCTTGATTATCTAGAATTTAGTACCATGTACATACTGACACTAACGTATATTTTTCCAGGCCTACACAAACCTACAGGTAAGAATACGTGTAATTTTTCTATTCAGTCTTGCACATTTTACAAATAAATACATTGGGCTGGTTCACTCTCTTAATGCTCGCGTCCTATTCTACAGTTACTGCCATTTGCATAACATTGCATTACAAAAAATACTAAAATAAGAACAAGGCAAGATGCCAACGCACAATGAAATCAGAAAAGACAGACTTAAGGGTCAAGATTTCTGAATGAAATGTAAATGTGCAATATTCGGAATGGCCCACTTGAATTTGAAATCGTGTCACAGTAGAGGTAAAATTAATTTTAATTTTGCTGGTGATTTGCATGGGGGAGGACATCTAAAGCGCCACAATTTGCTGTGCATATATTGTTTCCATTACGTGATTGCAGTGTCTTTCTACTGTGTGAAACAAAGGGGAGGCTACTCTCTGATGGTTTCCTTGGACCGGAATGTAACCTCTTTCTCTAACATCGGCGCCGTGAACGCTGAAGGGGAGATCAGTCCTGAGTGTGGATACCGAAGATTTCAGTGGGAGAGTCGTGGGGTACTGCGATTAAAAGCTTCGATTCAAAACGTTTCGGGACTTTTGGAATCAGACTGTCCTGCAGAAACAGTAAGAATGTACTATATATCCCAGAACTTCGGCTATTGTTTGTACGTTTATGTGTTTGCCCAAAGCATCCGAACACTAATCTAACCATCAATGTTGTATATCAATAGAGTGCATGAGAACAGACCGCGAATATAACAACCTGAATTTGTTTCGGATCCACAAAGTAACCCAGTGGGCAAAGGCACCATAATCATGATCAGCTTTCTAAACTTGATCATCGGTTCGAATCCCAGATTCAGCCATGATTTTGATTCCTTTAGGTTTCACCAAAGTGGTAACTGCCAGGGCAGACACAAAATGTTAATCATCGGCCACACAGGGCGCCCTAGGTCCCCAACACATGGGCAGGGGCGATTAATCAGAAACAAGGCATTACGAATTCGATCTCAAACGGCCAATCAAATTGCTGGATTTTAGTTATTTGGGCTTTTCACCCACCTTAAACTGACACACCTTGATAACGTTAACTTCATAAATGTTGTTGATATATTCTGACTTCAAACTACCGGCTCATATATTGACAAAACATATCAACAGAATATGAAAACAGCGTCTCGACTGATAAATTCAGTTTTGATATCGAGGAATTGATCAAAATCAGATGTTGGTTCGTCTAGTCCAGACTCGATTATTTTCAGACCGCCGTCATATAGCTGGAATATTGCTGAGTGCGGCGTAAAACAACAAACCAACCAACCAACCAACCATCTTTGCTTGTTGTAGTACCTCACAGTAAATATTCCAGTTATACATTGGCGCACTGCAAATATGTATTATGTATTATGTATCTAAGTCATGAAGATAAATCAAGCGATGTCTTTTCATTAATTGCGGATATGTTTGTTCATATAACACCAGGTTGGTAAGGGAATCCTGAAATGGACGTTCAGGCTTCAGAAGAAAAAGGACGTGGTCTCGTTTGAAGACAAAGAATTTCAAGTCAAGTGTGATCTGTCTGAAGCTGATGCTGTATATGATGACACTGAGAGAGTCAAGATAGAGGAGTAAGCATTTTTGAACCAACCAGTAGTACTACATAAAATGTTATTGCAGGTACACAGTTATGTTGTCGTTAGTTTGCATACGATTCCTGGTATGTGAGTCGCTAAGATGTTGGCTGAAGTGTTTCTTTCGGCAGATAACACAATGCGTCATAGACCAATGTGACAGATCGTAGCTACTCCCCGACTGGATGAATCTTAAACATAGTTCACATGGGTTTAAAACAAATACATCACGTTAACCTTATATTCCATTATATTTTGTTTCGGGGCAGTCGAGTAGCCTGGTGGTTAAAGCGTTCGCTCGTCACGCCGAAGACCCGGGTTCGATTCCCGACATGGGTACAATGTGTGTAGCCCATTTCTGGTGTCCCCCGCTGGAATATTGCTAAAAGCGGCGTAAAACCATACTCACTCACTATTTTGTTTCAGGTTTCGGGAAAGGTCCCTAACAGCTGCCACACAGACTAGGGTCAGTGTTCGGACATACCTAGCAAATCCTGACACTCTGGACCCGGTCACAAATCTCCACCTTGGTGTTCCAGTCAGACTGGTGGCCACGCTTCCTGAAGGTCTGATTAAATCAAGCATGATGGACCAAATACGTGTCATTGTCTGAATTATAAGAGAATGTACAATTTCCCTTATTTAGCTTACTATATTATTAATTGTCTTCAGGCACATATGGTTTATTTCTGTGCTGTTGTGCATACCGATAACGGCCATTATTACAATCACATAATAAGCTGCCCTTATGGAGAGATTTAATGAGGCGCCAGCAGACCTGCGCTCAGTAATTGTTGGCAATTTAGTTGTGATATTCAACCTAGTATGCAGGTACAAACTCAAATCAGGAGAGAGATCTACAAAGGCTGGACAGGTTCAGGAAGGTTTGGAAAACACACATATGATTCGTCTTTCGCCCTGTATTATTCTTCAGAGAAATCTGTCCATCTCCATCTTCTTGTTACAGGGGATGATTTAGTCAATCCGTTCTTTTACCCTTGGAGCTGTCAAGCTGCGTCTCCAGATGGAAAGGTTACTGTACAACTGACCGACGACTCTGGGTCAGTATGACGTCACTCGCTGCCACATGCTCACCTTGACATGACGGAAACTTGTGCATGGCCATTTGTTGTAAATAACACGTAAAATGGAACCAAATATTCTTCTATGTCAACGAGGGGCATAAACATGGCTATCCCACCAAACATTGCCAAATTCAAATTCGCCTTAGTAATCTGACCAAATAAATACACGTCATAGTTTCCTTCTGATCTGAATAAAAAAATAATTATCTCCTTAACAGAAAAGTCAAGATACTCGAATCTTCTCATCATATCAGCACGATTATTATTTGTGTCGGTTAACATGCGCTCCTATTCACCGTATTCATAGATTAAGCAGCATAAGAATCAGGTTTATGCAAGCTGTAGTGGTCTGTATGTAACTTCAAAGTCATCATATCTGCACGGTTATTATTTGTGTCGGTTAACATGCGCTCATATTCACCGTATTCAAAGATTAAGCAGCATCAGAAATGGAATCAGGTTTATGCAAGCTGTAGTGATCTGTATGTAACTTCAATGTCATCATATCTGCACGGTTATTATTTGTGTCGGTTAACATGCGCTCCTATTCACCTTATTCATAGATTAAGCAGCATCAGAATCAGGTTTATGCAAGCTGTAGTGATCTGTATGTAACTTCAATGTCATCATATCTGCACGGTTATTATTTGTGTCGGTTAACATGCGCTCATATTCACCGTATTCAAAGATTAAGCAGCATCAGAAATGGAATCAGGTTTATGCAAGCTGTAGTGATCTGTATGTAACTTCAATGTCATCATATCTGCACGATTATTATTTGTGTCGGTTTACATGCGCTCATATTCACCATATTCATAGATTAAGCAGCATCAGAATCAGGTTTATGCAAGCTGTAGTGATCTGTATGTAACTTCAATGTCATCATATCTGCACGATTATTATTTGTGTCGGTTAACATGTGAATTGGAATCAGGTTTATGCAAGGACAAAATCTGTCTGTAACTTCAGCATGTGTTACAGGTATTACAGTGTCATCAAATACATTTCCCCCTACAACTACGGTTATAACGAACACGCTTATAACGAACTGACCGATAAAACGGAACTTATATTTTAGTCCCGGCCATTCGTTGTACATATGCTGTATATAGGCGAATAACTAACTACGGTTATAACGAACTAACTTTAGTGGTCCCTTTGAGTTCGTTATAACCGTAGTTTACTGTAATTAAATCTGTCAAAGGCACAACAAGCCAGTTGTAAGTAATTATGACATTTAAATGAATCTTTTGCAAGCAATGTCTATAGGATTTAAGTAATGACAGAAAGGGGACCGATCGCTATATGGCTGAAATATTGCCGATGCGATGTAAAATTTAACTCACTCACTCACTCACTCACTCAGAAAGGGGAGGTTTTTGGCAATGATGTATAACAGGTGAACATTTAACGTTAACAATACACTTATCTTGATTTTTTTAACAAACTAGCAATTGGTTGATCATGATCATGATTAAAAGTTGTATGTGTCTTTGTTTTGAAACTAGAAAACGTCAGGGACTTTTATTACAATTAAATGACAGGCGTTCCCTGTTACAGTGTTGTTGAGGTGAAGCATACCATCAATGTGACCTTGACCCAAATAACTTGACCTTGACCCAAAATAACTAGACCTTGACCCAAATAACTTAATGAGAGCCACGGGGCTGCTAGTACCGCGCCCGGGATCAAATTGAGTCACATTTACATACATCAATATATGCGGTGAAAGTACAGTGCTTAGAATACGTACACAATTCAAATTACTGGAAACCACATACTGGGAAATTGAGAGCTGACAAATTTTGTTTATATGCTTTCTCAAATATGTAAACTGTTCTTCTAGACGTGCACGTGTACAAGTTGAAGGTGACCTGTAATGTTTAATGAGTGAGTGAGTGAGTTGGGTTTAACGCCGCTTTTAACAGTATTCCAGTTATATCACGGCGTGTCAGCTTAATGTGGGAGGAAAGCCCGAAGTGATGCAGGTCCCAGACGTTTACCACTTCGGTGAAACCCACGAGCACGGGTATGGTGCTGACAAACCTAGAAACATAATCGGGGCGAACCGGGATTCGAACCCACAATCATAGGTTTCTGGCGTGCCCAAGGGACGCAACTCTGCACAGCGAATCGCGACGCCTTAAACGACTGGGCCACCCGTGCCCCCGTAATGTTTAATGAAGATAGTGTTGCTCTCTTACAGCTGTTCCCTGAGTGAAGACATCGGCTTTGGAGTAATGCGCATGGCCTCTAGTGTGATCCAGTCGGAGGTATTTCCCATGTTTCGGCTGCCGGGGTACACCGAAGTGGTATTCAGTTGTGCTCTTGTACCCACGACCTCTTTCAGATATGAGGTACAGGTTAGTATATACGTATTACAAAGTGAGAGCAGAGACCATATAATAGAGGGACGGCCCTCTAGCCTATGCGCGAAACCATCAGTGCTACGGCTTGTACTGCGCAGCCTGTTCGGAAGCGAGCAGAAACGCGTTCACTGCAGTCATCGTTGTCGCCTTTTTTTCCCATGCAAAAGATATATTCCACAATACATATTTACACTCATGTATTTCTTAACATTGTTAACATTACAACTGAGATTTGTTGGTGCCCTAAAGCATGTCGTTGTCACTATTTGATGACTGTGATCACGCTTTGTCTTTGTCCGAGAGAACAAAATGTTTGTAATCCGCTAAGAGACGTCCTTTTATTGGATTGTCGCTGGTCGTAGTCGGAGAAATATCGGCTAAGGGAATTAACTCTTACCCCGGATATTATGTAATATTGTTTACGTGGTTACCAGAATGGTCAGCCGTGAATGTCTGCGCATCTATTGCGCATCTGCAGCGGTACAGGGAGGTTAACTGCAGGGTGTCGGGGTGTATCAGTTACATGCCAGACCGTAGCGCTGATGGTTTATGATAAACTGTTGGGGAGGGCCGTCCCTCTATTATATGGTCTCTGGTGAGAGTGAATATTGGCTACCCCGCAAACAGCAATACAGTTATACCACGGCGAACTGTCGGAAATTATGTGACAAACTAGTGGTTGTTGAACATGAGCAGTCAGCCACGCCCACCATAATGTTTAATTAGCCGGTTGATCCTTATTAGCAAGTTTCATGATCAGCCTGTGGTGTTAGATACCTCATGTATTGATAGCCAAGTCCCTTCCACCGTTTTTAACCAATCTGAACTAGAAATAAAGGAAACTGGATAGACCGCCTGATCCATTTCATGTTTTATCTGTGCAAACAAATTCAGAGTGAGTGAGTGAGTTGGGTGTATCGCCGCTTTTAACAGTATTCCAGTTATATCGCGACGTGTCAACTTAATGTGGGAGGAAAGCCCGAAGTGATGTAGGTCTCGGACGTTTACCACTTCGGTGAAACCCACGAGCACGGTAATGGCGCTTTAGACGAATGGGCTCCAACCTTTGATGTTTACATGTCACAATGTCTAAGGTACAATCTACTGTCATACAACCCTTGCTCAGGAGTTGTTTGGTCAAGGTTACAACGTTCAAGGCCCCAGTAAAGCTTTCAAAAAGACACATGGTAGACATGTTGAGAACATTTCCAAATTCACGCATCAGTCACAAAAATTGTGTCCGATAGTATTTCCTATTGGACTTGTACCTTATGTTCCCGTATTTCAGTTTGATGACTTGACTTTGCGTGTGTTTGTAACGGATGTCACCGATTAGGCAGAATACTCTCACCTTTACTGGAAAAGCTGGTATCATCACTTTTTGATAGTAATTTATAAACATATGCTCACGATATAGTTGGAATCTTACAGTCGAGTTTGCTTTGGGCAGATTTCTTACGAATGTGTAAAGGTTTGTTTCGCTTATAGTTACGTTGGGCAGACTTTAGGTGACAGCTGGCTTGTACAGAATGGGTGTGTTTCAATTCTCTTTCCCCCTTTTCAGTTTGTGGATTCTTCCAATGACAATATCACCGGTTTTACACAATGGCCGGCTTAACACACACTAACAGACATTTTCACCTTTTCTCTTGGCCCATATTTTGGCATACGCTGAACGCATCCATAGTTATTTTAAAGTTCGGATCCCAATCAACAGACGAATAACTGACGAATGCTGTAATTGTCAACAATAGAGAAGTCACCTGTGGTTTTATGACTAACATGACGGTGGCTGTATGATGAGACTTGGCAGCCACGAGTAGTGGAATATAAACGTTGTTTACTATTTATGTCAAACGCTAAAGAAGTTCACAATGTGATGTGTATAAGAGCGCGTTTTTGGCAGAGGGCTCGATGCGTCAAGGGCACTGACAACAAGCCACTACCGTATTCATTCGAAGAAACAGTTAACACAATCTGCTTACTATGTAGACTTCTTTTCCTTCTTCCACAGTATTGTCCCAGGCGTTGGTGAGGCATCTTGGAATGGACAGACGCGTGACAGGTCATATACAAAGTCAGCGTTTGGTGAGAACATCAGTGTCATTATTCACGAGTGGTAATAAATATTAAACCAATCATCATTATTAACAACGGGTAGAAGCAGGGTAAACCAGTAGTTCGTTTCTGTCATTTTATGAACAGCGAGCCATTGACAACGGACAGTCAGAAGTCCTTACGTATCCTCATCTGACACTGAGGGTAATCCAAACCCTGAGTTCTAGTGCCGCCTTATATTGTTCATAACAAAACCTGTTCACTTGAAATAAACAAAAGTATCACCTGCTCCCAAATTGAAAAAGTGTTGTCTGTATTTTACACCAATGACTGTACACGCACTCCCAATTGCAGAACTGTTAAGTTCGCTGACGCCGCCGCAATTGTCGGCCAGATGGAGGACTCCAGATCAGAGCAACACTACAAAGAAGACATTGACCGTTTGAGAATATAGTAAAGTAACAATTATTTCCTGTTGCACATGATGAAGCTCGTGGAATAATAATTGAATTTTGAAACAAACCAATTTGAAATTGATACTGAGTACAAATACTTAGGACCTTAACTGGAATTTAAACACAGATAGTGTTTACAGTAAATGTTCACAATACCTTCATTCTTAAACTTCACTTTTAAATGTAAATCAAGCTGTAAGATCACTATTATCATCACTTTCGTTCAAAGCATTTTTTCCCTAAATGCTCGGATTGGCAGTCGGCACCCCAGGGAATCACCCCGACAACCACGTCTACATGTACCACGTGTAGGTCCACAACTAAACAGGGAATCACCCTGACAGCCAGGTCTACATGTACCACGTGTAAGTTCACAACTAAACAGGGAATCACCCTGACAGCCACGTCTACATGTACCAGTGTAGGTCCACAACTAAACAGGGAATCACCCTGACAGCCAGGTCTACATGTACCAGTATAGATTCACAACTAAACAGGGAATCACCCTGAAAGCCAGGTCGACATGCACCACGTGTAGGTCCACAACGACCCAGGTAATCACCCTGACAGCCAGATCTACATGTACCAGTGTAGGTCCACAACTAAACAGGGAATCACCCTGACAGCCACGTCTACATGTACCAGTGTAGGTCCACAACTAAACAGGGAATCACCCTGACAGCCAGGTCTACATGTACCAGTGTAGGTCCACGACTAAACAGGGAATCACCCTGACAGCCAGATCTACATGTACCAGTGTAGGTCCACAACTAAACAGGGAATCACCCTGACAGCCAGATCTACATGTACCAGTGTAGGTCCACAACTAAACAGGGAATCACCCTGACAGCTACGTCTACATGTACCAGTGTAGGTTCACAACTAAACAGGGAATCACCCTGACAACCACGTCTACATGTACCAGTGTAGGTCCACAACTAAACAGGGATTCACCCTGACAGCCACGTCTACATGTACCACGTGTAGGTCCACAACTAAACAGGGAATCTCCTGACAGCCAGGTCTACATGTACCACGTGTAAGTTCACAACTAAACAGGGAATCACCCTGACAGCCACGTCTACATGTACCAGTGTAGGTCCACAACTAAACAGGGAATCACCCTGACAGCCAGGTCTACATGTACCAGTGTAGACCCACAACTAAACAGGGAATCACCCTGAAAGCCAGGTCGACATGCACCACGTGTAGGTCCACAACGACCCAGGGAATCACCCTGACAGCCAGATCTACATGTACCAGTGAAGGTCCACAACTAAACAGGGAATCACCCTGACAGCCAGATCTACATGTACCAGTGTAGGTCCACAACTAAACAGGGAATCACCCTGACAGCCACGTCTACATGTACCAGTGTAGGTCCACAACTAAACAGGGAATCCCCCTGACAGCTACGTCTACATGTACCACGTGTAGGTTCACAACTAAACAGGGAATCCCCCTGACAGTTACGTCTACATGTACCAGTGTAGGTTCACAACTAAACAGGGAATCACCCTGACAGCGAGGTCTACATGCACCACGTGTAGGTCCACAACGACCCAGGGAATCACCCTGACAGCCAGGTCTGCATGCACCACGTGTAGGTCCACAACGACCCAGGGAATCACCCTGACAGCCAGGTCTACATGTACCAGTGTAGGTCCACAACTAAACAGGGAATCCCCCTGACAGCTACGTCTACATGTACCACGTGTAGGTTCACAACTAAACAGGGAATCCCCCTGACAGTTACGTCTACATGTACCACGTGTAGGTCCACAACGACCCAGGGAATCACCCTGACAGCCAGGTCTGCATGCACCACGTGTAGGTCCACAACGACCCAGGGAATCACCCTGACAGCCAGGTCTACATGAACCACGTGTAGGTACACAACGACCCAGGGAATCACCCTGACAGCCAGGTCTACATGCACCACGTGTAGGTCCACACCGACCCAGGGAATCCCCCTGACAGCCAGGTCTACATGCACCACGTGTAGGTCCACAACTAAACAGGGAATCACCCTGACATCCACGTCTACATGTACCAGTGTAGGTTCACAACTAAACAGGGAATCCTCCTGACAGCCAGGTCTACATGCACCACGTGTAGGTCCACACCAACCCAGGGAATCCTCCTGACAGCCAGGTCTACATGCACCACGTGTAGGTCCACAACGACCCAGGGAATCAACCTGACAACCAGTAAGCCACATAATCTGCCCTAACCAACATTTCGATTTGGATCCGTTTCTATTCTCAATGATTTCTGTGAAGGATAAAGCACGACTCCGAGGTTATGGTCGAGGCAAGAGAGTATCGGCTCCGTGGTCTTACATTGCCGATACCCGACTGCCGAGGTCTCACTTCCTCGACCATAGACGAGGAGGGCTTTATCTCACATTACAACCGTCACTGTACAATACTTTAAAAAAAAATATGATAATGTTTTCATCACTATGCTTGTTTCATTTGACAAATAGTGGTATATCGAACCAGGAAGATTTCAACCTGTCATATTCAGTCACGTGACCAATTCGCACGGACTGCACGATCGCTGCTCGCACGCTACAACCTTGTGGCGTTGTGGATCAGTCGAGTGGAAGTGAAGAGAAGGATGATGGAAGACTCTGACAACGAGATAACTATAATCGCAGCGAAGCAGTGAGGTTGCACAAAAGAGCCTCTGGCGAACAAACGGCCTGTCTATCAGATATGTTGTGTGCGAAGAGGACTAAACAGATCAATGATCCCAAACCACGCACCTTACCGTCAGCCGAACAAAAAGTAGAATCTGTGACATCAGCCGAACTAAAGGAGGACTCTGTGATAATGTCTGGGCCAAACAAGAACTATACTGAATTTTCAATGTAATCTCAACTTAATACATACATGGAAACTGTCTGTGTCTATTTTATTCAATCCCCGGAAGTTACATCTACACATTAGGTTTAACTTTCCAAAAGTAAGACCACCTGGTGCAGGATATAGGGTCTTACTTTTGAAATGTAAGGCCTCCTGATGGTAGTAAGCCCTGATACAAGGTATTACTTTTGAAAAGTAAGGCCTCCTGATGGTAGTAAGCCCTGATACAAGATATTAGTTTTGAAATGTAAGACCTCCTGATGGTAGTAAGCCCTGATACAAGGTATTTTTTTATATAATTACTTTCGAAAAGTAAGACCTCCTGATGGTAGTAAGCCCTGATACAAGGTGTTTTTTATATAATTACTTTTGAAAAGTAAGACCTCTCGATGGTAGTAAGCCCTGATACAAGGTATTTTTTATATAATTACTTTTGAAAAGTAAGACCTCTTGATGGGAGTAAGCCCTATACAAGGTATCACTTTTGAAAAGTTAGACCTTCGAGAGATATACATCATGGTAAATTCACAAAAATTGGTTATTCCCCTCTCTCTCACTCTCTCTCTCTCCCTCTCTCTCCCTCTCCCTATCTCTCCCTCTCTATTTTCTTATATTGATATGATTTCATTTTTATCCTTGGCTGCTCTTTATATTCAATTCGGTTTATTTCGTAAGTGTAGGCCATCGGTCCATAGTTACATTTGTATTACAATGAACGTGATGTACACAGCTGTTATTGTTGTGACAATAATGTACTACGAAGTGACATCGCTTGATAGATATAGATAGCTAGACGTTCAATTAATTTACAATCAGTTGTAGACATAATGATATTAAATTTTTGTATGGTCGGATATTCATAAAATGTCTGTGGTAAGTGATCCATGCGTATCTTGTTATAACCGGAG